TAGACACACACACACACTAGACACACACACTAGACACACACACACTAGACACATACACACTAGACACACACACACTAGACACACACACACTAGACACACACACACTAGACACACACACACACGACACACACACACTAGACACACACACACTAGACACACACACACACTAGACACACACACACACTAGACACACACACACACTAGACACACACACACTAGACACACACACACTAGACACACACACACTAGACACACACACACTACACACACACACTAGACACACACACACTAGACACACACACTAGACACACACACACTAGACACACACACACACACTAGACACACACTAGACACACACACACTAGACACACACACACACACTAGACACACACTAGACACACACACACTAGACACACACTAGACACACACACACACTAGACACACACACACACTAGACACACACACACACACTAGACACACACACACACACTAGACACACACACTAGACACACACACACACTAGACACACACACACACACTAGACACACACACACACTAGACACACACACACACACACTAGACACACACACACACACTAGACACACACACTAGACACACACACACTAGACACACACACACTAGACACACACACTAGACACACACACACTAGACACACACACACTAGACACACACACTAGACACACACACACACACAAGACACACACACACTAGACACACACACACTAGACACACACACACTAGACACACACACACTAGACACACACACACTAGACACACACACACTAGACACACACACACTAGACACACACACACACTAGACACACACACACACTAGACACACACACACACTGGACACACACACACTAGACACACACACACTAGACACACACACACTAGACACACACTAGACACACACACACTAGACACACACACACTAGACACACACACGCTAGACACACACACGCTAGACACACACACACTAGACACACACACACTAGACACACACACACTAGACACACACACACACTAGACACACACACACTAGACACACACACACACTAGACACACACACACTAGACACACACTAGACACACACACACTAGACACACACACACTAGACACACACACACTAGACACACACACGCTAGACACACACACGCTAGACACACACACACTAGACACACACACACTAGACACACACACACTAGACACACACACACACTAGACACACACACACTAGACACACACACACACACTAGACACACACACTAGACACACACACTATCCACACACACACTAGACACACACTAGACACACACTAGACACACACACTAGACACACACACACACTAGACACACACACACACTAGACACACACACTAGACACACACACACTAGACACACACACACACTAGACACACACACTAGACACACACACTAGACACACACACACTAGACACACACACTATCCACACACACACTAGACACACACACACTAGACACACACTAGACACACACACTAGACACACACACACTAGACACACACACACTAGACACACACACACTAGACAGACACTAGACACACACACTAGACACACACACACTAGACACACACACACTAGACACACACACACTAGACACACACACACTAGACACACACACACTAGACACACACACACTAGACACACACACACTAGACACACACACACTAGACACACACACACTAGACACACACACACTAGACACACACACACACTAGACACACACACACACTAGACACACACACACACTAGACACACACACACACTAGACACACACACACTAGACACCCCCACACACACTAGACACACACACTAGACACACACTAGACACACTAGACACACACACACACTTGACACACACTAGACACACACAGACACACACACACACTAGACACACTAGACACACACACTAGACACACACACTAGACACACACACACACTAGACACACTAGACACACACACACACTAGACACACACACACACACTAGACACACACACACACTAGACACACACACACACACTAGACACACACACACTAGACACCCCCACACACACTAGACACCCCCACACGCACTAGACACACACACACTAGACACACACACACTAGACACACACACTAGACACACACACACTAGACACACACACACTAGACACACACACTAGACACACACACACTAGACACACACACACACACAAGACACACACACACTAGACACACACACACTAGACACACACACTAGACACACACACTAGACACACACACACTAGACACACACACACTAGACACACACACACTAGACACACACACACTAGACACACACACACACTGGACACACACACACTAGACACACACACACTAGACACACACACACTAGACACACACTAGACACACACACACTAGACACACACACACTAGACACACACACGCTAGACACACACACGCTAGACACACACACACTAGACACACACACACTAGACACACACACACTAGACACACACACACACTAGACACACACACACTAGACACACACACACACTAGACACACACACACTAGACACACACTAGACACACACACACACTAGATACACACACACTAGACACACACACACTAGACACACACACACTAGACACACACACACACTAGACACACACACACACTAGACACACACACACACTAGATACACACACACACTAGACACACACACACACTAGATACACACACACACTAGAGACACACACACACTAGACACACACACACACTAGACACACACACTAGACACACACACTAGACACACACACACACTAGACACACACACACTAGACACACACACACTAGACACACACACACTAGACACACACACACACTAGACACACACACACTAGACACACACACTAGACAAACACACTAGACACATACCCACACTAGACACACACACACTAGACACACACTAGACACATACCCACACTAGACACACACACACTAGACACACACACACTAGACACACACACTAGACACACACACACTAGATACACACACACTAGACACACACTAGACACACACACACACACTAGACACACACACTAGACACACACACTAGACACACACACACTAGACACACACACACACGACACACACACACACACCATAGACACACACACACACCATAGACACACACACACTAGACACACACACTAGACACACACACACTAGACACCCCCACACACACTAGACACACACACACACTAGACACACACACTTGACACACACACACTAGACACACACACACTAGACACACACACTAGATACACACACACTAGACACCCCCACACATACTAGACACACACACACACTAGACACACACTCTAGACACACACACACTAGACACACACACACACTAGACACATACACTAGACACACACTAGACACACACACTAGACACACACATACACCCACACACTAGACACACACACTAGACACACACACTAGACACACACACACTAGACACACACTAGACACACACACTACACACACACTAGACACACACACTAGACACACACTAGACACACACACACTACACACACACTAGACACACACACACTACACACACACTAGACACACACACACTACACACACACTAGACACACACACACTACACACACACTAGACACACACACACTAGACACACACACACTAGACACACACACACACTAGACACACACACACACTAGACACCCCCACACACACTAGACACACACACACTAGACACACACACACTAGACACACACACACACTAGACACACACACACACTAGACACACACACACACTAGACACACACACTAGACACACACACTAGACACACACACTAGATACACACACACTAGACACACACACACTAGACACACACACACTAGACACACACACACACTAGACACACACACACACTAGATACACACACACACTAGACACACACACACACTAGATACACACACACACTAGAGACACACACACACTAGACACACACACTAGACACACACACTAGACACACACACACACTAGACACACACACACTAGACACACACACACTAGACACACACACACACTAGACACACACACACTAGACACACACACTAGACAAACACACTAGACACATACCCACACTAGACACACACACACTAGACACACACTAGACACATACCCACACTAGACACACACACACTAGACACACACACACTAGATACACACACACTAGATACACACACACTAGACACACACTAGACACACACACACACTAGACACACACACTAGACACACACACTAGACACACACACACTAGACACACACACACACACGACACACACACACACACCATAGACACACACACACACCATAGACACACACACACTAGACACACACACTAGACACACACACACTAGACACCCCCACACACACTAGACACACACACACTAGACACACACACTAGACACACACACACTAGACACCCCCACACATACTAGACACACACACACACACACTAGACACACACTCTAGACACACACACACTAGACACACACACACACTAGACACATACACTAGACACACACTAGACACACACACTAGACACACACATACACCCACACACTAGACACACACACTAGACACACACACTAGACACACACACACTAGACACACACACTACACACACACTAGACACACACACACACTAGACACACACACTAGACACACACTAGACACACACACACTACACACACACGAGACACACACACACTACACACACACTAGACACACACACACTAGACACACACACACTAGACACACACACACACTAGACACCCCCACACACACTAGACACACACACACTAGACACACACACTAGACACACACACACTAGACACACACACTAGACACACACACACACCCACACTAGACACCCGCTCCTCACCGTTGCGCGTGCCGCTCCTGCCATTGTCGCCCACGCCGTTGTGCGCATGCGCGGCGCACGACCTCGTTTTTAGAGGTCATGACGTCACCGCGTCAAAGTAGGAATGTGGTGACGTCACTGCCGCGCACGTGCCGGAGGATTTCATTTCACAGTTTCATAGTTTCATTTATTTGGTATAGCCCTGTGAGCCATTCGGCTCTTGAATCGGGTGCAACCGCAACAAACAAAAAAACTAAAACATGAACAAGAGAAACATCTTAAAGTGACTACGTGACTGTGCAAACAGAAAATTCAGGAAAAAAACATCAAAATATTCCTGAAATAGCACCGTACACCAACGCTGTGTGAAAAAATCCCAGTGGGATGCAAGTCAAACAACAACCACAAGACAACTAAGATTAAGGCCATCAGTCTAACTCCGTACTACAATAAACAAAAACATGGCCAAACCAAAAAAGTTTTAGAAATCACCAAAATAAATCCATAAATGCAATGTAACCGTGATCATAGGAACTGTGACCGAATTTTTAACAATAAACTACATAAATAACATGTAACACCAAACCCTAGAGCCATAGCTGGCTGCATGAGTTACTCCACAACAACAGGAGCATCGGTCGGAGTATCACATTTTTCAATGCACCTTTAAGATCAGCACACTAAATCAAAATACAGATAATACTTTGCAGCGGTCATCCGGAGCGAAACATTTAATTTTATTTTAGGCCACTGAATAGCAGTGGCAGCTAGGGGTGTACAACTCCTCTAGAGCAGTTTTGAGAGAATATCTCATTGGTAGCGATTCAAGTTGCAGTTTATTGGCAATAGCATTCCAGACCCTGGGGGCATCAATAGCAAAGGCCCTTCCTCCGGTTTTTGTACGGCAATAGGGAATGTGAAGCTGGTAGATGAGCGAAGACCTGAGGTCAAATTTGTTCTTTGAAACAGAGAGGAGATCCAGCAGCAGGTAGTCTGCCGTTGTTTGTCGATCGCCGCGACGTTATTCGGAACGTTTCTAAAGCGGTCGACGCTGCGGAAACCGGGGGGGGGGGGGGGGGGGACGTCACGCCAATTGTGACGCGTCGCTCATCGCTCTCGGAGAGAGGGCGAGCGGGGAAGGCGGCCCACGCGGTGGAGCCGGCGGTCAACGATTGCCCCAAGCTCTGTGGTCCTACACGCGTGAGGGTGTTTTCAGCCAATCAAAACGCGTCTCCATGTGGTTGATGGTCACCCCCCCCACCCCCCCCCCTCCCGAGTGCCGTGGTCGGCCTTCGTCGGTGCTCGCGAACGGCGCTTGCCCCAACAGTCTGCTCAGGGGCCGTCCATAAATGACGTCACGCACCTAGGGGGCGAGGGGGGTCAGACATTTGTGACGATGTGTGACGAGGGGGTAGGGGGTTTGAAAAATGTGACGTCACATCATTAATTAAATAGACTTTTTAATAAATGTTTTCTACAACATCAGAGTGCAGCGCCACATTAAATACGCACTACAATGACGATAGTTTAAAGCGATTTGAAGCATGTTCTATTTTCAAAATGGAAATATGGTTTTGTGGGGGGGGGGGGCGCAGAGTTTTGTGACGTCATATTTGAGGGGGGGGTCTAATGACTTTTTGTGACGCCGTGTGACGAGGGTGGTGGGTGGAGGGGGGTAAAAAGATTGTCCAAATTCGCGTGACGTCATTTATGGACGGCCCCTTAGGAAGGAATCGGAGTACACGGAGAAGAAGAAAAAACCCACACGTGCGAGGGGGAGAAACGCTCAATCCCGCATGGACGGAACGGGTGGAGTCCACGTTTTGCTGTGTCGCCATCTCCTCGGCAGTGCCAGGGTACAGGGCTCTTCGTCGACGCACACCTACGGCGGAGAGAGGTTCTCAACATCTGCGTAATCCACCAATCCCACGGTGCCCTCACCCACGGTTCTTCCCCCCACATGCATTGAGATTATTTAGCTGCTTTAAAGTTCCACGCGATGATGATGATAATCCACTTTGTGGAGCTATCATTTGTGGCCAGGTCGCTTCTGAATCTTAAGTTAATACAGTGAGGGGAAAAAAAAGTATTTGATCCCCTGCTGATTTTGTACGTTTGCCCACTGACAAAGAAATTATCAGCCTATAATTTTAATGGTAGGTTTATTTGAACAGTGAGAAACAGAAAAACAACACAAAAATCCAGAAAAACGCATGTCAAAAATTAAATAAATTGATTTGCATTTTAATGAGGGAAATAAGTATTTGACCCCTCTAGAAAACATGACTTAGTACTTGGTGGCAAAACCCTTGTTAGCAATCACAGAGGTCATACGTTTCTTGTAGTTGGCCACCAGGTTTGCAGACATCTCAGGAGGGATTTGTCTCACTCCTCTTTGCAGATCTTCTCCAAGTCATTAAGGTTTCGAGGCTGACGTTTGGCAACTCGAACCTTCAGCTCCCTCTACAGATTTTCGATGGGATTAAGGTCTGGAGACTGGCTAGGCCACTCCAGGACCTTAATGTGCTTCTTCTTGAGCCACTCCTTTGTTGCCTTGGCCGTGTGTTTTGGGTCATTTTCATGCTGGAATACCCATCCACGACCCATTTTCAATGCCCTGGCTGAGGGAAGGAGGTTCTCACCCAAGATTTTACGGTACATGGCCCCGTCCATCGTCCCTTTGATGCGGTGAAGTTGTCCTGTCCCCTTAGGAGAAAAACACCCCCAAAGCATAATTTTTCCACCGCCATATTTGACGGTGGGGATGGTGTTCTTGGGGTCATAGGCAGCATTCCTCCTCCAAACACGGCGAGTTGATGCCAAAGAGCTCCATTTTGGTCTCATCTTACCACAACACTTTCACCCAGTTGTCCTCCGAATAATTCAGATGTTCATTGGCAAACTTCAGACGGGCATGTCTATGTGCTTTCTTGAGCAGGGGGACCTTGCGGGCGCTGCAGGATTTCAGTCCTTCACGGCGTAGTGTGTTACCAATTGTTTTCTTGGTGACTATGGTCCCAGCTGCCTTGAGATCATTGACAAAATCCTCCCGTGTAGTTCTGGGCTGATTCCTCACCGTTCTCATGATCGTTGCAACTCCACGAGGTGAGATCTTGCATGGAGCCCCAGGCCGAGGGAGATTGACAGTTCTTTTGTGTTTCTTCCATTTGCGAATAATCGCACCGACTGTTGTCACCTTCTCACCAAGCTGCTTGGCAATGGTCTTGTAGCCCATTCCAGCTTTGTGTAGGTCTACAATCTTGTCCCTGATATCCTTGGAGAGCTCTTTGGTCTTGGCCATGGTGGAGAGTTTGGAATCTGATTGCTTCTGTGGACAAGTGTCTTTTATACAGGTAACAAGCTGAGATTAGGAGCACTCCCTTTAAGAGTGTGCTCCTAATCTCAGCTCGTTACCTGCATAAAAGACACCTGGGAGCCAGACATCTTTCTGATTGAGAGGGGGTCAAATTAAGCAATTGGTGGGACCCCGGGGTCCCATCACCGCCCCAGGGTGGAAAAAACCGCGTAGCGACACGAGTCTTGTCGCCTTACCGACAACAAAACTAGTGTCAATCGATTGGCCTCATCGAGAGCTACTCGGGGCACTAAGTTTCGTAAAAAGTTGAAACATTACATAAACACGTTAAATTCACTGCCTGGGGAGGGGCGGGCTCGCCTTGGCAAAGAAGCTGAGGATCGACGGCTGACCGGAGGGCGTCGTCACCACGCGCGACTGCGGCGGACGCCCCCCGGGGCTTGCGTTTGGCCGGTGGGGTGGCGCCCGTCGTGTTGATCGCCGCCTGCTGCTACTGCTGGCGCTTGGTGGCGCGAGTCTGGGCGGGCGGCGCGTTGCTGTCGGGATCACGAGTGGGCGGACTGAAAAAAAATAATTATTGACCTGATTTTTGCAGGACCCCGGGGCCCCGCAAAATTATTCAAATACTTATTTCCTTCATTAAAGTGCAAATCAATTTATAACATTTTTGACATGCGTTTTTCTGGATTTTTTTTGTTGCTATTCTGTCTCTCACTGTTCAAATAAACCTACCATTAAAATTATAGGCTGATCATTTCTTCGTCAGTGGGCAAACGTACAAAATCAGCAGGGAATCAAATACTTTTTTCCCTCACTGTACCTCAGTGGGCTTTGCCTGCTAGAATGGGGATGGTTTAGTTTAATTTGTGTTTAGGCCATTTGTTTACCTTGTACTTACGTGCCCCTACTGGACATCTGCAAAAAAGAGCTTTATCGCTCATCGAATTCCTCCAGTGCAGTGATCTCACTGGAGCGTGCTGGAGTCACCGCTTGAAAGTCTTCCATCTCGCTCTGCGCGTGTTGTGCAGGTCTCCTTCAACCATCTTAGTGCCGTTCGTTGATGGCCGCTTGGCGTTTCGAGGCCTTTTACTCACACAACCTTGATGACAAATAAAAAAAATATCCCGGACGTCTCGGCAACAACAAGAACCAAACACGACACCCAGGGGGAGAACCCTCGTCGAAGAGACACAGCGAAACGCCGAGGGGAGAGACAAAGACGGCTTTTATTGCAGGGGAACCACGAGGTGGTGTGACCACGGGTGTCAGAACCCCCACCGACACAGGCCACCCACACGCAACGTTCAAAGTTCATTCAAGTGACACCAGACAGCACGTGACCCGCTCGGATATTCATCCATGCGAGCAGTGGGGGCGAGGAGCGACAGTGGCTTGAGGAGGGGGGTAGCGTGGAGGGGTAGAGGGCAGGAAGGAGGGGGGGGGGGCAGGAGCCCGCACCCACACACTCACGACTCCACATTCCCAGGCCCGGCGGGTTTTGTTTTTAGCTCTGGGAGGAAACCGGAGAACCTGGGGTCAGCAACCCTTTGCCGGACAGGGTGAGAAATCTTACAAACTCCGCACAGAGCGGTGCCCGGGTCTGGAGTCGAACCCGATGCGTTCTTGCTTGTGAGTTGGCGCTGATTTGAATTAGGTTATGAGTTGAGTGGAACCCACGCCCCCACTCCCCGACCCAAACTTGCGGTGCAACATGTAAAACTCTCCAGCGTTCGGAGTCAACGGCGCCCAGAGCAGAGAGGGTTCGCGTGCGGTTGCGACCACCGCGGAGGGAACAAAAAAACGTGGCTTGCTTTTATTTATTTTCTTGTTAAAAATAAAAAAAAGACACGAAAACTACACGAACATATAATCGTCAAAAACCCCGCTCATCGTCCAAAAAGGTTTTTTTACTGGCCAAAACACTGTCAATGGCCCACATACAATTATCGGTGCCTCTAGAGCTAGGCCGGAATGCGTCCTCCCCCCCGCCCCCTCCCCGGCTCGCAAAGCTAAGCAAGGGTTGCGTCTGGAAAGCGCTCGAGTGAGCGACCACCACGCACAACAGGTTGCTGCTGCAGGTCTGCTGCTGCTGCTGCTGCATCTGCATTGGAGGCAGCGCGAAGGAAGTGCAGTAAAATCCACCGTTCTGTACCACGCCCTTTATCAACCCGGCATTGACCAGCGTGAAGTACGGTCAAACAAACCCCCCGCCCCCCCCCCAAACGATTCGCGATGGCATGTGGAGGCCTCCACGAGCGGGGGTGTGCGACAACACGTTCCTGAGCGCGCGCGTGCGATCATGACTTTTGTGCGATTCTCGGTTTCTGTTCACATTGTCCATTCACGCGGCACGGGCGGCGAAAACACGGCGGCGGTCACCAACGGAGCCCGCGCCGCCTGCGCAGCCCGGGGAGACTCCCCTTGGGGACCGGTGAGGGCCGAGTGGGCCAAGCCGTGAGATCGAGAGAGAGAGGGGGGGTGGCGGGCGGGGGGGGGGCGGGGAGGCGCTGCCCCTCACTCTCCGCTGGCGCCCGCGTCTCACAACGGCGGTGGCGCGTACGGCCCCGGGGCGTCTCGGGGATCCCACACCGCGAGAACGGCACCACGTTGCGGTGCCAGGGAGCCTCCCTCCAAACTCCCCGCAGGGCACGGCCGCCACCCCCAATCTCCGGATTGGCTATGGACGGTTAGCCGTGGGTTGCTAACCGCGGCGGGATTGGCTATGGCCGGTCAACTGTGGGGAGTTTGCCGCGTCGGCCGGCTGACGGCGGCCGGCGGTGCCGGCGCCAGTGGCACTGGCCCTGGCGCGGCGCTAGAAGCCGTACTTGGCCTGCGTCTGGCGCCGAGTCAGCTTGTTCTCCGCCCACGAGTTTTTGAGCTCCAGCTCCCGCTCCTTCGCCTGGGGGTAGGGACCGGGGAAGGGGGGAGAGAGATGGAAGGTGAGCAGAGGGAGAACAGGAGGAGAGAAAAAGAGAGGGGTATAAGAGAGCGGAGGAGGTGTAGGGAGAGAAGGGGATGCAAGAGACACGGGTGTGATCATGAGAGATGGAGCAAAAGGGTTGGAAGATAGAGGGATAGGAGAAGGATGGGATAAAGGAAGATGGGCGAGAGGGAGATGGAAGAGAGGGAGATGGAAGAGAGAGAGAGAGAGATGGGAGAGTGGGAGGTGGAAGAGTGAGGTGTGCGTGGCGAGCGAGTGGGGCACTCACCTGGTGCATCAGGTAGGTGATCTGGTGCTTGCGCTTCTGCTGGGTGGAGGGCTGGTCGCCCTTTTTCTGTGAACACAGCAGCGGCACGTGGCGTCACACGCGGCCGCCCCGAGGAACCCCTTCCCACCGCCGCGGGCGATGCCAACGCCGGCACCACTCGGAACGACGCAGAGGCGTGCACAATAGGTAGCCTCGACGAGCCGGGCCGAGCAATGGATTCCGTTGCACTGCCCCCTCTTTGCTGTCCACCGCTAACCCGCCGCGCTAATCCTACCGTCCAGGAGACTTTAGGAGCGTTTCCTCCTCGTGTATTTGGTCACAAGGGGTTCACAATAAGAATGATGATAACGGCCATTGCTGTAATATTATTAGGTTTAGTTTTTTTTTCTCCAGGAAAACCACAATGAGTCAATAGACTGGAGGGTGCTGCCCTACATTGGTCTTTTCAGGAAGTTTTCTTCAACCAATTAATGAGCATTGATGGGAAACCGGAGCGCCCGGAGAAAAACCCACGCACGTGCAAGGGGGAAACGCTCGATCCCATACAGGTGGAACAAGCAGAGTCCGCATTTTCATGCCACGGTTATTGCACACGGCCGCCCCCGTGAGGCCGCCGGGGGGCTCTGAGCGACCTTGCTGAAGGACTTCATGGTCTTCTCCTGGGTGAGCGACTTGGTGAGCCACTCCTTGGCGCCGCTCATCTGCTCCTCGCCCTTGATCTCTATGAAGTTGATTTCCTCCCCGCGGTTCCTCTTGCCCTGCAGCCGCCGGAACTGAGGCCCGGCGACGCGCGGCCACGTTAGCGGCCACCGGGAGAGGGGCCGGCGAGGCGCGGCGATGGTTGTGTTTGTCGTGAAAGAGGCGAGGTGTGGATAGGCGAGGGGAGGTTATGGGTGTTTGTAGTGAGAGGCTAGGTGATTGGGTTTTACTGGTAGGAAACGTAGTGGACTGGAAGCCCAACCGGGATTAATTCACAGGAGGCAGGGGATTCATTGTGTATGTCTGTGGATGTCTGTCCACGTGTATCCGGGCACCCGGATAAAATGGGAGGGGTGAGACTGGGTGGAGAGGGGAGGGTGGGGAGGGTGGGGAGGGGCTAGGTGGGGAGGGTGGGGAGGGGCTGGGTGGGGAGGGGGTGGCTGGGTGGGGGGTGGAGAGGGTGGGGCTGGGTGGGGGGTGGAGAGGGTGGGGCTGGGTGGGGGGTGGGAGGGGGGTGGGAGGGGTGGGGCTGGGTGGGGAGGGGCTGGTCACCCCGTGGTGCCCTTATAAAACTCAACGTTTAACCTACTCACGCCGGCTTGTGCCCGCCCTCACAGTCGGGCATATTTGCGGAATACACCACGTGGTGGTGTCGCCGTTGACCCTGGCCATTGAGCGAGCAACCCAACGTTCCTACCAGCTCCCTTCGCAGGAATGTGTTTAATGAGGTTATGAGCAGTTAGGTGGTGTGGCGAGGTGGCATTGTGTGTGAAGAGGTGGTGTGGTGAGCGGCGAGGTGGTGAGGTGAGCGGTGAGGGACCTCTCACCGCGTCGTTGTCCACGATGCTGGTGCCAGGCTCGGTGCCGGCGGTTGCCATCTCTGCGCCGTACGGCTGCTCGTAGTAGCCCTGGCGCACGGAACAAATGACTCGGTGGACTCAACGGAACCGCCGAGGCGGAGACCGTGAAGAACTACGACGGAACGTAACCCTCAGCGCCGTATTCTTATTCGTGGCTCAGCTCCGACTCGGCTCTGACTCGGCTCTGGCTCGGTTTGTGTAAATCTCGAGCGCGGCTGGGACCGTGCCCACAGCCGGCTCAAGTTAAGCTCACGAGCCTTGAGCCACTGCTCGCTTGAGCCAGAACCAAGACGGAGAATATAGGCCTGTATGTGTGTGTGCCGTGGTTGCGGTGCGGCACCTGTGTGTGTGTGCTGTGGTTGCGGTGTGGTACCTGTGTGTGTGTGTGTGCTGTGGCTGCGGTGTGGCACCTGTGTGTGTGTGTGTGTGCGCCGTGGTTGCTGTGTGGTACCTGTGTGTGTGTGTGCGCCGTGGTTGCGGTGTGGTACCTGTGTGTGTGTGTGTGCGCCGTGGTTGCTGTGTGGTACCTGTGTGTGTGTGTGCCGTAGTTGTTGTGCGGTACCTGTGTGTGTGCTGTGGTTGCGGTGTGGTACCTGTGTGTGTGTGCTGTGGCTACGGTGTGGTACCTGTGTGTGTGTGCCGTGGTTGTGGTGTTGTACCTGTGTGTGTGTGCCGTGGTTGCTGTGTGGTACCTGTGTGTGTGTGTGTGTGCCGTGGTTGCGGTGTGGTACCTGTGTGTGTGTGCCATGGTTGTGGTGTGGCACCTGTGTGTGTGCCATGGTTGTGGTGTGGCACCTGTGTGTGTGTCTGCCGTGGTTGCGGTGTGGTACCTGTGTGTGTGTGTACCGTGGTTGTGGTGTGGTACCTGTGTGTGTGTGTGCCGTGGTTGTGGTGTGGTACCTGTGTGTGTGCTGTGGTTGCTGTGTGGAACCTGTGTGTGTGTGTGCCGTGGTTGCGGTGTGGTACCTGTGTGTGTGTGCCGTGGTTGTGGTGTGGTACCTGTGTGTGTGTGTTGTGGTTGCGGTGTGGTACCTGTGTGTGTGTGTGCCGTGGTTGCGGTGTGGTACCTGTGTGCGTGTGTGTGCCGTGGTTGTGGTGTGGTACCTGTGTGTGTGTGTTGTGGTTGCGGTGTGGGTGTGTGTGTGTGCCGTGGTTGCGGTGTGGTGCCTGTGTGTGTGCCGTGGTTGTGGTGTGGTACCTGTGTGTGTGCCGTGGTTGTGGTGTGGTACCTGTGTGTGTGCCGTGGTTGCGGTGTGGTACCTGTGTGTGTGTGTGCCGTGGTTGCGGTGTTGTACCTGGTAGCCACCACCGCCGTAGTCTCCGGGGAATTCTCCGGGCTCCCCAGCGTCCGCCTTTATCCCGGAGAACTCGAGGGGAGCGTCCTGTACGGAGTCGCCCGTGGCCGGGCATGGCACCGCCGTCCCGGCTCCTGTCCCAAGAAAAAAAGACCCGGGGCAGACTTCAGAATAAGGATTTTAATTTGTACACGATAATGTGAAAGAGCAGCCCTGCAATCGCTGGCTCACGCCACCGCTGGCAGAAGGGCCTCCACTAGAGAGGGTAACTCGGCAGCCGATTATTCCGAGTCGGAGAATTGCCACGGACGATGAAATCGCGGGAACTAATTCCCAAGCCGTTTTACAAAGAGGCCACCTCCAAAACAAGCGGCGGTGTCGACGGGCGCCGGCGGTGTGGGCCTACCCAGCAGGTTGACGGCAACGCCGGGCGGCGAGGCGCCCGTGCCGGGCCGCGCCGGCAGGGAGAAGAAACTGGCGCCGCCCCCGCTAGCCGCCTGCTCCTCCTCGCCGTCACTGGCATCGTCGTCGTCGCCGACGGCGTGGGGCGGCGCCTGCCGCGCCACGCCGTCGCCGACGGCGTGGGGCGGCGCCTGCCGCGCCACGCGCTGCAGCACGGCCGCCCGCGACGCCGCCTTGATGGCCGAGGGGCTGGGCACCTGCGCCGTCGGGGCCGCGGCCCTCCGGGCCTTCGTCAACGCGTGCGGCACGAGCGGCCGCGAGGTCACCTTGGTGCCGGCGAGCGAGGCGGCGGACAGCACGCCGCCCCGCGGCTTGGGCAGCAGCGCGGAGAGGCCCGTGGTGCCCGGTGCCACCTGCCGGCACGGGGGAACGAGACGGGGCGCGCGGTTGGATTTGCCCAGCGGCGGACGGCGTGAAGCGCCACCCTACGCGAGTTTAACGCAGCCGATATCACGAATCAGAATTCACTTGTTGCGTCGGGCCAACGTAATGGGACGATGAAATTTGTGTCGTCTAGACCCCGCACGCCACCCGACGTAGCGGAACAAATGTCGTTGTCACATGGTGCACAATTAACAGCACCAATTATTACCGTTGTTGTGCGAGCTTGCCGGCAAGTTGAAGAGTCGCACAATTGGGTGAGCGAGTGACTGGGAGGGAACCGGTGAGTGAAGCTGACAGCAGCGGTCGCGTGAGTGCTCGGAGTGGGGTGAGCGAGTGAGCCGGGGTGAGCGGGGGTGAGCGAGTGAGCCGGGGTGAGCGAGGGTGAGCGGGGGCGAGCGAGTGAGCGGGGGTGAGCGAGTGAGCGGGGGGTGAGCGGGGGTGAGCGAGTGAGCGGGGGGTGAGCGGGGGTGAGCGAGTGAGCGAGTGAGCGGGGGTGAGCGAGTGAGCGGGGGCGAGCGGGGGTGAGCGAGTGAGCGTAGGTGAGCGAGTGAGCTGGGGTGAGCGAGTGAGCGGGGGTGAGCGAGTGAGCCACGGTGAGCGAGTGAGCGGGGGTGAGCGAGTGAGCCGGGGTGAGCGGCGGTAATATAGGGGCGGTGCGTCTGAGCGAGCGAGAGCGATGGCGGAGGAAGAGGCACTCACCGTGGATGGCGCAAACCTCTTCACTTTGGGCTCCTCGTCCTCATCATCAGAGTCGGGCTGCGGGACACGGGGCAACACCCTCATGAGCACGCGAACACAGACTCCTAAACAGTTACACAAACATGGGTGTATGAACACAGGCTCCTGTCAAGCGACATCAGCCGCCATTCGTCACCAAGTGTGTGCATGTTGAACTTCTTTCGCACTGTACGTCGCCAACCCTGCTATTTGGAGGTGCGCGGGAAGGCCAACAAACTAAACACAAACATTATTTCCTCGGAAATTAGCTTTCAATCAAGATTTTAACTTGGCGGTGATGTCACCACGGCGCTAATGCCAGGCCAGGCGCACTCCGAGGCCACGTGAAAGTGTCGAAGGCTCACCTGACTAGAGAGGTCACGGGACAGACCCAAGTGCCATGGGTTGAATGACATAAACACTCCCATATAATCACAAACATTCCGAAACAAATACACACGTAATTACATGTAATAAAATACACACCAGGCTTGATTTTTGAAGCTTTCGTGACTGCAGGAATCCACACTCTGTGGTTCTTTCGGTAAAGGTACCAGTAGGTAGAAAAATTTACAGATCACCACGTTTCGATCGCAACACAAGCAATCGTCATCAGGTGGGACAACCACAGCAAGAACTGCTGAAGTGTAGGTGAGGCCTATACAGTAAAACCTCGTGCCACCGCATAACTCTCGCCTACACTTCAGCAGTTTTCTCTTGCTGTGGTTGTCCCACCTGATGCCGATTGCTTGTGTTGCGATCGAAACGTAGTCATCTATTATTTTTCTACCTACGGTGACTTTACGCGAAAGAACCAAAGAGTATACAAAGACACACCCTCTTGTGTACATGAACGCGGGCTACTAATGTGAAGTAAATACAAATGCACAATCACATCAAAACGCACAACAACACCTGACCAGATATAAGACAATTGAAACCAAACTATTTTGTATTTTACCAGGTAAGGCCCCACTGAGCTAAGCAACATTTTTTTTCAGAAGCGACCTGGCCAATCGCAAATGATAGCTCAACGAAGTAGCCCATCATAGTGTAAATGTATAGCAGCCAAATACTCGGAACGCGTGATGTCTCTAAATGTTAAAGGAAAATCGTAGGACCCGGGGAAAGAATCCACACGACCAAGGGGAGAACACGCAAACTCCAAATATACCACAGCAGGCGTCATGGTCAGGATCGAACCATCGACCTCCTGCATACCAGGCGAGATAGTTAACATCTCATAGCCACCGTGATGATGATGATGATGAGAGAGACACGCAAACTCCAAATATACTACAGCAGGCATCATGGTCAGGATCGAACCCACGACCTCCTGCATACCAGGCGAGATAGTTAACATCTCATAGCCACCGTGATGATGATGAGAGAGACACGCAAACTCCAAATATACAGCAGCAGGCATCATGGTCAGGATCGAACCCACGACCTCCTGCATACCAGGCGAGATAGTTAACATCTCATAACCACCGTGATGATGATGAGAGAGACACGCAAACTCCAAATATACAGCAGCAGGTGTCATGGTCAGGATCGAACCCACGACCTCCAGCATACCAGGCGAGATAGCTAACATCTCATAGCCACCGTGATGATGATGATGATGAGACACGCAAACTCCAAATATACAGCAGCAGGCGTCAGGATCGAACCCACGACCTCCTGTATACCAGGCGAGATAGTTAACATCTCCTAGCCACCGTGATGATGAGAGACACCGCAAACTCCAAATATACAGCAGCAGGCATCAGGGTCGAACCCACGACCTCCTGTATACCAGGCGAGGTAGTTAACATCTCCTAGCCACCATGATGATGATGAGAGAAAGAGACACGCAAACTCCAAATATACTACAGCAGGCGTCATGGTCAGGATCGAACCCACGACCTCCTGTACACCAGGCGAGATAGTTAACATCTCATAGCCACCGTGATGATGATGAGAGAGACACGCAAACTCCAAATATATAGCAGCAGGCGTCATGGTCAGGATTGAACCCACGACCTCCTGCATACCAGGCGAGATAGTTAACATCTCATAGCCGCCGTGATGATGATGAGAGAGACACGCAAACTCCAAATATACTACAGCAGGCGTCATGGTCAGGATCGAACCCACGACCTCCTGCATACCAGGCGAGATAGTTAACATCTCATAGCCACCGTGATGGTGATGAAAGAGACACGCAAACTCCAAATATATAGCAGCAGGCGTCATGGTCAGGATCGAACCCACGACCTCCTGCATACCAGGCGAGATAGTTAACATCTCATAGCCACCGTGATGATGATGATGAGAGAGACACGCAAACTCCAAATATACAGCAGCAGGCGTCAGGATCGAACCCACGACCTCCTGTATACCAGGCGAGATAGCTAACATCTCATAGCCACCGTGATGATGAGAGACACCGCAAACTCCAAATATACAGCAGCAGGCATCAGGGTCGAACCCACGACCTCCTGCATACCAGGCGAGGTAGTTAACATCTCATAGCCACCGTGATGATGATGATGAGAGAGACACGCAAACTCCAAATATACAGCAGCAGGAGTCAGGGTCAGGATCGAACCCACGACCTCCTGCATACCAGGCGAGATAGTTAACATCTCATAGCCACCGTGATGATGATGAGAGAGACACGCAAACTCCAAATATACTACAGCAGGCGTCATGGTCAGGATCGAACCTACGACCTCCTGCATACCAGGCGAGATAGTTAACATCTCATAGCCACCGTGATGATGATAAGAGAGACACGCAAACTCCAAATATACTACAGCAGGCGTCATGGTCAGGATCGAACCAACGACCTCCTGCATACCAGGCGAGATAGTTAACATCTCATAGCCACCGTGATGATGATAAGAGAGACACGCAAACTCCAAATATACTACAGCAGGCGTCATGGTCAGGATCGAACCAACGACCTCCTGCATACCAGGCGAGATAGTTAACATCTCATAGCCACCGTGATGATGATAAGAGAGACACGCAAACTCCAAATATACAGCAGCAGGCGTCAGGGTCGAACCCACGACCTCCTGTACACCAGGCGAGATAGTTAACATCTCATAGCCACCGTGATGATGAGAGACACCGCAAACTCCAAATATACAGCAGCAGGCATCAGGGTCGAACCCACGACCTCCTGCATACCAGGCGAGGTAGTTAACATCTCATAGCCACCGTGATGGTGATGATGAGAGAGACACGCAAACTCCAAATATACAGCAGCAGGCGTCATGGTCAGGATCGAACCCACGACCTCCTTCATACCAGGCGAGATAGTTAACATCTCATAGCCACCGTGATGATGATGAGAGACACCGCAAACTCCAAATATACAGCAGGCGTCATGGTCAGGATCGAACCCACGACCTCCTGCATACCAGGCGAGGTAGTTAACATCTCATAGCCACCGTGATGATGAGAGACACCGCAAACTCCAAATATACAGCAGCAGGCGTCAGGGTCGAACCCACGACCTCCTGTATACCAGGCGAGGTAGTTAACATCTCCTAGCCACCATGATGATGATGAGAGAAAGAGACACACAAACTCCAAATATACAGCAGCAGGCGTCAGGGTCGAACCCACGACCTCCTGTACACCACGCGAGGTAGTTAACATCTCATAGCCACCGTGATGATGAGAGAGACACGCAGACTCCAAATATACAGCAGCAGGCGTCAGGAACGAACCCACGACTTCCTGTACACCAGACGAGATAGTCAACATTTCATAGCCACCGTGATGATGAGAGAGACACAAACTCCAAATATACAGCAGCAGGCGTCAGGGTCGAACCCACGACCTCCTGTACACCATGCGAGGTAGTTAACATCTCATAGCCACCGTGATGATGAGACACACAAACTCCAAATATACAGCAGCAGGCGTCAGGGTCGAACCCACGACCTTCTGTATAACCAGGCGAGGTAGTCAACATTTCTCAGGGTAATCGAACTCACGACCTCCTGTATACCAGGCGAGGTAGTCAACATCTCTCAGGGTAATCGATCCCACGGGACCTCCTGTGGACCAAGCGAGGTAGTCAACATCTAGCCACCGTGGCGCCCCGAACCACACAGCCACAGGAGGAGCGACCTGGGCCTCAAGACGCAGCTGAAGGCTTTTGTGTCAACAAGCGACGTGAAGACACGAACACTACGTCTCTCGTCGTCGGCTCTGACCATCACGTCGGTGGCACTTGGTCAGGGACACGTCGCCTGGATAGAGACAAGGCGGTGTGGGACGACAGCCTCCCAGCAGTAGATAGAGCGTGGCTGATGATGACGATGGTGATGAGCGTGGGGAGGGCTTCACGCAGTAGCAGTAGATAGAGCGTGGCTGGTGATGACGATGGTGGTGGTGATGAGCGTGGGGAGGGCTTCACGCAGTGCAGTAGATAGAGCGTGGCTGATGATGATGGTGGTGGTGGTGATGAGCGTGGGGAGGGCTTCACGCAGTAGCAGTAGATAGAGCGTGGCTGATGATGATGTTGATGATGGTGGTGATGATGATCGTGGGGAGGACTTCACGCAGTAGCAGTAGATAGAGCGTGGCTGGTGATGATGTTGATTATGGTGGTGGTGATGAGCGTGGGGAGGGCTTCACGCAGTAGCAGTAGATAGAGCGTGGCTGGTGACTATGACGATGGTGGTGGTGATGATGAGCGTGGGGAGGGCTTCACGCAGTAGCAGTAGATAGAGCGTGGCTGGTGACTATGATGTTGATGATGGTGGTGGTGATGAGCGTGGGGAGGGCTTCACGCAGTAGCAGTAGATAGAGCGTGGCTGATGATGGTGGTGGTGATGATGAGCGTGGGGAGGACTTCACGCAGTAGCAGTAGATAGCGCGTGGCTGATGATGGTGGTGGTGATGATGAGCGTGGGGAGGACTTCACGCAGTAGCAGTAGATAGAGCGTGGCTGGTGACTATGACGAGAGCGCGGAGGCGTTCGCGTCGCGGTTGTGTGGACCACGGCTCGCGGCGGTGGCGGCGGCGGCGAGGGTCTCACGTCTCGCAGGGCTGGCGCCGCGATGCGCACTGGCTGCCCGCGCCGCCTCGGGGCCAAGAGGCCCGGGGCAGCAGCCGTCGCCGCCTCGTCGTCGTCGTCCTCGCTGCTCGCGTACGCCACGAGCGACATGGCCCGACCGCCCCCCGCCCCAAGGCCGCCCCACCCGGCTCGCCACCGCCAATCTTCCCCTCAGTTAATCGCCGATCTTCCACATCGGCGACGTCGCCTCAGCCGCGCTTAATTAACCGGGGCCCTGATGAGTGAATTGGAAGCCTCCCGCCACGGGCCCCTCGCTCCACTGTTTAATCTGCGTCGCCGAGTGGCGCCGCGGCGGCCATCTTACTAAGGGGAGTCCTTTACGCTCAATTCCGATTGGCGAGCGGCCATCTTACAAAGGGGGAAGGGGTCTTTACGCTCGATTCCTATTGGCGAGCGGCCATCTTACTAAGGGTGGGGGGGGGTCCTTTACGCTCGATACTTATTGGCGAGCGGCCATCTTACTAAGGGCGGGGGCGTCCTTTACTCTCGATTGCTATTGGCGAGCAGCTCTATGACGTCCGCTCTGAGCAAGGCGGCTGTCCGTGTTCTCTCCCCTGAGCAAGATGGCTCAGGGTGTCACGTGATACGTTGAGGATAATCAGAACATTTGCTTCTGAAAATAGATTTATCCTGGAGAAATCCGATTAACTATAAAGCTCTTTTTAGTAGATGTCCAGGAGGGGCGGGTAAGAACGTTACAACAATACACACAAAAAACACGATAGGTTTGGAAAGTATAGGAAAGTTTTGATTTAAAGCTTTTGTGACTGCAGGGATTCATATTCTTGCTGTGGTTTTCACACCTGATGATGATTGCTTGTGTTGCAATCGAAACGTCATGAGAATGTTATTGTTTTATTTTTATTATTTCCCTTCTACGTGACTTTACCGAAATAACCAAGAATATAGGAAAGTTTAAAAAAATCATAAAAAATATACAATTAAAACCAAACAAATGTTTAAGCATACCAGGTAAAGCCCACTGAGGTATTAACTTCCTTTTCAGAAGCGATATGGCCACAAATGATGGCTCAACGAAGTGGCTCATCATCATCATCATCACGTGGCAATTTATAGCAACCAAATACTAGATTTGAAGCTTTCGTGACTGCAAGGATCCATACTCTTTGGTTCTATTCGGTAAAGTCACGTGGGTAAAAAATAAAACAACAAAAATCACGACGTTTCGGCCACAACACAAGTGGCCTTCATCAGGTGAAGGGACCGTACTGTCCAAAGGACAGCGTTGGAGTGAAGACAGCCAAGCGCAGGTCGCGTCCTTTAAGCTGTGTGGGAGGAAACAAAACGCTTTGACAAAGGAATTAGCGTGTTTCTTCCCACACAGCTTAAAGGACGCGACCTGGGCTTGACTGTCTTCACTCCAACGCTGTCTTTTGGACAGTACGGTCCATTCACCTGATGAAGGCCACTTGTGTTGTGGCCGAAACGTCGTGATTTTTGTTAATTTTTTACCTACGTGACTTTACCCAAGAGAACCAAAGAGTAAGCAACCAAATACTCTAAACGCGTGATTGTTCATTCTCAATGTGGCAGGACAAACCGGAGTACCCGGAGACACGCAAAGGGGGCCGTCCATAAATGACGTCACGCACCTAGGGGTGTGTGACGATGTGTGACGAGGGGGGGGGGGGGTGAGAAATGTGACGTCACATCAAAATGCGCAACTTTAAATAAATATAGACAACACGTTCTGCCTAATGAAATAGACTTTTTAATAAATGTTTTCTCCTACAACATCAGAGTGCAGCGCCACATTAAATACGCACTACAACGACAATAGTTTAAAACGATTTGAAGCATTTTGATTTAAAGCTTTCGTGACTGCAGTAATTCATATTCTTAGTTTTTTCGGTAAAGTCACGTTGAAGAGAAACAACAAAATAATAAAATATATAAAACAATAAAAAATTCTCACGACGTTTCGACCATAACTCAAACGGTCATCTTCAGGTGTGTTGGTTTGCATAAATAAATGCGCCGTTTAAAAATAAATTTATGCAAACCAACACACCTGAAGATGACCGTTTGAGTTATGGTCGAAACGTCGTGAGAATTTTATATTGTTTTATATATATTTTATTATTTTGTTGTTTCTCTTCAACGTGACTTTACCGAAAAAACTAAGAATATTATTTGAAGCATGTTTTATATTTTTTGGGGGGGGGGTGCAGAGCTTTGTGACGTCATATTTGAGGGGGGGTCTCAATTTTTGTGACGCCGTGTGACGAGGGGGGGGGGTGGTCAATAATATCCCCTCTCCAAAGTGTCACACGATGAAGGGCCATTGTGCGAAACGTCGACTGTTATTCTAAGGCCACTGCCAACAACAGCATCACCAAATAAACAAAATGTTGACAAACGTGAAGTTAGAAAGGCTATCTTTATTGGTAATCATCATTGTACAGATCACTCGCGGGCAGGTGCTCGTGGCGTCGCGATGTGAACCACGTGGACGTGGGGGGGGGGGGGTAACGATTGACGGCTATTCATATTCCAGTCGGAATCTCTATGTGATCCAGATTCCATGTTACAAATTGCAAGTTTATTGTTATTTTTTTTAAATGTACGCATATAGCGGCGTCTAGCGGCCGAATCGTTCACGTTATAACCCCCGTTGCATTCATCAACATTGATTTGTAATCGTTTAACGGGGCTTCCTCGGTCGATCCACTGCTGGATGAAGGCCTCCCCCCACGCAGTGTCGGTCACAGGGGAGGCACTGCTTGACCATACTTCACCACACTTCATGAGAGCGGTGGCGGGGTAGAGACCCGGGTACCGGATCGAGACATCGCGAGCCACCGACGGGAGCCGTGGACGGAAATCCAATTAATGTTCGCCACCAGGAGTTCGTAAAACCAGGCGCGCCGAGCGGTGTGTCATCGCTCCCCACGCGTGGCGAACCCCCCGGGCGACGTGGGGAAAAAAAATCGCTGCGGAACGGTCGGTCGCGACATCGTCACCCACCCTCCCCGGCCGGCGTCCACCGCGGGACACGAGAAAAATGCGATTAAACGCGGACAATCGGAACGCTGACCGCCCGGACTACTACGCGCGTGTGTGTACGTGTGTGTGTACGCGTGTGTGTGTACGCGTGGAACGCGTGGAACGCGTGGAAGGAGGAACGGCTCGCGTGCGGGGAAAAAACCAGCCGGCCGCGGCGTGGCAACGCGGCTTACAACCGCCACGCCAACACACGCGGGCAGGAGCAACTAGCGGCTGCACGCAAACTACGACGAAGGGGACGGCGACGACGATGGTCGTGGTGGAGATGCTGGTGACGGGAATGACCATTACAATTATGATGACGCTTGCTCTGATGACGACGGAGACGGCGGCGTTTTTGTTGATAGCGACGATTACGGGAGATGGCGATGTGACAATGAACCATCGTGATGTCAGTAATAATCACTGACGACGGTGACGACGCCGGTGACAAATGCGGCGCGATGACGACGGCGGCGGCGGTTGCCAACGATGTGGTGAACGTGATGATGGCGACGATGGCTGCGACGATGATGGCGACGATGATGGCGACGATGGCGGCGACGATGATGGCGACGATGATGGCGACGATGATGGCGACGACGATGGCTGCAGAGGAACCTGGAGCCACGTGGAGGAGACGTCAACCCACTGTCACTCCACCCCCTAGCTCCACGGCGCTAGCGCCCCCACGCCGACCACTCCCCCCCGGCCGCCCCGGTCACGCGCGCTTGCGCTTGCGAACTCCGAACCGCTTGCTCCGCTGCTTGTACATGTGGCGGAAGTTGATGCAGACACCTGGGGTCAGGGGGGGGGGGAGGTCAAGCGCAAGGTCAACTCAAACAAGGCGCGACGCGCTACGCGTTTCCCCCGACTCCCTGCGGTCCTCCCCACCGAGCGACAGAAACACGCGGTGAGAGCGGTGTCCCTCACTTCATTTTCAGAGGGGGGCCACTTTCGCTGACGAGGCATCGTCAGTGCGAGAGCCACCACACATTGGAAACCATTGGGGGTTGACAGCAGCACGACGACGACGATGATAACGATGGCGATGATGATGATGACGGGGGACGTTTTCACTCTGTGTGTACTGTCGGGGGGACGCACGCCAGGGGTCGCGCGAAGGCCCCACCAAGAGCCGTCGGTGGCCCGCGTGCCTTGCGATGAAGAACACTCGTTTAAATTATTTGGCCGCTATATATGTCCACGTGATGATGAGAAGCCACTTCGTTGAGCTATCATTTGTGGCCAGGTCGCTTCTGGAAAAGAAGCTAATAGCTCAGTGGGGCCCCTTACCCGGTAAAAATTAAAGTTTCATTTTCTTAGTGATTTGCTTACCTTTCCCTATCGTATTTTTGTATCGTACCTATCTTATATATATAGCACATTTATACAAGGCACTTCACAAGGGTTGTGAGTGGTACAATAAGGGTATCTAAATGCGATACTGTGAATAGGGATGTGGGTATGGGGAGGGAGGTTTCGTGGGTACGAGAATTACGGGGGGGTACACCTGGAGGGATGGAGGGAAGGATGGGCCAGGGAGAAGAGGTGGGGGGTCGTGAGGTAGGGGCGGAAACTCGACAGGGAGGGCTGCGTGCTTAACGTGGAGCTTTGTAAGCTCATCGGATTCCTCCTGAAGTCTAAAATAAAGATTCTGACCAACCGATCGACTCCCCCCTCCCGATCACGGTGCTCAAACGCACGCTGCGTGCTGCACACACCGACGGCGAGGATGACCAGGTAGGCGTAGAGGACGTAGGGGAAGTGCACGGACGAGTTGAGCACGTTGGGCAGCCGCACCGAGAGGGCCTGCGACGCCTCGAACAGCGGGATGGCGCTCAGCACGCACGCCGCTACGGTGGGGCGGGGGAGAGGGGGGGGTGGGTGGGTGGTGCCGTCAAAACACTCGCCGACTTCAAGACCACGAGTTAAGAACGACCGTCGTCACGAGTGAAAGCGAGCGGCCACGGGCTGGGCCACGGCAGAAACTCGTGCGGCACCGATAGAAACCGGCCAGGCGAGGGATCGCGTCCCCGGCTCGTGGACGTCGGCGAGGGGCGGTCGAGCTCCGATTCAATCCTTCGCATTGCTTTACGAGGATTTCGCCGGTTTACCCGGCACAAGCCTCGCCGAGCCTCGAGGCTCCGTCTGCAGGGAGGGTCCCCCGCCAGGTTTTGTCGCAGCAGGCGGCGATGTTGCTGCCCCGCGTAGAATCCCAAGTGAGCGATTTGCGGCGTGATTTTCGAATTTGGCAAATGTGGAGTCGTGACGCCGGCACACGATGCGACACCTCTTGGCAATGACGTCGCGGGCTCGTTAACGGCCACTGTGAAGCGGACGGCGCGTGGTGTTTTTATTACGTTGAGCACGCACCGCGGTATTAATCAGGGCGGCCGATGGGATCGAACCGCGAAGCTCTGGAATAAGCGGCGACCGCGCTACCACCGGACCGCGTTACCGCCCCACAATGGTGCGGCACTTGTGGTGAACGAACGGTGGGCGTGGAGCGTGTGGAGCATGTGGAGCGTGTGGTGTGTGGAGCGTGTGGAGCGTGTGGTGTGTGTGTGTGGAGCGTGTGGTGTGTGTGTGTGGAGCGTGTGGTGTGTGGTGTGTGGAGCGTGTGGTGTGTGGTGTGTGGAGCGTGTGGTGTGTGGTGTGTGGAGTGTGTGGAGCGTGTGGTGTGTGGAGCGTGTGGAGAGTATGTGGAGCGTGTGGAGCATGTGGTGTGTGGACCGTGTGGAGCGTGTGGTGTGTGTGGAGCGTGTGGAGCGTGTGGAGCGTGTGGAGCGTGTGGAGCGTGTGGTGTGTGGAGCGTGTGGAGCGTGTGTGGAGCGTGTGGAGTGTGTGGTGTGTGGAGCGTATGGTGTGTGGAGAGTGTGTGGAGCGTGTGGTGTGTGGAGCGTGTGGAGAGTGTGTGGAGCGTGTGGAGCGTGTGGTGTGTGGTGAATGAACGGTGGGCTTGGAGCGCGTGGAGCGCGCGGTGAACGAACGGAGCGTGTGGAGCGTGTGGAGCGTGTGTAGAGCGTGTGAGTAAACGCATGACGTGGGTGAGTGTATGTGTGTGCGAATGTGTGTGCAGCGTGTGCATCAGTCCATTTCTTCTCCAGCCCATATCGTGCTCGTTTGGCCGCATAGAGGGGGCTAAACGGGCACGACACGGGCTGGCGAAGAGATGGAGCTGATACAGTCCGGGAGGATGTGGAGCTGAGTGGACTTGCCGACGACCGGTACCAGCGGTGTCAAGATCGGCCTCTATGAAGGCTCGTGAAGGACGCCGCTGCTGCTACTGAGCAGTTGGAGGCAGTCGCCCTCCAGCAACAACGGAGGGCAGAGCAGCGACGCTCACAACAATGAGCGGAGCGCTGGTTGGCTAAAATGCAGCAAGTTAGCACAGTAGGGGGGTACAGCTGGTGGTGCATCTGCCGGTCATCCCAGTCAGCCAACCCATGGCACCTGCTGGGTCTGTCCCGAGACCTCCTCCTGTCAGCAGAGAGCCTTCGACACTTCACGTGGCCTCAAAGTGCACCTGGCCTGGCACAGGCGCCGTGGTGACGTCACCGTCACCTAGTTGGGCTTGGCGGGTGTTGGTATTGCAGCGTGTGTAGTGCGAGTCCGGCAAAACAACCCCCTACCTCCTCGCGGTGCCGGACGGGCAACTCTGTCGTGGACAGTGCTGTGGGGGGAGGTCCAATTCCGATTGGCTCCTCCTCTCATGGCGTCTGTGACCACCACAGGGGCTAAACGGGGGCTCTGGACGGGTGCGAGGGGCTGGTAATCCCTCCACCTTCAAAAATTGACCACTAAACCACGCCTAAAATATCTAACTAATAAGCTTGTGTCGGAGGCCCCGGGGGGACAGGCGTCTATGACGTCTCCTGGCCAAACCCCAATTGGCGGAGCCAGGAGATTGAATATCTACCCTCAGGGCTTCTCCAGAAACAACGAAAAGCCACTACGTGTGGCCACGTGGAATGTTCGAACGCTCACTGCAGAGAGAGGCTGCCACTCCTCTGTCAGGAGCTGGACCGGTACCACCTAAATCCCTGTGGCATTCAGGAGGTCCGGTGGACCGGTTCTGGCTCCTGCCACCATGAGGGGTGGACAGTCCTCTACTCGGGGCAGCAGACTGCCAAACAACAGGGTGTGGCTCTTCTTATGAACAAAAGAATGAAGGGGGCGTGGGAGCGTGGCGGTGAGGTGTGGGAAGCTGTAAGCCCCAGGCTACTTTGGGCTCGCCTTCCCATCAATCGGAGGCGAGGAGTGATGGTTGTGGTTACTCATGCCCCCACCGAAGACGAACATCCTTGGAGGGATGCAGGCAAAGCCGTGAGTCAAATGCCTTCTATGACCTCCTGTCACAAGTGCTGGCTAAAGTGGCCCCTCGGGATAGAGTCACCTTGTTGGGTGACTTCAATGCCCGAGTTGGTCATGATGCTGGCACCTGGGCTGGAGTGATTGGAGGGTATGGGCCAGATCAGCTCAATAACAACGGTAGGAAGCTGCTAGATTTTTGTGCAGCCCATGGGCTTGTAATTACCAACACGCTGTTCCGGCATCGGCGCATCCACACAACATCATGGATGCATGCCGGGTCCAAGCAAGAACATCTGCTGGACTACATAGTGACGGACCAGCGGATGCGAGCCCATGTCCTTGACACCAGGACCTACCGTGGAGCTGATCTGCCCTCTGACCATCGACTTGTCATCTGTAAGATGCGCCTGCCAATCTTCCGCTCCGGTGGTGGGTATACACCCAGGACCCCATTCCAACCTAAAGTGACCTGGTCTCAGTTATCTGATGGAAGTTGCAAGCGAGAATTTCATCATCGCCTGCGGCTGGGGTTGGCATCGTCCTCCACTCCTCCTGATGTCGAGGGTAAATGGGCGAGGTTTAGGACTGTCACTCATGCAGCTGCATTGGCTGCTTTGGGTACACGGTCCAGACCTCCCCAGAGACCCTGGCTGACAGGCCCACTGTCATCATCTACAGAATCCCACGTCAGAGAATGAGGAGGCTTACCGCAGCCTTCGCTCGGAGGTTCGGAGAGCCGTGAGGCGCTGCAAGGATGGGTGGTGGTTGCGGGTTGCTGAGGAGATGGAGTCTGCCTCAGTGGCCCGCGAACACAAATCTCTATTTAACTCCATCAAAAAAGTAACCTGCAGCGCCACACCTATTACCATCATTAGGGGGAAAAACGGTGATCCAATCTCCGACCCCCAGGAACAGGTTTGCAGATTTGCTGAGCATTTCTGTGAGGTCCTGGGGGAGGGAAAATCCCTCAGCCAGGAAAACATCGTGGCACAAAGTGAGGATGACCCTGCTGAGGCTGCGGTGCCTCAAATATTGGAAGAAGTCACCCCCTGTGAGTGGCTGGCTGAGGTGCCATCTGTTGAGGAAGTACTGAAGGCGATCCGGAGTCTGAGATCAGGAAAGGCAGCAGGCAGAGATGATCTCCCAAGCGAAACGCTGAGGGAGGGTGGCGTTTGTGCACAGACTGCCCTATATGACATCATAACAAGTCTGGACCACTGGACGGGTTCCGCAGGATTGGAAGGATGCCCTGGTGGTCCTCCTCTTTAAGAAGGGGGATCGCACAGAGTGGTGAGTGTGGCGAGTGTGGTGAGTGTGGCGAGTGTGGTGAGTGTGGTGAGTGTGGCGAGTGTGGTGAGTGTGGCGAGTGTGGCGAGTGTGGCGAGTGTGGCGAGTGTGGCGAGTGTGGTGAGTGTGACGAGTGTGACGAGTGTGGCGAGTGTGGCGAGTGTGGCGAGTGTGGCGAGTGTGGTGAGTGTTGCGAGTGTGGCGAGTGTGGCGAGTGTGGTGAGTGTGGCAAGTGTGGTGAGTGTGGCGAGTGTGGCGAGTGTGGCGAGTGTGGCGAGTGTGGTGAGTGTGGCGAGTGTGGCGAGTGTGGTGAGTGTGGCGAGTGTGGCGAGTGTGGCGAGTGTGGTGAGTGTGACGAGTGTGGCGAGTGTGGCGAGTGTGGCGAGTGTTGCGAGTGTGGCGAGTGTGGCGAGTGTGGCGAGTGCGGCGAGTGTGGTGAGTGTGGCGAGTGTGGCGAGTGTGGTGAGTGTGGCGAGTGTGGCGAGTGTGGTGAGTGTGGCGAGTGCGATGAGTGTGGTGAGTGTGTGGTGAGCGTGGCGCGTTGCCTTCAGCGAGTGCTCCAAGCGGGTAGAGCGGGATCCACAGTGAGTAGCGGATCCAGGTGAGGAGTCTCCACTCCACGCCCACACTGCCCAGCATGTAGTAGGGGTACCTGCAGCACACCCAGCAGCACACTCCAGTCTCCACCACCGCCACCACCCATCAGGTGCGTGTGCAGCGTGAGTGCAGCGTGCGTGTGTGTGTGCATTCGTGCGTGCATTTGCATGCGTGTGTCGTCGCTGACAGCACTTGCCGAAATGGTCTGCTGCTACACGGGGGATATAGGTCTTGGTTTTGTGTGCGTGCGTGTGCAAATGTGTGCATGCATGTGTATGTGTGTGTGCGTGTGTGCGTGTGTGTATGTGTGTGCGTGTGTGCGTGTGCGTGTGTGTGTGCGTGTGTGCGAGTACATGTGTGTATGTGTGTATGTGTGTGTGCGTGTGTGTGCGTGTGAGTGTGTATGTGTGTGCGTGTATGTGTATGTGTGAGTGTGTGTGTGTGCGTGTGAGTGTGTGTGAGTGTGTATGTGTGTGTATGTGTGTGTGTGTGCGTGTGAGTGCGTGTGAGTGCGTATGTGTGTGTATGTGTGTGTGTATGTGTGTGTGTGTGCGTGTGAGTGTGTATGTGTGTGTATGTGTGTGTGAGTGTGTATGTGTGTGTATGTGTGAGTGTGTGCGTGTGTGTGTGTGTGCGTGTGTGTGTGTGCGTGTGTATGTGTGTGTGTGTGTGAGTGTGTGTGCGTGTGTATGTGTGTGTGTGAGTGTGTGTATGTGTGTGCGTGTGTGTGCGTGCGCGTACCGAAACACCTCGATGGCGCTCCACAGGTAGTAGACGGCGAAGGCGGTGTTGGTGGCGCTCAGTCGCTCGTGCATCCCGATCACCACAAAGAGCATGAAGCCCCGGCCCAGGACCTGGTGGCAGGGACGAGAGGGGAGGGGTCGGGGGGTAGGGGTCGGGGGGAGAGGGGGAGGGGCAGCGGAGCGGAGCGGAGGCTGAGACGACCGCACCACAGCCCAGGCACTGTGCTCCCAGCGGTTTGGGGTCAGGGTCGCCGGGTCGCGGCCTCAGGGTCGCGGCCTCAGGGTCGCGGCCTCAGGGCCGCGGCCTCAGGGTGACTGGTTAGGGTCGCGGGGTCAGGGTCACGGGGTCGGGATCGTGGGGCGGCACCTGCAGCGCGGTGGGGACGAGCGCGGCGGAGACAAGGCCGGCGAGCGGGTGGACGACCTCCAGCACGGCGAGCACTTGGCAGAAGCGCAGCACCTTGTGGGCGTCCTTGAGCGCCGAGCCCCAGAACTCTGGGGGGAGCGCGGGGATGAACAAGGAGACTCGCATGAATGTGCAAGTACTGGCGGACGTGCATGGTGTGGGGCGTACAAGCGGAGCCGTCAGGAGATATACATGTCCAGGGACACACGGAGACGCACGGGGGGGGGGACACGGGGGGGGGGGGACACGGGGGGGGGACACGGGGGGGGGACACGGGGGGGGGGGACATGGGGAGACACGGGGAGACATACGGGGAGGCATGGGGGGACACGGGGAGACACGGGGGGGGGACACGGGGGGGGGGACACGGGGGGGGGGGGACACGGGGAGACACGGGGAGGCACACGGGGAGACGCACGGGGAGAAACGGGGAGGCATGGGGGGGAACACTGGGAGACACAGGGAGACACGGGGACACACGGGGAGACACGGGGACACACGGGGAGACACGAGGAGGCACGGGGAGACACGGGGACACACGGGGAGACACGGGGAGACACGGGGACACACGGGGAGACACGGGGACACACGGGGAGACACGAGGAGGCATGGGGGGACACGGGGGGAGGCGCACCGTGTCCCAGTAGCAGCGGCACGGAGAGGCTGACGAGCACGTAGGCGAAGCCCAGCAGCTGCACCAAGTTGTACATGAAGAGGTAACCACGGTGCAGCGTGGAGAGCGCTGCACGGGGCAAACGGAGAACGCTCACCACCACCACCACTCACCACCACCACCACTCACCACCACCACCACTCACCACCACCACTCACCACCACTCACCACCACTCACCACCACCACTCACCACCATCACCACTCACCGCCACTCACCACCACTCACCAACACCACAACAACAACCACCATCACAGCGGTGCAAAGCATGGGGGAGGGGCACAGAACCCCTCACCAACACTCACCACTCAGTTAATCTACTCACCAAAACCCACCATGATAAATAACAATAAACCACCAGTCCCACCACCACCACAACACCAGTCCAACCACCACACTACCAGTCCCACCACCACCACCACAACACCAATTCCACCACCACCACAACACCAGTCCTACCACCACCACCACAACACCAGTCCAGCCACCACACTACCAGTCCCACCACCACCTCCACAACCACACCACCAGTCCCACCACCACGCCACTAGTCCCACCACCACACCACCAATCCCACCACCACCACACCACCAGCACCACCACACCACCAGTCCTACCACCACACCACCAGTCCCACCACCAAACCACCAGTCCTACCACCACCACCACAACACCAGTCCAGCCACCACACTACCTGTCCCACCACCACCACAACCACACCACCAGTCCCACCACCACACCACCAGTCCCACCACCACGCCACTAGTCCCACCACCACACCACCAATCCCACCACCATACCACCAGTCCCACCACCACCATACCACCAGTCCCACCACCACCACACCACCATCACCACCACACCACCAGTCCTACCACCACACCACCAGTCCCACCACCACACCACCAGTCCAACCACCACGCCACTAGTACCACCACCACAACACCAGTCCAGCCACCACACTACTAGTCCCACCACCACACCACCAGTCCCACCACCATACCACCAGTCCCACCACCACACCACCAGCACCACCACACCACCAGCACCACCACACCACCAGTCCCACCACCACCACACCACCAGCACCACCACACCACCTGCACCACCACACCACCAGCACCACCACACCACCAGTCCCACCACCACCACCACACCACAAGTCCCACCACCACCACACCACCAGTCCCACCACACCACCAGTCCTACCACCAGACCACCAGTCCCACCACTACACCACCATCACCACACCACCAGTCCCACCACCAGTCCCACCACTACACCACCACACCACCAGTCCCACCACCAGTCCCACCACTACACCACCACCACCACACCACCAGTCCCACCACCAGTCCCACCACTACACCACCATCACCACACCACCAGTCCCACCACCAGTCCCACCACTACACCACCACCACCACACCACCAGTCCCACCACCACCATCTGCGCTCCGTGGCTTTGCGCTGGGGATGCGGGGACAGAGCTCACGGTGTTTGCGGACGCGCGACTCCACGGTGACCTTCCCGATATTCTTCATCTCCTGCAGTCGGGGACACAACGGTAGAACCGTCACCGCCCGTCACGGATAACGTGCTGTTGTCGCACGGTGTGCATTTGGAGTGTGCACGTTCTCACCGTGGTCGCGTGGATATTTCTCTCTGGGCCTTGCGGAGGTAAAAATCCAGGTGCTTCTAGAGCAGGGGTGGGGAACGTCCGGCCCACGGGCCGTATAAGGCCCACAGGCCGTATAAGGCCCGAGAAATCATTGGGTCTGTTCAAGCCATCGCATTAGGGGCGAGTTAATTAAATGTTTGACCAAATATAACGGCCTAATTTTTAGGTTGATAATTTTGTATGGCCCCGCGAATTATGTCATATAAATATCCAAATGGCCCTTGGCAGAAAAAAGGTTCCCCACCCCTGGTTTAGAGTACAGATAGTCCCCCCGACTTACGATATTTCGATCTTACGATGGCAATACGGCAAAATTGTAAAATATTTAAAATTTTGCGCGGCAGGCAAACGCAGCAGCGTACGAGGTATTTGTTTTTTTATAGCAGATAGGATTGTTTCCTGAAAAAAACGTTCTATTAAATTGCAGTCCATATAGGTAGGCTAAGAATTTACCTTGTTTATTACTTTACATTTTACTGTGCAATACAGTATTGTAATTAACAAATACATACAGTACATCGTTTATACAGTACGGTACTGTAAATTGCTCTGTTTTGCTAAATTATCACCATTCTTTAAGACTCCTGCGTAGGCTAAGGCCATCTTCGACTTACGATATTGTTGACTTACGATGGGGTCGTCGTAACGCACCTCCATCGTAAGTAGAGGACTACCTGGATTTCAACGCGCATGCTTAAAGAGTATTTCGCCGCTGTAAATGTCTGCGCAACGAGCCACTTCGTTGGGCTATCTCATTTGTGATGGCCAGGGTCGCTTCCCGATAAAAGAGCTGCGTAGCTCAGTGGGGCTTTACCTGGCAAGATAAAAATGGTTTATGTTCGTGGTTCTTTCGGTAAAGTCACGTAGAAGGGAAACAATAAAATAATAATGTTTTATTATTTATTATTATTTTATTGTTTCCCTTCTACGTGACTTTACCGAAAGAACCAAGAATATGAATCCCTGCAGTCACGAAAGCTTTAAATAAAAAAAAATGGTTTAGTCAAGTTAAAAATAGTATCCGCTCATCGCGCTCAAACAGACCGAGTTTGACGGGGCCCCGGGGGGGGGGGGGGGGGGGGGTAGGGGAGCCACGGACGAGCGGGAGAGGCAGCAGCGGCCAGGTAGCGAGCCAGCGCCAACCTTTGCCCATGCTCTATGGTGCACTACGTATGCAGGTTTATCCGCCCATGAATGAGTGTTTATACATGCGGGGAGGAAACCGCAGCGTCCGCTGAAAAGCCACGTGCGAGGGGGAAACGCTCTATCTCGTACAGAGGGAACAGGTGCGCAGTCCACGCTTTTGCTGTGACCGCCTTCTCCTGGCAAGAGACTGGGGGCGGCTCCTCCTCGACAGCCACGCCGCGGGGAAGGGAGTTTCACAACATTTGCACGGTGATCCACCAACCCTCCCCTTCTCATCGCCACGTCGTCATTGTCATCATCCTCGTCGTTGTCATCTTCGACGGGGTGATCGTCGTCATCATCCTTCCTCATCGTCGTCATTGTCAACGTCGTCATCCTCGTCGTCATCATCATTGTCGACGTCGTCGTTGTCATCGTCGTCGTTATCATCACCATCGTCATTGGGGAGCGGTCGGGTTCCGTCGACCGCGCGCCCAACCCCCAAACCTCACCTCGAGCCGCAGCTCCTCCTCGGCGTCGGACTCGTCCATCCAGCGGTCGAAGTCGGGCATCAGAAAGTTTGGGCGGCGCTCGGCGCTGGTGAGGCGCCCCCACCAGGCCGGCGTGGCCTTGCGCAGCGTGATGGCCACCTCGCGCTGCGTGACTCGCACGCTCGCCGCCGGCGTCTCCACCGCCTCCAGCAGCTCCAGCGAGAACTCGTAGCGGTTCTGGCCCTGGGCGCCGTAGCCGTAGCCTGGCGGGTGGGTGGGCGGCGGCGTCGGCGGCGATGGAGCGGTAAAGTGCAGAGGTTAGTGCGCCGCGATGCGAACCCGGCGACTCGAGTTCGATTCCCGCTCATGACAATTATCTGAACCGGTCCTGGGCCTCCCCTAGGTCGACTCGGCCTCAAATGAGTACCAGGTGTGACGTGTAATCATCGCCTCTCGGGAGACAAAGGTGGCCGGCTTTCATAGGTGCCACTCGCTAACAACAGTACTTGCTCCAACAGTCTGCTAAGGCTGTACGGGGGAATATTTGTCTTCGGTGATGGTGGAGGTGGAAATGCAGGCGATGGCAACATTGACAGAAGCAGCAGCAGCAGTAGTGACGACGCCCCTTGCTAAGCCTCGCCAAGTCCTAAGAATTATTTCCAGGAGAGTGCTGGCTGCCGGGATGTTTGGCCAATTTTTGAACGAGGGTTTGGCTTCATGTGGAGCTGCAGTGCGATGCACACCAGACCACCGGCACCGATGGCGCCGATATTGATGAATGTCACGACAGTGATGATGGGCAAGATTGATTTTAACGATTCTGTAGATGCTGATCGTGGTGATGAAGACGACTTGGAAGACATACGAGTGTGACTGTCGGCGGCGGTGCTCATGGCAATTCTGGTTCATCTCAAGTTGGAGTCGATTAAGCCGACGATGACGATGAGAGCCCCCTCCTTAATACAGGTTTTTATGGGTTAGATCGCGTAAATATATAAATGTGTCAGTAAACCCACCATCACCCCACGCAGCCAATTATTAAGATTTGTCACGTAAACAGAACGTGCCGATTCGTTACGAGTACAGCACGCCGGTGGGTTGGAGAGCAAAAACCACAACATTTACAATCCAAGTGGCTTTGCTCTCCAACACAACCGGTGTGCTGTCCGAGTAACGAATTGGCACGTTCTGTTTACATGACAAGCCTTACTAATTGGCTGCGTGGGGTGGTGGCGGGTTTAACGACTTTTATATATCGAAGCGATCCAACCCAAAAAAAACCTGTATTATATTGGTCGCGAAAGCCTCCTACGTCGTGTTAAACCAGGGGTGGGGAACCATTTGTCTGCCAAGGGCCATTTGGATATGTATAACATCATTCGCGGGCCATACAAGATTATCAACTTAAAAATTAGCCCGTTATATTTGGTCAAACATTTAATTAACTCACCCCTAATGCGATGGCTGGAACTGCTTCTCTTTGGCGAGGCGTGTGATGATGTTAGCCGGTATTGACGATGTTGCTGCTACTCGCAACTGCTTTTCCAGGTTTGCTCTCCTAGATTTATTGAATTTCGAGTTCCGCCTGCGGTTGCCTTGGCAGGGCCAGAGACCAAATGATTTCGCGGGCCTCGTACGGACCGCGGGCCGGACGTTCCCCACCCCTGTGTCAAACGGATTGGAGAGCCAGCCCTGTGCGTACCTTTGAAGACGATCGTCTTGCCCTTGCACTCCACTTCATGTTCCTGCGAAAGGGAGAGCCTGCGGAGTTAGGGAGACCGGCCCCGACAGCCACACCGGCCCCATCGCCCTCGCCAGACCCCGGCCATACCGCAGCGTTGTCCCCAACAGAGCCACCGGCCAGGCTGGCCACGCCGACCCTGGCGGCAACATCGGCTCCAGCAGCTCCATTGGCCCCATTGGCCACACACCAACCCCATCGGCCACACCAGCTCCACCGGCCACACCAGCCACACCAGCCCCACCGGCCACACCAGCTCCAAGCCACAACCGGCTCCAAGCCACACCAGCTCCAAGCCACACCAGCTCTACCTGCTCCACCTGCTCCACCGGCCCCATGGGCAGGCCAGATTTGGCCACACCACCACATTCTCTCCATGGGCCTCATCAGCCCCACCGGCCACCTTGGCCCCAACAGCCAGGCCAGACCCAGCAATGCCACAACATTGGGCCCGCCGGACTCTACCCAGCCCCACTGGCCCCAACGGCCAGGCCAGACCCGACCACACCACCACATCGTCTCGACCGGCCCCACTAGCCACACCAGCCACACCGGCCCTACCAACCACAGCAGCCCCGACCGCCACAGCTGCTCCACCAGCCCAGGTCAGAGTGAGCCTCACCATACGGACGGGGGGGGGGAGCGGAGGGGGGGGTGGTCCCGAAATGTCAAGCCTGTGAAGCAGGTTCCTGCATTAGTCAATAAAACAAGGCAATGTCTTTTGTCTGAGAACCGCCGTTGGTACCCAGCGACCCGAGTTAGCACCAGGCGAGAACAGTCCAGAACAGGCCCCATCCAGCTCCTGCCTCCCATCCTCGTCCCCACCCTCTCCCTCGCCTCCTCCATTCTCTGGGGACTCGAGCACAGAAGAAGCTACGAATACAAAATGGGGTTGTTGTTGTTTTACATAACTACACTTCTGGGAAGAAGACTCCGTCACGCTGGCTTGATGGCACTGACGGTGGACACGACTCGCCATCGCTAAATTCTGCTGCTGCTGTACGAGCCAGCTGATCCAGAATGGACGATGGGACCGAATCCCGGTCCGGTCTATGTTTTATTTTTACCAAGGTGTAAGGAGGCCCCCACTGAGCTCGATTGCTATTTTTTTTTCACCAGCGAGCTGGCCATCACCAATGGCAGCTGGACGAAGGGGCTGATTGTCATCGCGTGGAAATTTATAGCAGCCAAAAATACTCGAACGCGCGTTGATTGTAAATGTGCGGGGGAAAACCGGAGGACCACGGAGGGAGAGAGAGACACGCAAACTCCAAATATACAGCAGGGGTCAGGGTCGGGATCGAACCCATGACCTCCTGTATACCAGGCGAGGAAGTCAACATCTCATAGCCACCGTGATGATGACAGAGAGAGACACGCAAACTCCAAATATACAGCAGGGGTTAGGGTCGGGATCGAACCCACGACCTCCTGTTTACCAGGCGAGGTAGTCAACATCTCATAGCCACCGTGATGATGGCAGAGAGAGACACGCAAACTCCAAATATACAGCAGGCGTCAGGGTCGGGATCGATCCCACGACCTCCTGCATACCAGGCGAGGTAGTCAACATCTCACAGCCACCGCGGCGCCCCGGATTGTGCAATGGGGACCTTGATTCATCCGCCTTATCTATGGACGCCTCTGGCTCAGCAGCCAAGCTCAAGGTGAACCCTCCCTCTTGTCTGTCAAGGCGAGGCGCCCTCCGCCACAACAGCCATTCGCCACCAAGTGTCGGTGACCTCCCCGCGGCGCCAGTGCCAGGCTAGGTGCACGGCGGGAAGGTCGCGGCACAGACCCCAGCAGGTGGGCATGGGTCGACTTACTGAGATGACCGGCTGCACCACCCAGCCGTAACCTCCCCTCTACCGCGCCAACTTGTGAGATCGCCTCTCACACGGCGGCGGCAGCAGCAGCAGCTTGTCCCAGCCTACATCACCGACACGCTGCATCACCCAGATGGTCCCATTAAGGTCCCTAAGTACTGAGCACGATGCAGATCTCCGTCTCGCCACGTGAAGGCTTCGGTCTATGGGTGATCGAGATTTCCCCCCCCCAACCCACCCCCATGCTGTGGACATTTAAATAAAAAAAAATTTTACCTTAAAACCTTTTTATTTATACACTTCCGCATATGAAACGTTTAGTTAGTTTCGTAAATGATTCCTGCAATGTATCTACATATATATTTTTTATAACAAGTCCGCTGCTGCTTGTGTCCTGTACATCGCATTGATAGATCCTTGCTGCGATATAAATGTTATTGTACATTAGCATCATTATTATTACCCGGCAACTGCCTCCGAATCGGTGGGGCTCCAGCACAAGCCAACAACAACATCGCGTGGCCTTGCAAGGGGGGGGGGGGGGGGGTAAATAGAGTCGACGTTTCGGGGCGATGGCCCTTCACGTTCTGCAACATTGCCCGAAACGTCACGGTGAGTATTACACAGTACACACAATACCGCAAACGCGTTCCCTCCTTCAAGGGCCACTGTGTTGTTGGCGGAATGTGCTGCTGGGTTTCTGCGTAGAAGCGATTGGGTTGCATTGGCAACTGGTCGCACTAGCGATAGCCTACGTGTGTGGTATGTGTGATGTGCGTGGTGTGTGTGATGTGTGTGGTGATGTGTGTGGTGATGTGTGTGATGTGTGTGGTGATGTGTGTGTTGTGTGTGGTGTATGTGGTGATGTGTGTGGTGTATGATGTGACGTGTGTGATGTGTGTGGTGTATAATGTGTGTGATGTGTGTGATGTGTGTTGTGTGTGGTGTGATGTGTGGTGATGTGTGTGTTGTGTGTGGTGTATGTGGTGATGTGTGTGGTGTATGATGTGATGTGTGTGATGTGTGTGGTGTATGATGTGTGTGATGTGTGTTGTGTGTGGTGTGATGTGTGGTTATGTGTGTGTTGTGTGTGGTGTATGTGGTGATGTGTGTGGTGTATGATGTGATGTGTGTGATGTGTGTGGTGTATGATGTGTGTGATGTGTGTGTTGTGTGTGGTGTGATGTGTGTGTTGTGTGTGATGTATGTGGTGATGTGTATGGTGTATTATGTGATGTGTGTGATGTGTGTGGTGTGTGGTGTGTGTGGCGTGTCAGGCCAGGCTCGCTTGCTGCTGCTGCTGTAGAATGAATGAAGCAGTGAAGGTCGCGTTCCGGGCCTTGCCCCCGACGCGGCCTCTCCCCGCGGGGCCTCGCCTCTCACCGAGACTTCCTTGAGGTCCACCTTGAGGGACACCGAGTCGTGGCGCTGCGCCCACAGCACGGGCGGGGTCAGAGTCGGCGACATCGCCAGGGCCACGCAGGCGACACACGGACAACACAGGCGACACACACACACAGACACACACACGTGTAGCGATGTCAGCTGACAGCCCTCGGCGGAAACACGTGGTGCATCATTCACACGCCCCGCCCCCAAGCCCCCACACGCTGCCCCCACAAGCAGCCCCCCCCCCTGCCCACACGCAGACCCCGCCCACACGCAGCCCCCGCCCACACGCAGCCCCCCCGCCCACACGCAGCCCCCCCGCCGCCAACACGCAGCCCCCCCCCCCGCCCACACGCAGCCCCCCCGCCAACACGCAGCCCCCACAAGCAGCCCCCCCGCCCACACGCAGCCCCCCCCCGCCCACACGCAGCCCCCCCCGCCCACACGCAGACCCCGCCCACACGCAGACCCCGCCCACGTACAGACCCCGCCCACACGCAGTTTTAAAAACTAGAAGGTTCTTAAACTCGACTCGTTTCGACACCGTAAGCGAGGGTAATGATGAGAGAAATGTGGTCGCGTAAACGGGGTTCGGGTGAGCACCCCTCGCTGCCGCAGTCTGAACAATTTGCAGTCTACGTAGCAAGGAGCGTATTTAAAACGAGGCACTGCAGTAATCGATTCGCTAGAGGACACGTGCATGGAACCAGCCTCTCGGAATCAGCCGGTGTGATGATGTCGTGCAAGTCGACCGATATTTCTGTGGGTAAAAAATAAAACAACCGAGGTTTTCACAACCTTATGAACGTGAGATTTGAAAGAAAGGAACGGATCGGACATCGAACCCCAAAGATGAACTAACCTCATGCTTTCTGGCAGATGTTCTGGCCATCGATAACTCGGCTGAAAAGTCTCAATTTTTTTTTTCAATTGTTGCGGAGAGCTCACTAAGGCGAGTTCGGTCTTAGGGGCCGTCCATAAATGACGTCACGCGATTTTTGACTCCGCCCCCTCATCACACGGCGTCACAAAGTCAGACCCCCCCCCCCCTCAAATATGACGTCACAAAGCTTTGCCCCCCCCCCCCAAAAACATATTTCTATTTTGAAAATAAAACATACTTCAAATCGCTTTAAACTATTGTCATTGTTGTGCGTATTTAATGTGGCGCTGCACTCTGATGCTGTAGGAGTGTTATAACACAATTAGTGTTGTTATAACAATTCTATATTTAAAGTTGCGCATTTTGATGTGACGTCACATTTCTCAACCCCTCCCCCCCCCTCGTCACACGTCACAAATGTCTGACCCCCCCCCCCCCCAGGTACGTGACGTCATTTATGGACGGCCCCTTATTGTCATTTAGCTGGAGAGAAAACAAATCTGCATCCAGTAGCTTTTTTGCCCGTCCCAGGACGGGTGAATATTGCAGGGTGGGGAGGGGAGGGTAGGGAGGGGCTGGGTGGGGAGTGGGAGGGGTGGGGCTGGGTGGGGAGGGGCTGGTCACCCCGTGGTGCCCTTATAAAACTCAACGTTTAACCTACTCACGCCGGCTTGTGCCCGCCCTCACAGTCGGGCATATTTGCGGAATACACCACGTGGTGCCGCCGTTGACCCTGGCCATTGACCGGGCAACCCAACGTTCCTACCAGCTCCCTCCGTAGGAATGTTTCAATAGAAAAATTGCTCAGCTCATGATTATTAATGAGGGGGAGTTGCCCTATGTGGAGTGACGTCACCCACTCAATGGTTATTGTGGAGGGGTGCGGCATGCGCAGTGACCTCACCCACTCATGATTATTAATGAGGGGAGGGGTGCGGCATGTGGAGTGACGTCACCCACTCATGGTTATTAATGCGGGGAGGGGTGCGGCATGTGGAGTGCGCGACCTTCTTGTGCGTTCGTGTAAATTTCCACGCGGGCATGAATATTAATTAAGGGGGGGGCTCTTTTGCAGTGACGTCACGCACGGATGTAGCACTGTGCTGCGTAGATTTATTTTCGCTCGTGAATATTAATGAGGGGGGGGGGCGGGGTGGTCCTCATGTGGAGTGACGTCACACGCGCGGGACGGACAGACATTTCTGGGCGGCTATCGTAGGTGATGATTTTCTCCGTCATTAATGATGACGAGAGCAGAGATGTTGCCGACATAGAATCTGGTGTCAGCCGCAGGTAAATTAGGGTGTCATCTGCATCGCGGTGTTAGCGCGGCCCAAGAAATCGTAGCAGTGCTCCAAATGGGGCCCATTGTCGATGCTAAACAGAATGGGACCAATGCTCGAGAAATAAAACGCAAGTTTGTATCCAACGCAAACTTTGTACCGGCGACAAACCACTGGCAGGACGATACGCAGCAGATCAACGATACCGCGAATGGGGAAACATGGAAAGGAACTGGGATAGGCGACAGAGAGAGAAGACCCCCAAGGCATACAGAAAACACGGCTCAATACGCCAAGCTCGCCATATACAGGGCGAGGAAGGTGGCCCTGGAGGGGAAACGTCCGGCCACCAGCCTGGGCATCTTCCGCGCTCCGGTCGGAGGCAGGGTGTGTGGGCCGGAGTTCCGCCGTGCGCGGCTGACCCACGCCGTGCCGGCCTTCAAGGAGCAATGGGCGCTGGAGGAGGCCGTGTGCTCGGTGGCAGAAGACAGAGAGCTCTGCATGCAGATATGAGCTACCCGTCGGAGGCCGATGGACTGCGAGAAGGGCTGCGTGCAGATGCAGCACTTGTCGTAGTTAAAAAAGGAGAGACGAGAGGGAGAGCGAGAGAGACATGGAGAAGGAAGAGAGGGGGTAGAAAAAGGGAGGGGGGGGGCAGAGAGGGGGGTAGAGAGAGGGTAGGGGTAAGGAGAGCAGAGCGAGAAATAAATTTGTTAAATATTTCATTTAAAAGGGGGGGGGGGGGGGTTTACATAAAGCAAAGCATTAAAAAAAACCGAAATGATGAACGAAGCAAAGTGCCGACTACACCGAGCATCTTCTTGTTTCCTCTGATCGTGAAAAAAAAGATGAGCAGCTGGACAAAAAGGAGCGCTAGGCAGGAAGGAGAGAGAGAGAGAGCGAAAGAGAGGAAATGACCGAGACGACATTTTGGGGACGAAAGGGTGATGATGAGGGGAGGTTCATGGGTTCCATCCGGACCCTGACGTCTGGATATTTGGAGTTTGTATCTTTCCCCGTAGATTTTCCGCAGTTTTTCCCTCATTTAAGATCGACCTGTTTTTAATAGTATTTGGGATGCTGTACATTTCCACATAGAGCCACTTAATTGGGATATCATTTGTTGAGAGGTCGCTTCTAAAAAGAGAGCTATATAGCTCAGTGGTGAGCATTTAACCTGGTAAAGTTCAGATAAGTGAGCCGCACGGTGAAGCAGCGTCTGTTCTCACGAGGGGCAGGAAGTAGGCATTTAGATTGGGGGTGACATGATTTAGAATACAGTAGACTCTCGATTATCCGCGCTAATGCCGGAGAGGACAGCCGCAGATAATTAAAAATCGCGGATAATCCAAAAATATCAAATACAGGGATACATTATGTTTAAGTGTCTCTGCCATTGCAGTTTTCGTAAATTAAAACTCGTAAAATAAATGATCAAATAAATAACTCGAAATGAAGCACAACTGACGATTTCGATTGTTACTCTTTCGGTTTAGAATGAACACGAACGATCGACCAGTGATAACACTTTCCTGCTCCTGCCCGGCAGAGGGCTCGGCCCACCAAGTGGTAACAGCAGAGCCACACCAATCAACATCAAACTGCGCCCCACTGTTGTAAATATATGCAACTACTGTACTGTAGAGCGATCACGTGGATGTCGGAATCACGGGAGCAACATATTTGTTCGGTTGAAGCACGTGACTTGTAGTAGACATTTTCAAGCATAGCAATGTACAACTGTTTTTAGATTTTGATTTAAAATGTTTCTTGCCGTTGCTTTTCACACCTGATGATGACCGTTTGTGTTATGGTCGCAACGTCGTGAGACTTTTTATTGTTTTATATATACTTTATTATTTTATTGTTTCCCTTCAACGTGACTTTACATTATTAATTTGGGCTCAAAGGGAAAATGCACGAGTCAATAATTTCCATTTTAAAAATCTGAGGCGCGCGGTTAATCCGCAAATCGGGGAAAAAACCGCACGCAGGTAATCGAGAGTCGCTTAAAGCTGGGAGGGGCTTTTGCCAACGGCATCTGGCAGCCCAGGGACCGGAGGAGGCGACGCGCCCGAGCGGAGGACGCCCGCATACGCGCCAGGATTGTGCAATTCGCTTGTGGCCGTGGGATGGTTGGCGACAGCCTGGGGAGAAAACAGATTTTTTTTTTCGAACAATCGCAATCGAACATACCGTTGTTTATTGCAAAACACAATCGGCGGTGCGGAATCCCGGCAATCATCTCGGGGGGGACGTTGTGGACGCTGGCTCGCGCTCCCAATGCGGTGGGAAAACGCCCGATCCTGTCCGTGCCCCCCCGTCAACTATTTTTAACCCTCGACAAACTTTCTACATCACTCTCGTCCAGCTACAACTCCCCTATCTTCTGTCCCTTCCCACCAAGGCCGTAGCCATGGAGTCAACATTGGGGGGGGGACCAAATCTTCCAGGGGGTCTGCCCCCCCCCCTCCAGGAAAACATTCTAAATTTGAAAGCGAATTTCCTGCCTAAAATATTAAATTCACTAACACACATGATGGACTTTTTATTTACCGTATTTTTAACAATGTCTAATAGTGTATTGTATTTATTACATTGCTCAGTTTTTTTCGTTTTTTTACCTTTTCTTGTTTCATTGTATGTAATGGCAGAGATTAGGGATTAATAAAGTAACAACCATAAACACAATCATATGAACAGAAATCCATTTTATAGCAATATATTGGGGGGGACATTGAGCATATTTGAATATTACGGCCTTGCTTCTAAAAAAATCGACTCCATCCGTTCCTCCTTTCCTTCACCATCCCCCCCCACCCCCACCGTCTCATTGGCTCACGCTCGATGCGGAACCGTGTCGGGCGGCAAGGCGAGACGTGACCCCAGCGAGGACACGCGTCGCAATAAACTGGCTCGAGAGTCGATGGCTTCGTCCCGGCGTTTGGCAGAGTTTGACGGAATTTCTACGGTACGTTACATTCAAGTCTTGGGGCGTCATTTGGAAGCGACGTCGATATTAAAAATATTTTTTTTAGAAAAAAACCTCTTAAAAACACACACACACACAAAAACTATTGCAGATTTCAGCAAAGCCCTGAACAATCCTGGAAGTTAAAAGACATACATCCCACGTCCGACGTCGCGAGGTGCGAGTTAAACTATGGATGTCACAAGCTTGCCGCTGCACCCTCCTACGACCCGAAACAGCTCGCGCGCCCTTAATGCCCAACACGGCCTAAAACCTACAATGAAATTGGATAAAACCATTACAAGATCACACAAATTATCTGGGAATGCTGCTGCGTTGGCGGTGGTGCACAAACACAAATAACACTCAACACGTTCATCAATAACACTGTGGTCTCAAAGGACATACCGAGGTGGTTATGGGTGAACTAAAATGACTGACATAGGCATCACCTGTTCTCCCAACTGTGCAACCTCACTGCATTTTAGCCGCCTGGCGCTCCGCTCATTGTTGTAAGCGTTGCTCCTTTGCCCTCTGCTGTTGTTGAAGGGCCAACTGCCTCCAACTGCCCAGTAGCAGCGTCCTTCACGAGCCTCTTCCAGAGAGCCGCCCTAGACACCGCCGCTGGTACCGGTCATCGGCAAGTCCGAATCAGAATCTTTAGCCTGCAGGAATCCGATGAGCTAGGAAGCTCTTTTTCACAGATGTTCAGTCGGCTCCACATCCTCCTGTACCACATCAGCCCATTTCTTGTCTAGCCCGAACCGTGCCTGTTTAGCTCCCTCTATCTGGCCAAACAGAAGTTGCTTGGGCATGCAGTGGCCGGGCATGTGAGCTACATGACTCAGCCAATGCAGCCTTGGCTAAAATAGCTGATGGGACTGTCCAGATCGTTTAATGATCCGTGTGAGCTTCTCACATAATCTAGACTGTTTAAACCCGGGATGGATCGAAGGCAGGTCAGCCTGAATGTTTCGAACTGCTGCAGATGTTCTTTTAAAGGGCTCCACGTTTTGCTAGCATAGAGAGGGTAACGGTGGCCAAGAATATACGGAGCTTCGTATGGTGTGAAAGGCCAGGCAGCTTCCACACAGCATCAGAGAGCTGATGAAAAGACAATGCCACTCGACTGATTAAGAGACCTCTGCTGCCAAACCAGAGTTGGTAATGACACTGCCCAGGTACAGGCACTTCTCCACAACTGCCCCAGTACTCAGGGGGAGTTGTGGGGGTTCCACGTTCAGCAGTGGTGTCTCCAACTCAAGAGTGAGCAGGAATTACCAGATCATAAGCGTACCTAACATGGTTGACCGGAAGGGAGCCATCCCTTGACAACACCGGCTATCAATCAGGCTCCCATTGTATCTGTGCCAGATACGAATTCCTCTGGTATCGCCATGAAAAGCTCATCGAACTTTGTTTAAAAATATGTTAAATAGTGCAGGGGCCAGAGTACATCCCTGTCGCACCCCAAGTTGAATAGGGAATGGCTCCTACTCCCGGACACGCAGCTTTACCCGGGTCCTTAATGATTGTGAGCAGTCAGGGGACCCTGAGAGCATGAAGAACCCAGAGTCCTGTTCTATTGATGCCATCATAGGCCTTGACCAGGTCTATGAGGCAGAGATGTAGGTTCTGCTGCAATCCTCTACACCGTCACCACCAACGCCAGCATGACCTGTCATTTCATTTTCTCCAGTGAGGTCAGGGGCTGGAGCTACATTGGTAATACAATTTACGTCCCTTTACCATTTAAATAGGTTCAATAATACGTAACATGTTATGCAACCGGCCGAGTTTTTCTTTTATATTTGGCATATTTATTTCCAATGTTCTATTCTAATATGCACCGTCGGTGTCACGCGAATAATTCCTTCCCCGAGCGATTTCCAGCGCGGCTCGCGGATTCCACGCCGCGCCATCTGCACCGAGCAGGAGGGCGCGGCGTGGACGGCGTCGAGTCACGGGGGCCGCAGGGTGGCGCCACGCAGGGTAGGGGCACGCAGGGCACGGTACAAGGTACGCGACGAACGAAGCCACCCCCGACAGCGGTGGACCCCGCGTACGCCCATGACTCCAGGCCTCCGTTCACTGTCTCGTCGACCCGGCCCGTTCGCTACAACGTCCCCGCGCTGGAGCTCGTTTGTAGGGTTCGGCAGTTCCCCACCCCCCTCCCGGCCCCTGCGACCCCAAGAGCCCCAGGGGTTACCGCGAGGGTGCTGGTCGCTTCTCCTCGAGCGTGCGGTCAGAGCCGCGAGCCGCGAGCAGGGGAATCGTTATGCGCGCCCGGAGGTGGCGCGGACACGGTGAGGGTGCGGCGAGTGCAGGGTGCGGGGCGTAAGTGCCAGGAGATCGTCGAGGGTGAGGTTACAAGGGTGCTGGGTGAGGGTGTGAGTGCAGGGTGTGTGGGATACGAGTGCAGGGCGAGGGTGAGTTCAGCGTGCGTGTAGGGGGCCACAAGGTGAGCGAGGGTGTCACTGCAAGTTGAGTCAAGGGTGACGGCATCGCGTGCGCGGTAAGGATGAGTGTAGGGTGAGAGTGTACAGGGTGCTGCAGAACTGCAAGTGCTTCTCGTGGGGTTAGGGGGTCAGGGTTAAGGGTAAAGGGTCAGGGTGGCAGCTCAGGCTTGCGTCTGCGTCGCTCCTCCCTCCGTGTCGTCTTTGACCCCGGGCAGGGTCCCCGTGCCATCGTCCGCCACCGCACTGTGCACACGGAAATTGGCACGCGGGAATCGGCACATGAGACACGGGAGTGGGCACACACGAATTGGCGCACAGGGAGCGGCGTACCACCACCGTCCTTGACACAGTAGGCTAATTCAGGAACGGCGTGACCCCAAATTATATCCGTTTTTGTTTCACAAACAGCTGCGTCATTTTCATGATGTAAAATGTTAATAGAGATATATGTTTAACACGTAGACTTTCGCGACCAATATCCATAAGCCAGGTTTTTTTGGGTTAGGTCAGGTCGTTAAACCCGCCACCACCCGACACAGCCAATTAGAAGGTTTGTCACGTAAACAGAACGTGCCAATTCGTTACGAGTACAGCACATCGGTGTGTTGGAGAGCCAAGCCGCAGCATTTACAATCTGAGTACGTTTCGCCAGTAATTACAGGTAGCATCATCAGACGACAGCCAGATTTGTCTGGCTTACGCGATCCAACCCCAAAAAAAAAAAACCTATATTATAGAGATATGATGTATACCACTGAGAAACCACCAAAAACCATAAGCCCATTCCCAAACGCACAATCCAACGCTACGGTAACGACTGCACGGAACAGACGGCCTCAGCGGCCCGCGTGGCACGCAGCGTTCCGGCGCAGTGCGGGGGACGCGGCTCGTGGCAAGGCGGCGCCGTTGTCCACCCCGCTTGTCCATTCTTTGAGGTTCGGGAAAGTGAGATTTTTCACTGCTTCGGGGGGGTCCCTCAACTCCCCCACAGAAAGCCCCATCACACGCATGGAGCACACACGGTGAGCCTGCCCACGTTACGCCGAGGACACGCGCGGCGATATTATCACAGCGTCGAGGACGCCGAAGGTCAAACCGTTATTGATTATTAATTTCTACCGTCACGCGCAGTAAAACGTCGGTTCAGCCGTTTCATTTGGCCACCGGAGGTTGCCCATTGGCTGATCGCTGTTACGGGGGCCACGATCCTCACTGGTCAAGCGGAGGCGGCCACTCACGATCGATGGTCCCCGATTTGGCCGGCGAGCGTCCGCTTTGGCCGGCGAGTTCAAACGGGAGGAGGAGTTTTTGAGGCGGGAACGACTGGGAAAGGGGGGTCGGCAACCTGCGGCTCTTCAAGGACTGGCGCTCCGTGACCGTTATTTATTTATTAAAGAACGCCGTCTCGTATTCACCACGTGCATTAACGGCTCTTGAAATATCGAGTCGTAGTTTTTGACCGAAATCGAAAGAAATGGCTCTTCTTGTTCTTTTTGGTTTGCCGACGCCTGGACTGAAAGAAGCCTCGGGAAGGCGGAGTCTGGAGAGGACGTAAGGGATGGGCGTGGAGAGCTCGCGGTCAGCTGAGCCGGAAGGCTGCCGCCGCTGCTGCTGCCTTCTGGCTCAGCTGCGGACACTCAGCGACCGCCGGATGCAACGCGTGGGTACGGCGACGCTGCTGCCGCTGCTACTCCCGCCGCTGCTGCATAAAACTGTGCACTGAAGCGATGCCACCTGGGGTGGTGACGACGCACGCGAGATCACGTCCGGGCTCTCACGGACTCCGCCAGCGCCACCAAAAACTCGCGCACACCTCTCTCCGAGCCGCGTCTCCTCCGCTCCGTCCGCCGCTCCATCTCCGTTTTCGACGTCCCTGGGCGCCGGACCCCGCCGCTCGCCCCAGGCCCTGCCGTGGCCCCTCCGGCCCTTCCCTTGGGACCGCGCACGCCAACGCGAGCCTTCGGTTAGAGCGAGGGATTCGTCCGCGGCTTGAGACGCAAGTGCCGCGGTGGCGCGGGCCGAGCGGCAGGGCGTTGGGCCGCTTGTCGTGGAGGTATTGTGGTTCGAGTCCGGTGACCGCCCAGATTAATGGTGCCGCAAGTATTCAGCCACGAACTAAGGCGTGGGAACTATAGTCTTCGCAGTGGACGTTGCCAAGTTCCCGGAGGCATCGTGACAAATAAAAGTCGGGCCTTGTGTGCAAGTGTCACGGGTCAAATAAAAAAAACAATGACCCACGTATTTGCCAATTCGGTATAACCACGGAGCAACATTGCCCCCATACTGGCAGACCATACCCATGTATGAATCATAGTGCCTTCCTTTGTGATGATAGCCTTGTGCTATAAGAATGGCGCAAATACCAAGTGTATTCAATTATCGATGACCTATTCTCAAAACCAGCCCGTCTGGCCCACAACACCACCGCCAAGCCACACAAAAGATCCCCCGTGAAGCCTTTGACAGGCTGTTGGGGGAAAATGCTGTACACGCACAAGGGGGTGGGTGGCCAGCACCATGCCCTCCTGCTTTTGTCCCCCCGTGACGATGTTTACGCACTGCACCAGGTCGTCATTTAAGGCCGAGTTTACCTAGGAGAGTCCTGTTAAAATATTCGCGGTCACTTAAATGTAGAACTGCTTTTTTTGTTTGTCCTTCCCCTGCACGTCCGATTATCACGATTGGCTATGTACAGTAAGAAAAAAGTTCAACATTCACACACATCACGAGTGGGAATCGAATTCATAATAAAGGTTTTCGGGTTAGATCGCGTTACTTATAAATGTGTCATAACCCTCCACCACCCGACACGGCCAATCAGCAAAAAAGTGTCACGTTGACAAAAGACAAAATAGTTCACTACTTTAGCCCACCGGTGTGTTGAAGAGTGAATCCACAACAGACTGTAACAACTACAGAGGCATCTCACTCCTCAGTGTGCCGGGAAAGGTCCTGGCAAGGATTATTCAACATCGCCTTGCCAGGCACGCTGAGGAGAGGCTTGCGGAGCCCCAATGTGGTTTCAGGAAAGGGCGGTCCAGCACAGATGCCATATTTCTGGCCGTAACGAAAACATTTATGCAAAGATGAGCAGGGTTCATCAGGAGCATGACTTTAAAAGGCTCCATTTCATGTTTGGTAAAACTAATGAAAGAAAAACGTTTTTTTCTGCAGAAATAATGAACAGGTGGTCTAACTCGGCGTAAAATCATTGCTGCTCTCGAAGTTATCTCCCCACAGACATTTCTTCAACATTATTTACAACCAAAAAAACTAAATATAGAAGAAGAAAAAAACACGGACTGTTCAGCAAGTCAAGTCAAATAAATACTCCTCAACACACCGGTGGGCTAAAGTAGTGAACTATTTGTCTTTCGTCAACGTGACACTTATTTGCTGATTGGCCGTGTCGGGTGGTGGAGGGTTGCGACACATTTATAAATAACGCGATCTAACCCCAAAAAACCTTTATTATGAATAATATTGGGAATCGAATGTTGGCCATCGCCGGGGGGGTTCGTAGACCCCGCGGCGCTGACCACTCCCGCCACCACTACAAGCGACACCGCATGACTCCGACGCCACAACATCACGCCAACGGCCGTCACACCACACCACCACGTGCCGCCCACATCGCTCGCCCGCACTCACCTCTACGGTCGCCGCGCCCGCCCCGCGCCTCCCGCGCCGCAGGCCGCGACTGTTGTTTGTCGTTACTGGCGGGCGTGGGGTGGGGGCCCTCGTCCGCGGCGGGGGTGCTAGGGGGGGCTGGGGCTGGTGGCGGGGGGCTGTGGGGGGCGTAGATGGGGGAGCTGCCGTCCTCCTCCGCCAGGAACATGGACTTGAACTTGTGGTAGATCATGGCGGCCTTGTGCATCACGTCCTCGCTGGCGCGGTAGTTGCGGATCTGGGGGTGGCACGGGAGAGGCGCGACTTTACCGAAAGAACCAAGAAGATAAACCACATCCAGTTTGGGTGCAAAGTCGATTCAGTTTAACCAGGCGAGAGCTCACGAGAACTGGACGAGTCTCAATTGCACGAGTGAGTGAGTGAGTGATTGGGCGAGTGTGGGTGGGTGGGTGAATGAGTGAGTGGGTGAGTGGGTGAGTTCAAGTTGATAGGTTAACCAGGTGATAACGCAGAGAGACAAGGTGAAGTCTCATTTGCAACAGTAACCTGGGTCGCCAAAATGACGAAAACACCCTCCACACTTGCCCGACGACTGCTACATGTGCCCCACCACGTGACGCACAGAGCCTACGTGGCCGAGCGGGGTGCGTGAGCCACGTTCAATAGGAGCTCACACGTCCATTTCGGAGTGGTGCCTGCTTAAACTCAACCAACTTGGAAGGATCGACAGAGACCGTACGACGACTGTGATGGCTGGGTTGTGAAGGCAAGTGGGGGGGGGGGGCGAGTGGGGGTGTGGGTTGGAGGATGTGGTGGCGGGGATCAGCAGGTCCTGTGGGGGGCAGCTGGGGGGCTGGTGGGCCTCACCTTGCGCAGCATGGCCACCACCTCCGTGTGCTTCTGCAGGTGCTGTAGGCTGAGCTGCAGCGAGTTCAGCTCATCCAAGTACTCGAGGCACCGTTTGGTGTCCTGCACACACACGCAGAGTGCCTCCGTATAGCTCACACAGTCTGTTGGGGCAAGCGCTGTGAAGCGTAGGGAACGATGTTTACACACCGCACCGATTGAGGCCGAGTCGACCTAGGGGAGGCTCAGAATCGGTTCAGATAATGGTCACTGGTGTTGGCTGCGAGCGGGAATCGAACTCGGGTCTCCGGGTGCATAACACAGCGCGCGAACCGTTAGCATTAGCCCTCCACCTGAACGGGTGAGAGCCTGAACCAGGTGAGAGCCTGAACCAGGTGAGAGCCTGAACCCCGTTGAGAGCCTGAAATGATGATAGCTTGACCAGGTGAGAGGCTGAACCAGGTGAGAGCCTGAATGAGAGCCTTAATGGGTGAGAGGCTGAACCAGGTAACGGCCTGAACCAGATGAGAGCCTGAATGAGAGCCTGAATTGATGAGAGCATGAACGGGTGGAGAGGCTGAACCAGGTGAGAGGCTGAACCAGGTGAGAGCCTGAACGGGTGAGAGAGCCTTGAGCTGCTTCTTGAAGGTGCATGGCGGTGTCTAGGATGCCACTGTCGGTGCAGCCACGGAGGCGCTCCGGCCCAGCCAGGCCGGTCGTGGTCACGGCCGCGCGCTGGCTCCGTGATGACGGCCCCGCGCTGTGGGAACGGCGCGTCTCGCAAGCCAGGGGGATTATTTTGAATGGGGCCACCCCCCCACCCGCCACCCCCGGGTGTCCTCACCGGGCTGTTGAGCTTGAGAGCGAGCTTGATGTCGTTGACGAGCTTCTGTACCTTGGCATCGGCTCGCAGCTCTGGGGACGCACAACGGCGGCGGGCGTGAACGCGCGACGCGCACAACGCGTCTAACAGCCGCTCCGACCACAACCCCCCACTAAAACCGCAACATCCACAACCACCGCCAACAGCTACAACTTACACCACATCCACAACCGCCGCCACATCAGCAATCGCCACCACATCCACAACTACAACGTCCAGTACATCCACAACAACTCCATCGAGTACAACCATAAGCACCACAACATCCACCACAACCACCACTACATCCACAACAACTACAACATCCACAACCACCACCAAGATCCACAACTACAACATCCACAACTATCACATCCACAACCACCACCAAGATCCACAACTATAACATCCACAGCAACCACCACCAACATCCACAACTATAACATCCACGGCATCCACAACCACCACCAACATCCACAACCACCACCAACATCCACAACTATAACATTCACAACATCCACAACCACCACCAACATCCACAACCACCAGCAACATCCACAACAACTACAACATCGACTGCTCGGATCTGGGCTTCGAATGCGTGGGTTCTGTCCAGGCACTCCGGTTTCCTTTCACATGGATAATTACTCATTAATTGGCCGATAACACCCTTCATATATAGAGGACTGCAGAGCTCGGGGTGACATTTAGGCGCCGGCTGCTGCATTCCCCGCTCGTCAGTGGTTCCTCCTCGAGCCTCCGAGTGGGCCGCTCTCTGCCCGAGAGCGAGCGGATGGTGGCGCCGCGCTGTGAGTCGACATGGCTATTTTTGTTGTCACTGGAAGCGGATGGACTTGGCGAGAAAGGGGGAATTTGCTGGAGCTTCGCGGCGAGCAGGGCGGTGCCGGTGCACAACGCCGAACGGCGAGCGTTGCCGGCGCGCGAGATAATTATCGACTCGACGGTCGCCGTGGTGGAACGGCAGACGGAGCGGGCAAGGCAGCAGCCGCGCCGTGGTGAGCCAGCGGCAAATGTTTCCCCTCTGCATTCATAGAGTCAACGTCACGCGTTTAAGAGATACAGTAAAACCTTAGATTGCGAGCATAATTCGTTCCGGAAACGTGTTTGTAATCCAAAGCACTCGTATATCCGTTGCGATCACGTGACGCTCGGCAGTACAAAGCGTACACGTACACTACCCGTGTTTAGTTAAAATTTCTGCTCGTCTTGCAAAACACTCGCAGGCCAAGTTACTCGCAATCCAAGGTTTTGCTGTACTTTGGCTGCTTTAATTTTCCGCGTGATCACAAGCCACTTTCTCACGAAGCTGTCGGTTGCGATAGCCAGACCGCTTCTGAAAAAGAGCCGTGTAGCTCCAGTGGGCCCTTTCCTGGTGAAAAAAAAAAAGTGATTTTTTTTCTTCCGTTGTCGCCTGTCACTCACCCGCTTTCTCGTCGTCCTGGGACGTCTGCTCCTCTGCGGATTCCTTCGCGTCGCTGTCGGTCAGCCTGCCGTCGCCCACCGCACATCAAAGGCAAACACCTGTAGCGGACTGCTGAGGCAAGTGCTTTCAAGTCGGCACCTATTCAAGCTGACGCGGCACACGAAGGGGTAAGGTGGCCAGCACCAAGCCCCGACCGGTATTGTTTCCCCACCGTTGATGTTTTGCACACCGCACCAGGTACTAAATTTTTAAGGTTCGGCCAACCTAGGGGAGGGCTCAGGACCAGTTCAGATATTAGTCACCATGTTGGCCGTGAGTGGGAATTTGAAGTCGGGTCGCGGGGTTCACAGAGCAGTGTGCTAACAGCTGCACTACTGCTCGCACCAGGGCACACACCCGTGGGCTCACAAGAGACCCACAGACTTGTGTTGTAGTTGTTGTTGTTGCCAGCTGGTAACTTCCCACTGCTTGGCAAATGCCTCCCTCCCCACCCCGTGTTGTTACCCTGCTACCCCCTGCTGTCTCCCCTCCTGTCCCCCCAGCTGCCCCCAAACTCCGTGACGTCGCATCGCTGCCATTGGTTCCCCACACACGATCCCCATCGCACAACTCCAGCAGCGCAACCACAACACGACGCACAGAAAGACAAAGATCCCCCGTATAGCCTCAACAGACTGTAGGGGCAAGTGCTGTTCGCGAGCACCTACGAAGGCCGGAACGGCACACGAGGGGGTGGGTGGCCAGCACCACGCCCGACCGCCTTTGTCTCCCCAGTGGCGATGTTTACACACTGCACCAGGTACTCGTTTGAGGCCGAGTCGACCTAGGGGAGGCCCGTGACCGGTCACTGGTGTTGGCCGTGAGCGGGAATCGAACCCGGGTCGCCGGGTTTACGGCGTAGTGCGTTAACCGCGACACTAACGCTCCCCACAAGTGCACGCACACTTACACACATACATCTCTGCACCTGACCACACATGGGGAACACATCAAAAGGAACAGTGTCTACAAATCAGCCAAAACCAACTTGTGGTAAAACCAAAACAACGGTCTTCACACACACAGCAAATCAACACATGCAGGAATAACTACTAACTACGCAAACAATGGCAATGATTGCTGTGATGATGATGATGCCAGCGATGATGATGGTGATCCCTTTCCCTGGTACCTTACCTGGCCTCTTTGGCTCGCTCCTCAGCCCTGCGGCCTTTCTTTGGCGGCTCCGGGTCGGGATCCAGCTCCACGTGTTTGCGGCCGCCCTTCTCTGCGTGCTTCAGCTTCTCCGGTTTCTACGGCGGCACCAACCGCTCCAGTTAAGAGTTTCTGGAGCAGGTCAACCACCACCATCAGGACCAACACTACCAGGACCACCGACACCATCACCACCACCACGATCGCTGCCACCACCACCACGACCGCCATCTTCATCACCGCCACCATCACCATCATTTACCACCATAACCACAAAATTCATCACCACCACCACCACTATTTTCAGCAAGGGGATGTTCAGCCAATACCAGATACACTGGAAGGTTTTTTTTGTTATACCAACGATTAGGAAACACTGCAGAACCTGCAGGAAACCCAAGCATGGAAGGGGGGAGACAGAACGTTAAAAATAGAGGTTTTTTTGGGTTAAATCGCGTAAATATATGTGTCGTTCAACCCGCCACCACCCGACACAGCCAACTAGTAAGGGTTGTCACGTAAACAGAACGTGGCCAATTCGTCACTAGTACAGTGCATTATGCGAGCCCGCATTATGGCTCGCATAATGCACATGCATACTGTACGTTGACTCAGTAATCCACCGCCCACCCCCCACTTCGTACAAGAGCGCAGAAGCGTGGTCACCACATCTAAGCCTCTATATAAGGAACGAAACAGACTTCCCCACAAATCTGGCTGTCGCCTGATGAAGCTAGTTGTAATTACTGGCGAAACGTCGTACTCAGATTGTAAATGTTGTGGCTTGGCTCTCCAACACACCGGTTAGTGCTGTACTAGTGACGAATTGGCCACGTTCTGTTTACGTGACAACCCTCACTGGTTGGCCGTGTCATGGTGGTGGCGGGTTTAACGACACATTTATATATTTACACGATCTAACCCCAAAAACCTCTATTATGGATGGTATTGGTCGCGAAAGCCTACGTGTTAAACAGAACGCCCAAACTCCACAGAGAGGCGTCCGATGAAGAGAATCGAACCCGGGGCCCCTTCCCGTTGCGAGGCGCCATCGACCGTTCCTGCCGCGGCACTACCCTGCCGCCCCCGCCCCCAAACCCGACTCACGGCGTCTGTGGTCTCCGAATCGGAGCCGCGCTTGCGCTTGCGGACGCCGCCTGTCGCCGGGGCCTCGGCCTGCGGGGCCTTGTCTTTGCCACGCTCGACCTTGCGCGCCTTGCGGCGGGCCTGGCTACCGTCGGCGGCGCTGCCGCCACTCCCTTCCTTGGCGGCGTCACCGTCGCCGCGGCCGGCCCTGCGCCGGCGCTCGCGGGCCACGCCGACCTCCACCGCCACCACCGCCTCGGCCTGCCTCCGGCGCCGGCGCTTCTCCGGCGGCGCCTCGTCGGCACCGCTCGGCTCACTGGTGATACCAACCGCAGAGATCGCGCCCGCCGTGGTGAATACGGCACGCGCTGAACCACAGCAACTACAGCAAGCGGTGAACTACAGCAAGTACCTCCAATTAGCATGGTTGGCCACTTACGGTGCGAAAGAAGTTCAACATATATACATACATACAAGCGCTGAACTACAGCAAGCACTGAACTACAGCAACCACGGCAAGTACTGAACTCCAGAAAGCACTGAACTGAAACAACTACAGCAAGCGCTGAACTACAGCGCAGGTACTTGACCAGCGCTCTCTGACGGCGAGTGCCCCCAGGTCAGCCCAAGCCGGCGTCAACAGCCGGGGGCTCCGGTGGAATCACCTGTTGGTCCCCGAGGACTGCTTGGTTTTGTGAGACTTCTTGGTCACGGCCTTCTGCACCTCCTCCTCCTCCACTGTGAACACGGCAGACACCGGCAGAGAGGTCACACGTCCCTACACGGTCACCGTTGTTGTTGCTTTCAGCCGCGTCACGTCCCACTGCTGGGAAACAGGGTTCTGCCCTATTGTTCTCACGTTCCCGCCCTTGTTTAGGCTCACATTGAAAACCAGTCACGTAGAGACCCACAGACTCACACAGAGACCCACAGACTCACACAGAGACCCACAGACTCACACAGAGATCCACAGACTCACACAGAGATCCACAGACTCACACAGAGACCCACAGACTCACACAGAGACCCACAGACTCACACAGAGACCCACAGACTCATACGGACAGAAATCCATTAACTCGCCCACACATCCATAGTCTCACAAATAGACACACGAAGAGGCCCATACACGCAGAGACAGATTAACAGAGGCACATCCAACACAAGGTGGATTTATATGGAGACTAAACACGACTGCATCTCACGATGCCGTGCAGAAGCAGTGCCCGTGTCTATTTTATAGAGGCTGCTTCACAAATTCACGCAGACACCCGTGGGCTCACAAGAGACCCACAGACTTGTGTTGTTGTCATTGTTGTTGTTGCCAGCTGGTAACTTCCCACTGCTTTGCAAATGCCTCCCTCCCCACCCCGTGTCTCCCCTCCTGTCCCCCCAGTTGCCCCCAAACTCCGTGACGTCGAATCGCTGCCATTGGGTCCCCACACACGATCCCCATAGCACAACTCCAACCACAACACGACGCACAAAAAGACAAAGATCCCCCGTATAGCCTGAACAGACTGTAGGGGCAAGTGCTGTTAGCGAGCACCTACGAAGGCCGGCACGACACACGAGGGGGTGGGTGGCCAGCACCACGCCCGACCGCCTTTGTCTCCCCAGTGGCGATGTTAACACACCTCACCGGGTACAAATTTGAGGCCGAATCGACCTAGGGGAGACCCAGGGCCGGTTCAGATAATCGTCACCGGTGTTGGCCGTGAGCGTTAATCGAATTCGGGGCCCCGGGTTCGTAGCTCCGCACGCGAACCGCTACACCACCGCTCCCCGCGCACACACGCACACACACATGTACACACACACACACACGTACACACACGTACACACGTACACACACACGTACACACACACACGTACACACACACACGTACACACACACACGTACACACGTACACACACACACGTACACACACACACGTACATGTACGCACACACACACGTACACACACACACACACACGTACACACACTTACACACACACGTACACACACACACACGTACACACTTACACACACGTACACACACACACACGTACACACATACACACACGTACACACATACACACACGTACACACACACGTACACACACGTACACACACACATGTACACACACACGTACACACACACACGTACACACGTACACACACACACACGTACACACACACGTACACACACACGTACACACACACGTACACACACACACACACACGTACACACGCACACACGTACACACACACGTACACACGTACACAAACACGTACACACACACACACGTATACACACACACGTATACGCACACACGTACACGCACACACGTACACACACACACACGTACACACACACACACACGTACACACACATACACACACGTACACACACGTACACACACACAAAAGGCAAAGATAAAGATCCCCCATATAGCCTTAACAGACTGTATGGGCAAGTGCTGTTAGCGAGCACCTATGAAGGCCGGAACGGTACACGAGGGGGTGGGTGGCCAGCACCACGCCCGACCGCCTTTGTCTCCCTAGTGGCAATGTTTACACACCGCACCAGGTACTCATTTGAGGCTGAGTCGACCTAGGGGAGGCCCGGGACCGGTTCAGATAATCGTCACTGGTGTTGGCCGTGAGCGGGAATCGAACCCGGGTCGCCAGGTTCATAGCGCAGCACGCTAACCGCTACACTATCGCTCCCCACGTACACACACACACACACGTACACACACACACGTACACACACACACGTACACACACAAACCTTTTTTCTTCTTGGGGCCCTTCCTGGGAGGACTGGCTGTTGCTGCTGCTGTTGCTGCTGCTGCTGTTGCCGCTGCTGCTGCTGCTGTTGCCGCTGCTGTTGCCGCAGCTGCGTCCTCCGACCCCTGGATAAAAAATGCAGGCAGGGCGAGGGAGTCACAAAGGTTCACGCGGGGGGGGGGCATAAACAAACACGCAAATGGATGGAAAAATCAAAGCACCGGATTGCGGCGCCACATTGCAGGCGCACCTGGATATCAGCACACGTGGCATTGGAAGCAAGGTCTCACAAGAACAGTAGCAATTGAGTAGAGGCGGTGTGGGCGTTGTCGTTTCTCGTAGTTCAATCGAGCAACTTGCGGTGCGATTTAAAACCACCCCGCGGCCTCCCTCCCTCGCCCCCCGGCACGCAATGGGGCCTGCCACTCTTTTTCGAATGACGTCACGGGAGAATCTTTAACGTCAGCTGTGAAGCGCACAATACACGGAACACGCGGCATTAACCGGGGCGGCCGTGAGACTCGAGCAACGAAGCCCTCAGCAGCGAGCGGCGGACCACGAGCACCGTTGTTGAGTCCTCGCCAAGCTGCATCGGCTTCCGATGGCCGAATGAATACGCGATAAGTTCGCAACTCGCTACACACAGAGCGCTCGCCACAAATGAACCACGATACCTTGCTTATCTCGTCAAGGAGGATAAAGCATCATCCTCGCAGCGGCGGCTTTTGGCTAGCCATCGAACAAAGACGGTCGGTCACCGCATCGCGCGTTTTCAGATGCGCTTCCGCGGCCGTCTGGAACACTCTTCCTTTCGATATTAGGAATCCGCTGGAGCTATGCACTTTTAAATCTACATCGAAAATTCATTTCTTGAGAATGGATTTTTGTGTGGGTAGCCGTACCGGCCTTCTATGAAGGCCTTCTATGAAGAAGGCCGGCGCACTAAGAGGGTGGGTGGGCCAGTAGGGCTGAACGATTAATCGATTTAAAATCGAAATCGCAATTTGAAACAATGCGATTAGCAAATCACAAAGGCTACGATTTTTTGCGATTTGAAAAGTCCTATTACTTTCTTATGGGAATTGTTTTATTATTTATTATTATAACTTTCTTTAATTAACTTAACAATTGTTTAATGTTAAATTGTTCTATTTAAATTAAAAGATTTTAATAAATACATGTTGGAAGCAATTCATACCTTTTAAGTTATCATACTAGCATTAGAATATATAGAGCAGTTCATATTTAGATGGTATCACGTGGTAATGCTCCATCACATGTTTTAAATCTATTACAGTGAATATTTAACCGACGCTTGACTTTAAAAAATGTAATCGCAAATCAAATCGCAACATGTCAGAAAAATCGCAATTAGATATTTTCCCCAAATCGTTCAGCCCTAGTGGCCAGCACCACGCCCGGCCGCCTTTGTCTCCCCATCGGACAGACATCAAAGACGGTCACTTGCATCGCGGCGCTCTCAGATGCGCTTCTGCGGCCCGTCTGGAACCCTCTTCCTTCCGATATTAGGGAGCCACTGTGGAGCTTTGCTGCACTTTGAAATCATCATCACCGAGATTGACAACCTCGTTTCTTTAGAAAAAAAAAAATTGTGTTTCGGTTGTTGTCCTTCCCCCGCACCTCCGATAAGCACGGGTTGGCTACGTACGGTGCGAAAGAAGTTCAATGTACATACGCACAAAAACGTGCATCCGGAGCCGCCTGTTACTTGCCTTCTTTCTCGAGCGGGCATCTGCCGGCCACTCCTCGCCCTGGGCCCTCTTCCTCCGCTTCCTCTGCAGAGAGTCCTGCTGAGAACCCCAAAGATTGCATCACGATGACACGCACGCGCGCACACACACACATAACACATACCAACCGCAATTTAAAAAACGTGTGAACCACGAGATGAGTGGAACCCCACCGCAACAGAAACCTTTTACGTACGGCAGTTTTTGCTCGATTCTCATTTGTTTCAATCACTGTACTTTAGTAATTTTGGGTGAGACGGGTTCACTCGTGCGAAGGAAACTCACCCTGGGCCTCTTGAGTTCTCGCCTGGTTCAACAAAATCACCCTGAAACTTGGATCTCTGTGCGTGAATGCACTCCTCTGTGAGCGCGCTGCTCCACCAGTGCGGTGCTGTGAGGGTGGTGCTCCGTGTGAGGGTGGTGCTCTGTGTGAGGGTGGTGCTCTGTGTGAGGGTGGTGCTGTGTGTGTGAGGGTGGTGCTGTGTGTGTGAGGGTGGTGCTGTGTGTGTGAGGGTGGAGCTCTGTGTGAGGGTGGTGCTCTGTGTGAGGGTGGTGCTCTGTGTGTGAGGGTGGTGCTGTGTGTGTGAGGGTGGTGCTGTGTGTGTGAGGGTGGTGCTGTGTGTGAGGGTGGTGCTGTGTGTGTGAGGGTGGTGCTCTGTGTGAGGGTGGTACTCTGTGAGGGTGGTGCCCTGCGAGTGCGGCGCTCGTACGGGCTGCGTGGGCGGCGTCGCTGGAATTTTGTCCTCGGTGACCTCTGACCCCGAGCCGCCCCCCGCCTCGACCTTGGCACCCGCTCCGGCCTTATGCGCCGCTCGCCTCCCTACCGTCTGCAGAGCGACCACACAGCGCAAAGCAGCGAACTTGAGCGTACAAAACAATAGAGATTAAACAGGCCCGAGACAAATCACAGAATGAGATGGTAATAACGAGCAACTTATAGTTGAATCAAAATCTTTATTCATCCTGGAGGAATCTGATGAGCCGAAGCTCTTGTTCACAGATGTCCAGTAGAGGCGGGTCAGAAAGTTACAAGTATAGGAAGGTAAGCAAATCATTAAAAATAAATTAACTAAAACTAAACTATTTTTTATTTAACCAGGTAAAGCCCACTGAGCTATAAGTTATTTCTGAGAAGCGACCTGGCCACAAATGATAGCTCAACGAAGTGGCTTATCATGTGGACATTGACAGCAGATGATTCGTCAAAAGAATAACTGCGACAGAAGTGATAATTCACAGTCCTTGCTCAATCCACTGCTGGATAAAGTCCTCCCCGTGTCTTTTGGTCACGGAGGTTAAGTGACCATACTGCACCGGGGCTAGCCAAAGCAGGTCGGCGAAAAGGCCAAAGTCTAGGCCGGTTATCGCTGGGCACGGATGTTGCGCTTCGACCAAGGGATCAAACCCAGATTTTTATAACGCAGTGGGGCCAACAACTTCACCCCCGCCACCACCCTCCCGTGGTCATCGACTCCGTTATAAACCTGCACGTTGCGTGAAACGCGAGCGCGTGTCAAACCCGCGTACCGCGGCTTGCGGGCTCCGCTTGCGCCGTCCGCCCGGCCTCCCCTCATCTATCACGAGCCTCCCCTCCTCCTCCTCGTCCACCTCCTCTTCCTTCTCCTCGTCGGTGCTGCTGCCCCCTTTGTTTTCCTTCTTGGTTTCCTCCATGGCCCCGCGGGCCGCGTCCGCAGAGTCCTTCCACACACGAGGGTGTACGCATTCACCATCGACTCGCAAGAGAGACACACTCACATCGGCCCATACAATACAAGGAAGGCTTTACATGGAGTATAAGTACGACCGCTTCCCATGATGTTGTACCGAAGGAGTGCGGGTGTTTATTTTAAAAAAGGCGGCTTCACCGACCCGTACAGACTGGTGTGGCAAAGTACAGTCAAACATCTCGCACACGACCTGCACAGGCATTTTTGGGGCAACAGGGTGTGAGGTTCTCATCCAGCAGTGGATCGACAAAAGGGTGCCCCGGTGGCGAGATGTTATCTGCCTCGCCTGGTATGCAGGAGGTCGTTGTTTCGATCCCGACCCTGACGAAGCATGCTGTTGTATATTTGGAGTTTGTGTGTCTCTCCCCGTGGTCGCGTGGATTTTTCTCCGGGTCCTCTGGTTTTTCCCTCAACATTTAGAATCAACATCACGCGTTTAGAGTATGTGGCTGCTATAAATGTCCACGCGATGAACCACTTCGTTGGGCTATCATTTGTGGCCTGGTCGCTTCTGAATAAGAGCTACATAGCTCAGTTGGCCTTACCTGGTAAAATAATAAATACAGGAGACCATTGATTGTCCGGCGGCTTCGAGGGGAGGGGATGCCAAATATAAAAAAATGCCGGATAAGCACATCTTATTTATACATTTTATTTTTGCACATTCTTGTATGAATCATGTTTGTAGGTGTTATGTTTTTTTTGTGTTTAAAATTTGTTTACTATATAGAAGTGGCAAATAGACTAAGATAAATATCCTGTAAAAAGTTCCCGTATTTACTGGACCATACTTACCACTCCGATCTCGAAGACTCTGCATGGGGTGATGTATATATAGACACGTGCAGTATTTTCATTAAGTTGTACGCAGTGTATAAAGTACTATATATAATATTTGAGACTGAATTCAAGCATGCCTACTTTTTTTGTTCACGTGCATCGTGCCGATCGCCAGACTGGTTACAGCCTTCGAAGCGGTTTTGCCGGATCGGCCCGGGATTGCCGGATGATGTTGCAAGCTGGATAATCGCGCGCCTGATAACCAATGATCAACTGTAGTTGAGCTTTAAAGGAGCGTACACGTCACATGTCGAAATGAGAGATGAGGCCGTCCGTGCCCACGACAACCGCCGTCAACCCCTCGTGCCCCTAACCTGTTGCGCGGGGGTCCTGAACTGCACCATGGGATTATTCTCGATCTCCCACAGGCCCTCGTTGAAGCCCTTGCGCTTGCAGGGCACCGCGTACTTGAGCTTGTGCTTGCGGTACGGGAACACGTCCTTGCTGCACAGGAAGCCCCTGAGCTCATCGCACATGTGGGGTGGGGTCGGGTAGGGGGGAGCATCAATCCACAAATTAACCACAATACCTTGCTGATCTCGTGAAGGAGAATCAACCATCATGTCCAACTCCGGTCATCCTCCCAGGAACTTTTGGCTCGCAATCGAAAACAAAGACGGTGGTTACCGCATCGCGCGCTTTCAGATGCGCTTCTGCGACCGTCTGGAACGCTCTTCCTTCCGGTATTAGGCAGCCACTAGAGCTATGCACATTTCAATTTAAATTCAGAACAAATTTTGTATCATTATCTTAACCGAATTTATAAGTGCCTTCACTCAGGCACTTTACAAAAAAAGAATGTATGAGTGTGATGGTGGAGATGAGGGAATGAAATAGATAAGAGGTAGCAATGGCAAATCTGTGATGCGTGAATTCGGTGAAAGCAAAATTGATGACAGTAAAAGATGACGAATGGATTGAAGTGATCGCCATATAATGAGAATATGAAGAGGAAAAAGTGACGGTGGCAGTTATGAGGGGGAGATTAAGGGTCGTGGGATGAGCTAGGGGTAACAATAAGTGAGTTGTGAGTGAGGAGCGGAAACTTAGCGAGCGAATGTGACTGTTTAATGTAGAGTGGGAAGTTTGTTCCAGTGAAGGGGGGCGAGAAGAGAGAAAGAGCGAAAGCGTGGACTGAGCGCAAGGAGGAGGAACAGAGACGGGCAGCAATGATTGAGAAAGTAGCAGGCGAGAAGGCGACATAGATACAAGAGTGCCAAGATATGGTTGGAGGCAAGGCCATCAAGGGATTTGTAGACTAGCGCGAGGAATTTGAACAGGCAACGGCGGTACACAGGGAGCCAATTGAGTTGCGCGAGGAGGGTCGAGGTATGGGAATTGGAATTTCTTGTTTGTGTTTAGTTTATTTTCTACCCCGCCCGAACCTCCGAATAGCAGGAGGTTCGGGCGGCTACGTACGGTGCGAAAGAAGTTCAACATACAGTACCGTGCAATCACACACCCTCCCCTCCCCTGTCCTGCTTTGACCCTCTCGACATTCCGGGGGAATTGGCATCCGTGTTCGGGGTTGGCAGGCATTGATTGGTGACCCCGTGACCTGGTACCAGCATTATGTTGAACTTCCATTACGGTACTCTGCGCCGTTTTGACAACTGACCCGAGTGCCGACTTATAAAATATTCCTACAGTGGAAAAATGTGCGTGAACCCCCCCATTCCCAACCCGCTTCTGTCAGCAACGCTAGCGTAACGACGCTCATCCATGCGCAACAGGCCAGAGGGGTTCAAACCGGGGAACCCGTCGGCTCAGGTCGAACACAGCGCACGTCGCGACACACAAAGGGGAGAGAGATCACTCACTTCGCCATCCATCCCACGGTTCGTGGTAGGGAATTGGTGCTCACTGTTACAGCTCTCGGGGATAGGGCTTAGCCAGCAGTGAGCTGTACTAACATCGGCACAAACATGCGCGCGAGCTGCCCCCCTTGGCACAAACGCCAGGGTTGCGTGTCCACTGGACGTGCTACAAAGGCCCCCACCTCCCCCCTCCGCTATCAACTTTAACAGACCGGTAGCGCAAGCGGTTAGCAAACAGCACCTATGAAGGCCGGAACGTCGTACAAATGGGGTTGTGACCAACATCACCCTCGGCCGCCTTCCATCTCCCCAGCGCCGATGTTCACAGCACAACGAACCATGGCACGGTTCTCGTTTAAGGCCGAGTCGATCTAGAGGAGGGCCAGAACCCATTCATAAATCCGTCACGGTTCTTCGCGGCTCGCGAGAAATCGAAACTCGGCCCCGCTTGGGTTCACTCGCAACAGCCCGCCATTCGTCGCCGAGCGGTTAGTGACGTCCCCACGTCGCTTGTGCCAGGCTAGGTGCACCTTGAAGCTAACCCAACACACACGCACGTACGTCTCGTGAGTGCCGAAGAAGAAGATGGGGAGCTTGTGAGCCGGCGCCTTGCCCGCGCCCTCCGGAAGATGGTTTACCTGCACCACAAAACCACCACGCACAGTCTCTATCCACTGCTGGGCAACCCGAATTCAAATAAAACACCGCACAAACCCTTCTCTCACCACCACCACCCAACCCACCCCGCACAGCAATGCAAACAAAGCCGTGAGTGCGCGAATGGCGAGAGACGGAACAATAGAGGCGAGCGAGCGAGCGAGGGGGCCGGGCAAGCCAGGCCACAGCCACTACCACAGCCGCCTCGCCTACTCCTCTCCGGCGATACGACCGCTTGGCCCGGCGTGGCGGGGGATGATAGGGGGTTGATAGGGGAGCTGATAGGGGGGGGATGGGGTGGCGCCTTACACTGAGCCGGGCCCGAGCCCGGTGCAAGCCACTTTACTCGGGGACCCCCGAGCCGTGGAGATGGACGGGGAGAGGAGGAGGGGAGGGAAAAAAATCTGCGGTGGGCGAGGAGGAGGAGGCGGAGGTTGCAGCAGCGGCGGCGTGGGTGGTAGGCGGGGCCTAGGGTGCGGGGTCAGAAGTCAGCGGCTCGGGGGGGGTGGTGGTGGTGGCTACGGGGGGGGGGGTGGCTCGAGGGGGGGGGTGGTGGTGGCTCGGGGGGGGGGGTGGCTCCGGGGAGGGGGGGTGGCTCACGGGGGGGGGGGGTGGCTCACGGGGGGGGGGGTGGCTCACGGGGGGGGGGGTGGCTCACGGGGGGGGGGGCGGCTCACGGGGGGGGGGCTCGGGGGGGGTGGTGGTGCCTCGGGGGGGGGAGTGGTGGCTCGGGGTGGGGCTCGGGGGGGAGTGGTGGTGGCTTGGGAGGGGGGTGGCTCACGGGGGGGGGGTGGCTCACGGGGGGGGTGGCTCACGGGGGGGGGTGACTCACGGGGGGGGGGCTCACGGGGGGTGGCTCACGGGGTGGTGGTGGCTCGGGGGGGGGGGGGGGGTGGAGGGGGGGTGGTCTCCCGGGGGGGGGAGTGGGTGGTGGTGGCTCGGGGGGGGGGGGGCTGGCTCAGGGGGGGTGGTGGTGGCTCGGGGGGGGGGGTGGCTCACGGGGGGGTGGCTCGGGGGGGGGGGGCTCACGAGGGGGTGGCTCTTTACAAGGACGACGACGAAGCCATACTCCAGCCACGTGTTTCTCGGGTTGTACCCGAATGACAGTACTGTATTAAGAATGACGCCCGACGTTTCAGCCCACGTGCCAAAAAGCTTCAAGGAGAAAAAACCCAAGGCATACAGCTTTGGGGGGGGAGGCGAGGGGGGAGTTATTTCTGGGAATTGAGCGACATTTGAAGCTACTCGCTCAGAAAGGGTTGACACATGATTATATTTCTGCCGAAACGCCACCACCCACACGCATCGAGGGCCTCGTTCCAAGTCAGTTACCGAGAGAAGCTGTCCAGCACATGGAGCGCGAACGCTAAGCGTCGGACAGAATCGGAACATTTCTGTATGCTGGAGGAATCCGATGAGCTATAAAGCTCTTTTGTTTTAACCGATGTCTCAAGTAGGGCGTCGCGGCTACAAGCACCCACTGAAGAGCTACTGGGAGCACAGCGCATCAACCATCATGTCAACGGGTGGACTTCCCCACAAATCTGGCTGTCGCCTGATGAAGCTCGTTGTAATTACTGGCGAAACGTCGTACTCGGATGGTAAATGTTGTGGCTTGGCTCTCCAACACACAACCGGTGTGCTGTACTAGTGACGAATTGGCCACGTTCCTTTCACGTGACAACCCTTACTGGTTGGCTGTGTCGGGTGGTGGTGGGTTTAACGACACACATATTTACGCGAACTAACCCCCTCCCCCCCCCCCCCAATTAAACCCTCTATTATGCATCACGTCAAACACTCCTGTCATCCTCCCCGGGGGGGGGCTCGTTTTGTTGGCTCGACATCGCAGAACAAAGACGGTCACCGCAGTTTTAAGTCGAACGAAAGGGCCCCAACGTGTCCGCCGCGAATGATTTCGCTTGGTTCGACAGCCGTGACGCCGACGAAACGTGCGACGGAGAGCAGGCCAGCACCACCACCCCCCCCACACCCCCCCCCAAAATAAGGGGGGGCGAGAATAACAAAAACTCGTGCCCGCGGAACGGAATCCGCGACCCACCGCTAAGGGAGACGGTCTCGACGACAAGACCTTGAGTCGCCGACCTGAGGAGCATCATCCCAGCCGCCGACCTAAGAGGCATCATCCCAGCCGCCGACCTAAGAGGCATCATCCCAGCCGCCGACCTAAGGCGCATCATCCCAGCCGCCGACCTAAGAGGCATCATCCCAGCCGCCGACCTAAGAGGCATCATCTCAGCCGCTGACCTAAGAGGCATCATCCCAGCCGCCGACCTAAGGCGCATCATCCCAGCCGCCGACCTAAGAGGCATCATCCCAGCCGCCGACCTAAGAGGCATCATCTCAGCCGCTGACCTAAGAGGCATCATCCCAGCCGCCGACCTAAGAGGCATCATCCCAGCCGCCGACCTAAGGGGCATCATCCCAGCCGCCGACCTAAGAGGCATTATCCCAGCCGCCGACCTAAGGAGCATCATCCCAGCCGCCGACCTAAGAGGCATCATCCCAGCCGCCGACCTAAGAGGCATCATCCCAGCCGCCGACCTAAGAGGCATCATCCCAGCCGCCGACCTAAGAGGCATCATCCCAGCCGCCGACCTAAGAGGCATCATCCCAGCCGCCGACCTAAGGAGCATCATCCCAGGCACCGACCTAAGAGGCATCATCCCAGCCGCCGACCTAAGAGGCATCATCCCAGCCGCCGACCTAAGAGGCATCATCCCAGCCGCCGACCTAAGAGGCATCATCCCAGCCGCCGACCTAAGAGGCATCATCCCAGCCGCCGACCTAAGGAGCATCATCCCAGCCGCCGACCTAAGGGGCATCATCCCAGCCGCCGACCTAAGCAGCATCAACCCAGCCGCCGACCTAAGAAGCATCATCCCAGCCGCCGACCTGAGGAGCATCATCCCAGCCGCCCACCTAAGAGGCATCATCCCAGGCGCCTAGCCCGCCCGGGTCGCTTGGAGAACCATCGCGCCACCATCGGGTCCGCGTCCACACTGCTCGATTGAACGAACGGCTTCCTTCGGCACGCCGCCGCCGCTGCTGTTGCCGCTGTTGTTGTTGTGTGAGCGACACGGACGGCACCACGAAGTGGTCCCCTCCCCCACCCCCCTGAAGATTGCCACCGCGCCTCGTTGCGGCGAATTGCCAAAACGCACCCGAGTCCACGTGAGCTGTTAACCCTAACGCGCGACCAGGTTACCCTTCAGATAACTTGAGGCCGATTAACCACCCCCACCACCACCACCACGGTAACTCGACATTAACCCCTTCCCTGTGCCGTCTCCTCCGCCGCTGTCACAAGCGGCCACGGTCAATCCACTGCTGGATGAAGGCGCTGCCCGGGCAGTCTGCCGCGATTCTGCGGCGTTCACCATTCCCCACCTAAGCACCTGCTGATTTCATCGCTCCGTCTCCCCGGTGTGACCGTGCACCGGCGATCAGTGGCGCCGTGACGGGGCGGGGAAGGGGGGGGGGTGCTGGGGGCTGTCTGTGTCCCACGTACCCTGGATCCTGTCCCCTGATCCCCGAATAAAGGGGACATTCCCGCCGCGGACAGGGGTTCAGCGAGCCGGCGGCCTGGTGCAGGCTCCCCGCAAAAAATCTAGGAAACGCGGTCAACACGGGGGGGGGGGGGAGGTGGTGGTGGGGGGGTGGTGGTTCGCGGGAGGGGAACCCCCAGACCCCGCGCTCTGTCGACTGCGTAACTCAACGCAACTGACCCTGGCCGGCCAGTGCGGGTATCCCTTCATCTTGGCGAAGATGAGGTCCCCGGGTTTGTAGTCGGCCGACATGGTGGAGCACGGCGACTCGGGAGCCGTGGTTGGAAGGGTTTCGAGAGTCGCCGAGGAGTCTAAGTTGGGACCCCCCCGGCTTGAGTCGCTCCCCCCCTCTCCTCCTCCTCCTCCGCCTCCACCACCGCCGATGCTGCAGAGAGCGCGAAACGTGACGTAGCTCTTGAAGCGCCGCTGATGCTGCTGCTGATGATGATGTTGTTGCTGCTGCTGATGAAGATGTTGTTGATGCTGCTGCTGCTGCAGTTGGTGATGGTGCTGCGGGATGCCGGTGAAGATTTCGTTGACTCTGAAAGTGGCGATGGTGTCGATGCTGTTGCTGATGGTGATAATGATGATGGCGGCGGTGGTGGTGGTGATGATGATGATGATGTTGTTGATGATGATGATGTTGTTGTTGTAGATGATGTTGTTGAGGGGGACGCGTGGTGGTGCAGAGCCACGCGGGACCCAAGTTTCGCGCCTCTCGGCCACGACCACTTATAGCGGGGGGGAAGGGAGGGGGGGGGGCGACGCTGAGCAGGCGAAGTTGTCAAACTTATACAGTAAGCACGCGCTTAATTTGTTTTTAAATGTAAAAGAGTAATAGGTTGAATGAAATAAGTACGCGCAATATATTGTTTTTAATTGAGCGAGCGGTCACACGTCCGTGCCTGTGAATGAGCTCGTCCCGTGGCATAGGTGGGGGCGCACGGCCACAGCTTCTGTATAAGAAACATGAAAGTGCGACTTTAAAAAAAAAACCCACATTCACCCGCGTGAAAGAAAGTAATACTACAACAACAAAACCCACTACGCACAACTCACAAGAACACCCCCCCCCCCCCTTAAACATGCACAGAAACACATCTGTGATGTATCACTTTATTTTGACATTTGCACAATTTTACATCGGGACTGTGGAGGAATTACACAGCCACACTTGGCTGGTAATGGCTTCTGTTTTACTCTCTCTGCACGCAAGTTTGCCGTACGGCGAATTCCCGCATGATGGCGATCGTCCGAAACGTCTCCTCTCGCGTCATCTTACCTGTAGCTGTGGTGCAAGACTGACAATGGCGCACATCGTTGAAGACTGAATAAGACGCAGTCTCAATTCTAGACACTGATCCTGAGACCCGGTCTCAACTCTAGACACTGATCCTGAGACCCGGTCTCAACTCTAGACACTGACCCTGAGACCCGGTCTCAACTCTAGACACTGACCCTGAGACCCGGTCTCAACTCTAGACACTGACCCTGAGATCCGGTCTCAACTCTAGACACTGATCCTGAGACCCGGTCTCAACTCTAGACACTGACTCTGAGACCCGGTCTCTACTCTAGACACTGACCCTGAGACCCGGTCTCAACTCTAGACACTGACCCTGAGACCCGGTCTCTACTCTAGACACTGACCCTGAGACCCGGTCTCAACTCTAGACACTGACTCTGAGACCCGGTCTCTACTCTAGACACTGACCCTGAGACCCGGTCTCAACTCTAGACACTGACTCTGAGACCCGGTCTCTACTCTAGACACTGACCCTGAGACCCGGTCTCAACTCTAGACACTGACTCTGAGACCCGGTCTCTACTCTAGACACTGACCCTGAGACCCGGTCTCAACTCTAGACACTGACCCTGAGACCCGGTCTCAACTCTAGACACTGACCCTGAGATCCGGTCTCAACTCTAGACACTGATCCTGAGACCCGGTCTCAACTCTAGACACTGACTCTGAGACCCGGTCTCTACTCTAGACACTGACCCTGAGACCCGGTCTCAACTCTAGACACCGACCCTGAGACCCGGTCTCAACTCTAGACACTGACCCTGGGACCCGGTCTCAACTCTAGACACTGACCCTGAGACCCGGTCTCAAATCTAGACACTGACCCTGAGACCGGTCTCAACTCTAGACACTGACCCTGAGACCCGGTCTCAACTCTAGACACTGACCCCGAGATCCAGTCTCAACTCTAGACACTGACCCTGAGACCCGGTCTCAACTCTAGACACTGACCCTGAGACCCGGTCTCAACTCTAGACACTGATCCTGAGACCCGGTCTTAACTCTAGACACTGACCCTGAGACAACGGTCTCAACTCTAGACACTGACCCTGAGACCCGGTCTCAACTCTAGACACTGACCCTGAGATCCAGTCTCAACTCTAGACACTGACCCTGAGACCCGGTCTCAACTCTAGACACTGACCCTGGGACCCGGTCTCAACTCTTGACACTGATCCTGAGACCCGGTCTCAACTCTAGACACTGACCCTGGGACCCGGTCTCAACTCTAGACACTGACCCTGGGACCCGGTCTCAACTCTAGACAATGATCCTGAGACCCGGTCTCAACTCTAGACACCGACCCTGAGACCCGGTCTCAACTCTAGACACTGACCCTGGGACCCGGTCTCAACTCTAGACACTGACCCTGAGATCCGGTCTCAACTCTAGACACCGACCCTGAAACCCGGTCTCAAATCTAGACACTGACCCTGAGACCCGGTCTCAACTCTAGACACTGACCCTGAGACCCGGGCTCAACTCTAGACACTGACTCTGAGATCCAGTCTCAACTCTAGACACTGACCCTGGGACCCGGTCTCAACTCTAGACACTGACCCTGAGACCCGGTCTCAACTCTAGACACTGACCCTGAGACCCGGTCTCAACTCTAGACACTGACCCTGAGACCCGGTCTCAACTCTAGACACTGACCCTGAGACCCGGCCTCAAATCTAGACACTGATCCTGAGACCCGGTCTCAACTCTAGACACTGACCCTGAGACCCGGTCTCAACTCTAGACACTGACCCTGAGACCCGGTCTCAACTCAAGACACTGATCCTGAGACCCGGTCTCAACTCTAAACACTGATCCTGAGATCCAGTCTCAACTCTAGACACTGATCCTGAGACTCGGCCTCGACGACACTGACCCTGAGACCCGGTATAAACTCTAGACACCGAACCTGAGACCCGGTCTCAACTCTAAACATTGAACCTGAGACCCGGTCTCAACTCTAAACCCTGACCCTGAGACCCGGTCTCAACTCTTGACACTGACCCTGAGACCCGACCTCAACTCAAGCCACTGATCCTGAGACCCGGTCCCAACTCTAGACACTGATCCTGAGACCCGGTCTCAACTCTAGACACTGACCCTGAGACCCGGTCTCAACTCTAGACACTGGCACCGAGACCCGGTCTCAACTCTAGCCACTGACCCTGAGACCCGGTCTCAACTCTAGACACTAACCCTGAGACCCTGTCTCAACTCGAGACACTGGCACCGAGACCCGGTCTCAACTCTAGACACTGACCCTGAGATCTGGCCTGAACTCTAGAAACTGACCCTGAGAACCGGCCTCAACTCTAGACACTGACCCGAGACCCGATCTCAACTCTAGACACTAACCTGAGACCCGGTCTCAACTCTAGACACTGAGACCCGGTCTCAACTCTAGGCACTGATCCTGAAACCTGGTCTCAACTTCAGACACTTATCCCGTAACCTGGTCTCAACTTAAGACACTGATCCCGTAACTTGGTTTCAAACACTTGAATAATTTTGTTTTATTGCAGAGGGACAGATCTGTGATAGGGCGGTGGTGGCACACACGTAATCCAGCGCCGTGGAGGCAGAACCAAGGGTTGGTGGATGGCACAAGGATGTCGTGAAACTCTTTTCACCGTGGGTGTCGAGGAGGAAGCAGTGGCCTGGCCATGCCAGAACGAAGTTACAATAAGAATGTAAACCCCCCACCTCCCCTCCACGTGTTCCCGTCTCTACGGGATAGAGTGTTGCCCTTTCCGCACGTGCAGGGGCCCTCCGGGTGCTCAGGTTTCCTCCCACGTGCGCAAACAATTCGGTACTTAGATGAAAACGATCTTGATGCGTCGAGGATCGCAGAATTTGGGCAATTGAAGCAATTGGCGGGACCCCGGGGTCCCATCACTGCCCCGGGGTGGGAAAACCCGCGTAGCGACACGAGTCTCGTTGCCTTACCCCACAACAAAACTCTAGCGGTCAATCGATTGGCCTCGTCGAGAGCTACTCGGGGACACTAAGTTTCGTAAAAAGTTGAAAAATTACACAAACACGTTAAATCCACTGCCTGGGGGGGGGGGGGGGGGGGCGGTGGGGCTCGCCTTGGTAAAGAAGCCGAGGGTCGACGGCTGACCGGAGGGCGTCGGACGCCCCCCGGGGCTCGCGTTTGGCCGGTGGGGTGGCGCCCGTTGTGTCGATCGCCGCCTGCTGCTGCTGCTGGCGCTTGTTGGCGCGAGTCTGGGTGGGCGGCGCGTTGCTGTCGGGATCACGTAGTGGGGCGGACTGAAAAATAATCATTGATCTGATTTTTGCGGGACCCCGGGGGTCCCGCCAAATTATTCAATTGTTTGGGAGCAGCGGTTCACCACGTGGCCGCTACCTTGTGGTTCCCCCGCGCGCCTCCGAGTCGTTCTCTTGGAGAGGCAGCGAACGCCGTGAGGCGACGGTGCGGTCGATGCCACTGTCAGGTTGTGTCTTGCGTTCTGTTCGTGCGTTCTATCCACGTTATGGTCATTTTTTTATGGTCATAAACAGTTTGCCTTGGAAGCTAACCCCACTTTTCCCGAAGACGACCGCTTGTGTTGCGATCGAAACGTCGTAGTTTTTTTGTTATTTTTTTCGTAATTTTCTTTGAACCTATCTACGTACGTGACTTTACCGAAATACCCAAGAATATAAGGGTCCGTCTATGAATGACGTCACGCACCGGGGGGGGGGGGGGGTGAGACATTTGTGACGATGTGTGACGAGGGGGGGGCGGAGTTTGAGAAATGTGACGTCACATCAAAATGTGCAACTTTAAATAAAAATAGACAACACGTTCTACCTAATGAAATAGACTTTTTTAATACAATATTTCTCCTACAACATCAGAGTGCAGCGCCACATTAAATACGCACTACAATGACAATAGTTTAAAGCGGTTTGAAGCATGCTTAATTTGTTTTGGGGGAGGGGGGCAGAGCTTTGTGACGTCATATTTGAGGGGGGTCTGACTTTCTGTGACGCCGTGTGACGATGGGGGGGGGGTCAAAAATCGTCCAAAAACGCGTGACGTCATTTATGCACGACCCCAAATGATAATTCTGTTGAGAACTAATCGAAAGGCGTTGGACCATTTGATGGGCGGGGCTAGAGGAGGAGGGTGGGGGTGGCTAGTTATAAACAGGCCCCGCCCCACTCCGTTGCAGCCAACCAATGGAGAGCGGTGGAGAGAAGAGGGGGGGGGGCTCGGTGCGGGGTTTCCTAGGGTCCGTGGCAGGGGTACCCCCCCCCACCCGTGCAGTCCATGCGAATGTGGAGGTTTTTACCTTTGGGGCATTTCTTATTATAATATATTAATTTGATGATTCATTTTAAGCCAGGAATTTTGTTACTTAAAGGTGCATTTTAGGATGATCTTTTTCCACGTTGTCAATACATTTAATAATTACCGGTGCTGGATTGGTTGCAGAAAAATGTGATTATCTTCCTATTGATTCGCCATGTAAATTACGTGTTATCCTATTAACTTTCAGTGTGAGCGAATTTCACGGGGGGAATTGTTACGTAACCTGTGTGGGCCGACGCAGGCTGAGGGGATTCATTGCAATACGGTGGTTTGGTGATTCTACGAAGTTCGCCTTTAAAGAGCACGTCCCAGGATGAGGTCTTCATCCAGCAGTGGATCGACCATGGCTGCTGATGAAGGTGTCAGGTTACCTTCATCCAGCAGTGGATTGACCATGGCTGCTGGTGAAGGTGTCAGGTTACCTTCATCCAGCAGTGGATCGACCATGGCTGCTGATGATGGTGTCAGGACGACTTCATCCAGCAGTGGATTGACGATGGCTGCTGGTGAAGGTGTCAGGACGACTTCATCCAGCAGTGGATTGACCATAGCTGCTGAAGGTGTCAGGTTGCCTTCATTCAGCAGTGGATTGACCATGGCTGCTGAAGGTGTCAGGTTGCCTTCATCCAGCAGTGGATTGACCATGGCTGCTGATGAAGGTGTCAGGACGACTTCATCCAGCAGTGGATTGACCATGGCTGCTGAAGGTGTCAGGTTGCCTTCATTCAGCAGTGGATTGACCATGGCTGCTGGTGAAGGTGTCAGGACGACTTCATTCAGCAGTGGATTGACGATGGCTGCTGGTGAAGGTGTCAGGACGACTTCATCCAGCAGTGGATTGACCATGGCTGCTGATGAAGGTGTCAGGTTGCCTTCATCAAGCAGTGGATTGACGATGGCTGCTGGTGAAGGTGTCAGGACGACTTCATCAAGCAGTGGATTGACCATGGCTGCTGATGATGGTGTCAGGTTAACTTCATCCAGCAGTGGATTGACCATGGCTGCTGGTTAAGGTGTCAGGGCGACTTCATCCAGCAGTGGATTGACCATGGCTGCTGATGATGGTGTCAGGTTGCCTTCATCCAGCAGTGGATTGACCATGGCTGCTGATGATGGTGTCAGGTTGCCTTCATCCAGCAGTGGATTGACCATGGCTGCTGATGATGGATCCCCCCCCCCCCCCCCCTCAATGGAGCTTAAACCTGGAGGGTTTTATGACCTCTGGGTTGGCACCACGATTTGTTAGCCCCCCCCCTCCACCACCTCTTCAATACGCAGCACACATCCCCAACCAGCAGCAGCAGCACCACCACCACCGTCATTGCACGAGACACCACCACTCACATCCACACACACACAGAGATACACAATCACGCCGCTGCTGCTGCTGCTAAAACAGCGACGCCAACATCTGGAAGGGGATAGCAGACACATTTTAACCGGCTCCCGGTGACGGCTATTTAACGAGAGGTACGTGCCTATTAATTACAAAATTTATTTAATAAATATATAACAATTACATGATTGCATTGCAGAGAGAGGCTGATGATTGAGGATGATGGTGCCGGTTTGGGGGATGGAGATGAGAGCGTCAGGGATGCGTTGCCCCAGTGTGTGTGTCAGTGTGTGTCTGTGTGTCAGTGTGTGTGTCAGTGTGTGTGTCAGTGTGTGTCTATGTGTCAGTGTGTGTGTCAGTGTGTGTCTATGTGTCAGTGTGTGTGTGTCAGTGTGTGTGTCTATGTGGCAGTGTGTCTGTGTCTATGTGGCAGTGTGTGTCAGTGTGTGTGTGTCTATGTGTCAGTGTGTGTGTCTATGTGTCAGTGTGTGTGTCTATGTTTCAGTGTGTGTGTGTGCCTATGTGTCTATGTGTCAGTGTGTGTGTCTTTGTGTCAGTGTGTGTGTCTATGTTTCAGTGTGTGTGTCTGTGTGTGTGTCTATGTGTCTATGTGTCAGTATGTGTGTCTATGTGTCAGTGTGTGTGTCTATGTTTCAGTGTGTGTGTGTCTATGTGTCAGTGTGTGTGTCTGTGTGTCCGGCCTTCATAGGTGCTCGCTAACATCACTTGCCCCTACAGTCTGTTAAGGCTATATGGGGGATCTTTTATCTTTGTGTCTCTGTGTGTCTATGTGTCAGTGTATGTATCTGTGTCCTTGTGTGTGTCTATGTGTCAGTGTGTCTGTGTCTATGTGTCAGTGTGTGTCAGTGTGTGTCTATGTGTCAGTGTGTGTGTCGGTGTGTGTCTATGTGTCAGTGTGTGTGTCAGTGTGTGTGTCTATGTGTCAGTGTGTGTGTCTGTGTGTCAGTGTGTGTGTGTCTGTGTGTGTCTGTGTGTGTCTTTGTGTCAGTGTGTCTGTGTCTATGTGGCAGTGTGTGTCACTGTGTGTCTATGTGTCAATGTGTGTGTCGGTGTGTGTCTATGTATCAGTGTGTGTGTGTCAGTGTGTGTGTCTATGTGTCAGTGTGTGTGTCTGTGTCAGTGTGTGTGTCTGTGTGTGTCTATGTGTCAGTGTGTGTGTCGATGTGTCTGTGTCAGTGTGTCTGTGTCTATGTGTGTCTATGTGTCAGTGTGTGTGTCGATGTGTCAATGTGTGTCTATGTGTCAGTGTGTGTGTATCAGTGTGTCTATGTGTCAGTGTGTGTCTATGTGTCAGTGTGTGTGTCGATGTGTCAATGTGTGTCTATGTGTCAGTGTGTGTGTGTCAGTGTGTCTGTGTCTATGTGTCAGTGTGTGTCTATGTGTCAGAGTGTCTGTGTCTATGTGTCAAGTGTGTGTGTCAGTGTGTGTGTCAGTGTGGGCTGTGTGGGGTCAGTGTGTGTGTGTCAGTGTGTGCTGGGTCAGTGTGTGTGTGTTGGTGTGAGCGGGGTCAGTGTGTGTGTGTTGGGGTGTGTGGTGTCAGTGTGTGTGTGTTGGTGTGTGTGGGGTCAGTGTGTGTGTGTTGTGTGTGTGTGTTGGTGTGTGCGGGGTCAGTGTGTGTGGGGTCAGTGTGTGTATGTGTTGGTGTGTGTGTGTCAGTGTGTGTGTTGGTGTGTGCCACTGCCAGTGTACATATCAATGTGCGTATTTCAGTGCGTGGGGAGCGGTGGGGCAGCGGTTAGCGCGCTACGCTGCAAACCCGGCGACCCGAGTTCAATTCCCGCTCACGGCGACGATTATCCGAGCCGGTCCTGTGCCTCCCCTAGGTCGACTGAGCCTCAAAATGAGTACCCGGTGCGAAGTGTAAAAAATAAAAACATCGCCACTGGGGGAGACAAAGACGGCCGGGCGTGGCGCTGACCACCCAACCCCCTCTCGTGTGCCTTCGTAAGTGCTCGCGAACAGCACTTGCCCCAGCAGTCTGTTCAATACAACACGGTGGTGGGTGGTGGAATGTTGGTGTCTGTCAACGTGTCGATACGACAATTCTTCTTCGCTCGGCTGACGTCGATGCAGATTTCGCGGAGCAACAGGCTTGCGATTTGTACATTTTGAGTCGGATCGCCGCTGCTGTGATGATGATGACGACGATGGTAACCACCGATTGGAGTCGTTGAATTGTCTCTCTCCTCTCTTCTTCATTCTTCTTAATCGAACGTAGCGGTCCAGCCACGGATGCCGCCGTTGATGCGCGGCGGCTATTTGACCTCGTGCAATGCGCACCGCTCCATCCCACCGCCGCTGGGCAGCAGGCTTCTGTTTAACACGACGTAGGGAGGCTTTCGCGACCAATATCACCCATAATAGAGGGTTTATTTGGGTGGGTTAGATCGCGTAAAAATATAAAATGTGTCGTTAAAACCCGCCACCACCCGACACAGCCAACTCGTAAGGGTTGTCACGTAAGCAATGCCAAATCGTCACCAGTACACTACAACACAACCGGTGTGCTGTACTAGCGATGAATTGGCCACGTTCTTATTCTTAGCTCTTTCGGCAAAGTCACGTTGAAGGGAAACAATAAAATAATAAAATATATATAAAACAATATATAAAATATATATAAAACAATATATTTGCTTATTTTATTGTTTCCCTTCAACGTGACTTTACCGAAATGGCTAAGAATATGAATTACTGCAGTCACGAAAGCTTTAAATCAAAATTTGGCCACGTTCTGTTTACGTGACAACCCTTACTAGTTGGCCGTGTCGGGTGGTGGCGGTTTTTAACGACACATCTATATATTTACGCGATCTAACCCCCCCAAAAAACCTCTATTATGGACAGCATGCTTCTGTTTGACCTTTCAGAACGATGCTTCCAGGCTCCCTATCGACGTCGAATTTGAATGTTACGCGTGCTGTAATAACGAGGCACTTGCAAATTATTTACGCACAGCGAAGGCCGTAGGCTCACAGATACCCGTGCACATAGACCCATAGACTGACATACAGAGCAATCGACTTCACAGAGACCCAGAGAATCGCACAGAGACCCATAGACACGCTCCTTTCTACGTGCTATGGAGAATGACCATTGCCCAGAACGTCACCCATCGTATACATATACTAGCTGTACTACGCGGTTTCGCCCGGGACTTGGATCCACCACGCCCGGCCGCCTTTGTCTCCCCAGTGGCGATGTTCACACAGCAGAGCAGTTACTCGTTTGAGGTTGAGTCGACCTAGGGGAGGCCCAGGAGCGGTTGAAATAATCGTCACCGGTGGTGGCCGTGAGCGGGAATCGAACTCCGTTTGCCGGGTTCGTAGCGCAGCGCGCAAACCACTACACTACAATGCGTTACGCTTCCACACACAGCCACAGATACACACAGACGCACACACACAGATACACACAAACACACAGACACAGATACACACAAAACACAGACACAGATACACACAGACACGCACATATAGATACACACAAACACACACACACAGATACACACAGACACACACAGACAGACACAGATACACACAGACACACACACAGACACACAGATACACACACAGCGCGCTAACCACTACACTGCAATGCGTTACGCTTACACACACAGACACAGATAGACACAGACACACACAGACACAGATACACACAGACACACACACACAGCCACACACACACAGACACACACAGATACACACAGACACACACACACAGACACACACACAGACACACACAGATACACACAGCGCGCTAACCGCTACACTACAATGCGTTACGCTTCCACATGCGCGAGTCACGTGACAGATTTGACGTCACAGCTCACTTGCCGTGCAAAAATCTATGCATTATTGAGCTCCCCGCCCCCCCCCACACAAAAAAACTAAAGTGTATTTTTATAATCTTTGCATGGTGTACAGTCTGGAAAGTACCCACATGGCAAATTTCAAGTTTGTTGCATGTCGGGAACTACGCTAAACATTTTGAACAGACAACACATATTCACAACTTTGCCTTTGATATATATGGAGATATTTTAGTTTTAAGGCGATTCTCTTAAGATTTTTTTTATTTAAATTCCAGATTGTTTACATCTACGTGCTACTACTGGTAGAGCATTGTGTATGTTCATACTCTCTCCCTAGGTGCTGAGGAGCAGTAGTTAAGCCCTTTGTATAAGAGCGCAGTTCCTGTTCAGGATGTGGAGCGCATTGTTTGACTCAGGCTGCAATTGTATTGGCTACAACTGGGCAGACAATTGCCGGAAACACGAAATTAGCCCGCAGGAAATTCTCACCATTCACTTCGAAACAATCTAGGTTAGTGAGGCCAACGTAACGATTCCAGTTAATTTATGGGGCCTTCATCAATCCACCGCTAGATGAATGCCTCCCCCCCCCAAGCATTTCAGTTGACGTGAGCCCCAGTGCAAGGAATTACATTTCCCGTCACCAAACCGCTTACCCTACCTCTTCATAGCCCAGCAACCTGGGCCACTTTTGGCCTGGACGTTCCCGGTCCAGTTGCACCGCACGCCACAATTTGTCTTTTTTAGTCACGTGGGATGTCTGACCATACTTCGTGCTGCAGGTTGGTGAAGATGGGGGGGGGGGGGGGGGGGGGGGGTATGCACGTGCGTTGAACTTCTTTCGCACCATATGTAGCCAACCGTGCTAGTCGAAGGGGTGTCGGGGACCGGTGGTGCGGATATCACTCGCCACATACCGGGCGGCAGAGCTTACGGAGGGGACGCTCGTTTCACGGATACATTTTTTTCACACGGCGCAGCGTGTCACCGCTATTAGCCGGAGCAACTTTCGGAGTTTCCAGGGACTGTCAGAGACGCGAATGTGCCAATTTTCACGACTTCGCCAGACGTTTAAATCAATGTTCGGCGTGGAATTGAGGCCCGCCGTTTTAGCGCGAGCGCGCGAAAGGGAAACAAATTGAATCGGCTGTCACTGAAGATGAAAAAAATTAATATGATCTCATCATTAACAATTTACGTCGCTGCCATACATCATTTTTCAATTCTGGTTTTACGTAGTAGTAGTAATAATAAGAACAGTAATGATGCCCCTCACTCCCAGATGAGACCCTTCCCACGCCGTTGTTAGTCATTTTGGGCTGTTCGGCCGGACTCTCACCACGCAGTTCCTCGAAGGCTCGGTGAGAGAGGGGGGGGGGGGGGGGAGTGCACGTTGTGGAATTTGTAAAACTATTTTTTGTTATCAGGTAAGGCCCACTGAGCTGTACAGCTTATTTGCAGAAGCGACCCGGCCTCTCACAAATGATAGCTCTACGAAGTGGCTTATCGTGTGAAAATGTATAGCAGCCAAACACTCTTAAACGCATGTTGCTAAATGTGAAGGGGAAAATCGGAGGACAGCGGAGAAAAATTCACGTCACCCACGTGGAGCGGGACACGCAAACTCTAAATATGCAGCAGCAGGCGTCAGGGTCGGGATCGAATCCACGACCTCCTGTATACCAGGCGAGGTAGTTAACATCTAGCCACCACGAAGGAGCCCGAGAAAAATCCACATGTCCTCGGGGAGAGAGGCATGTAAATTTCAAAGAGACAGGAATCAGGGTCGGGAATGAACCCACAACCTCCTGTATAACAGGAGAGGCAGTTAACATCTAGCCACCTTGGAGGATTTGGAGAAAAATCCACGCAACCATGGGGAGAGAGGCATGTAAACTCCAAATATACAGGAATCAGGGTCGGGATTGAACCCACAACCTCCTGTATACCAGACGAGGTAGTCAACATCTAGCCACCTTGGAGGACCCGGATAAACATCAACGTGGCCACGGGGAGAGATGCATGCACACTCCAAATATGCAGGCATCACGGTGGGGATCGAAAAGCCAGTGATTTACGGAGTCTCTTGAGTGGCCTCTAATAGAGTCTGACTCACATGTCCGCTATTGACGCAGACACTCTACGGCCTGCGATGAGCGATGATGTCACCAGGTTCATTCAGGGAAACTTTCACACAGTGTAGCCCATGAGCTTCGAGCAGATATTTCATTCGGTCAGTCCGCACCATCCGAGGTGGCATCACTTTCGCGGTTTTCAATGTGTTTATTAAGTTTACGCGGCCTAGAACAGTGAATGATGCGATAACCGTTTATATCGAGTGAGGTTATCATACTTAGCCCTACAAATAAACTGGTACGACTAAAGTTTTGCTATCTTAGGTGGTAACCAGTGTCTGATTTGGCACATGGACTACTTTGTCTAGTCACATAGTCACTTTAAGATGTTTTTCTTGTTCGTGTTTTTGTTTTTTTGCTTGTTGTGGTTGCACCCGATTCAAGAGCTGAATGGCTCACAGGGCTATACCAAAATAAAGAAACTGAAATGATCAACACACGGTGCACGTGGTTTCGCCGTCTTACCAAATTTTATTGCAATTGCGCCACTGGTGTCACGTCGCGAGACAAAGAATCCATACGGAACTCTCAAAGCACAGTTAGACCCCCCCCCGCCCCGCAGGTCTCCCCCGATATTCGAGCACGGCCCACAGAAATGAATATCACAGAAATATTTCTGAGATTCCTTTCAAGCGCCGTGAAGGAGGTGGCCGGGGTGGGTGACACCGCCGAGACCCTGGTTACAAATTCAGGTTTAAGCTGCCCGAAATTCAACTGGGTTCTCAAGTGTAGGGAGTTGATGGTGTCAGTCCAGTCTGTGCATGATCCACCAACCCCCCCCCCCCCCCCCCCCACCTGTCAAGTGAGCTTCCTGCCTTGATGTGGCATGAGGCTGTAGGTGGCCGGTCCATCCGCACGAACCATGGCTCACGACTCCCATCGTCACCCCGGAGACCGCCGTCACTATGGCAGCGGTTTCCATGCCCGCCGTGACCCGTTGCCTCGGGGCAGGAAAATCACAACGACGGAAATTATCGCCGACCTAAAATTTGTCTCCAAAAACACGCCGCCCGCCACGCTGGCTTGCTCGCACCGGCTCACTGCACGAAGTACTGGGTCGTGGGCGTCGCTACCGACTGTGCAGGCAGTTGCAAATGTGCCAGGGCTCACGGGGCCTCTTGATGGGTCCAGGCGATGGATACCCAGAGGGGGTGGGTGGGTGAATCGTATGGGGGGGGGGCATTTCATTTCTCCCAACCTGGGCCCATCCAGCACTGGATTGATAAGGGACTGTAAATTATTGTGGCCCATGCTGACCACGCTAGGCCACTGCGGCAGACCGATGGTTTGGGCGAAGGGCCCTTCTTCAGGCAGAGAGCCGAGAAGGGACAGAGAGGGCAAAGCAATTGGATCACTTGTAAAGGTGAGATTAAAATGTACATTTTGGGTGAGATGGGGGGGGGGGGCCCTGAGAAATCTGGGGGATTTTTTTTTTATTAAGTTCACAAATTAGCGGGTATTCTAAGATGGAACAGAGCGCCGTTTAGCTGCCACGAGACTCGGGCCCACTCGCAAAGGGTGGCCACACAACCACGCTTGCCAGGTCGCAGGACCGGCTCCGACATCACTCGCACACCTCTCCCACTGTGGCTGCACCCCTGTATTTAGCGCTCCATTTTGATCGACCGTCGCGGATGCAGCCCGCACAGGCGCACATTATGGCGTCAGCCACACTATAATTACGAGCCTTGCCTCCTCCCCCTCCCGCCTTCCGGGGCAAAGAAGCATCGAATCTAATTCTGGCCGCATTGGCACAACGTAAGCAAAAAGGAAAAAGTTTTCAATCAGGGCAGGTTACCCGTTACGGTAATCGAATCGGTGACGGAACGAAAACTGAAGAGTGCGAAAAAAAATTAAGCGTGGAGAGGTAGGTGCGAGCTTGGAATTACACCGAGATGCAGGAAGGGGAACAATATTGGATCGGAGGAATAGATGCAGGTTAAAGAAAATATTTTTACAAAAAAAAATTACGTTTATTTGGCCAGGACACGCAGCTTAAACAGACGACGGCCAGTGGCTGAGACTAACGAGGCAATGCCAGCCAAGGGAACGAACACGCCTGAAAGGGACGTTCGCTACGGAGATGGAGCGAGATGAAAACATCTCGGGCGCAGATGCTTGATGGATCGTAGCTTTGCGGGACCATGACGGGATGGCAACGGCTTGGGGAGTCACTCATCCAGCAGTGGATTGATACTGGCTGACTATGAATTGTACGAAATTATCGGGTGGTACGATCACATGGAATAATTGGCCTCTGTGTTTCAGCTGCCCTCTGACCTGGTATCCCCAACTGTGTAGCGAATTTCTTATGCATCATCTTTGCTTCGCTTTCATATTTGTAGTTTTCTTCCTGAAGTTGTTCAAACATTTCCTGCACGGTGCGAAAGAAGTTCATTATGCATACATATGACTCGATCGGATTGAATCGTATATTAAAATATTTTCTCTATCGTATCGCTTATGTCTTTAAGAAGTTAGATTGACCACGGCCGATGATTACGACAATACTTTTTTTTTATAAAATTGTATAGAATATTTGTACAGTATGCTATATTAATGTATGTGCTTATTCAACAAGGAAAAAAAAACCTCTCAATAACTCATTTGCATGAATGTCCTGTCGAGTTTTCACAGCAGGGGGCGATGATCGCTACGTATCGGCACCTTTGGTCAATAACCAGTTGCATCGTACGGCTTGTTTTGTATAATCAAATCGCATTATTTAGCTGTATCACCACATCGCGTGCAATACTCAATTGCGATTACCTTGATACAAAGCGATCACCGCCCCCTTACTGGCGGTCTACACGGATCGAATGTCGTCCCCTCTTGAGGAACCCCCCAACGTTCTGAAAATGAATCGTTTCTATCTCTCAACTGCAGATCTGACGCCGAGCGTGACGATCCACACCAGGTGCCATGGACCCGATAAATGGGGGGAGCCTGTGGGGGGGCGGCTCTCCAGACGCCCCCCTGGGCTCATCGTCGCCCTTCGACCTGTTGGAGCCTCCGCTGGCAAGCGGCTTCCTCAAGCTGTCTCGCCCGTGCTGCTACGTGTTCCCCAGCGGGCGCGGGGACTCGGCGCTCTTCGCCGTAGGCGGTTTCAACCTCCTGGTGGATGGCGGCTCGGAGGCCCGGTCGTGCTTCTGGAAGCTGGTGAGGCACCTGGACCGCGTCGACGCCACCATCCTCACGCACACGGGCACCGACAACCTCCCCGGCTTCGCCTCCTTCCTGCGGCGGAAGATCTCCGAGGCGGTCGCGGAGGAGGGAGGAGTGGGGAGTGACGGTGAGACCGGTCCCAGGTCGCCGCCGCCGCCGTCGTCGTCGCCGGCCTGGTCGCTCCGAAAGTCACCGAATCTCCTCATCTCTCCCGAGCTGGGCGTGGTGTTCTACAACGTCCCGGAAAAAAGCAACAACAACAGCAACAATGCTGAACTGGCGGCGGCGGCGGCGGTGGCCGCTGCCCGTGACAAGGGGAGCCTTGAGGTGTCCACGGTGATCCTGGAGAGCTTGGAGAAGCTGCGAGTGGCTCCACAGCCATTATTCCGGCTGCCGGCGCCCGCCATTGAGCCGGTGATCCTCTTCCATAAGTTGGGCGTGGGACACCTAGACATGTATGTGCTGAGCCCAGTGAGGGAAGGCCGCGAGGGCAACCCGCTCGGGCAGAAGCTGCCGTTGAACAGGGCCAAGGGCGGCAATGGCGTGATGGGGCACAAGGAGAGCGGGGCGGCGGCGCCGGCGGCGGCCCCCTGCGCCACCGGCACAGACTCTGTGGCGGTGCTGGTGGTGTGGCATCCCGCAGACCCGACCGAGAGGATCGTCCGCGTCCTCTTCCCCGGTAACGCGCCACAAGCTAAGGTCCTGGAGGGCCTGGAGAAGCTCAAGCACTTGGAGTTCCTCAAGATCCCCTTGGCGACGCAGAGAGACGTGACGTCGGGCACGACCGCAGCAAAGAACGCCAGCCCGGGGCAGAAGGCAGCCAGCAAGGAGAACATGAAGTCTTCTTCATCCCGGTCCTCCTCCAGCAGGAGGAACCTCAACAAAGAGGCGGTGGAGAAGTCAGACGCCAACAATAGGCAGAGCAAGGGTGGAGAGAAGATGGACAAGAGGGACCCGTTAGCGAAGAACAAACTGGATTTGTCTTTCGAGGCGGTGAAGAACAGGGGCTCCGTGAAGAAGGACGGCAAGAAGCCGGAGGTGAAGAGGGACGCTCAGAAGGTGAGTAAAAACGACACGAAGCCCGCCGGGAAAAAGGACGATGAGCGGAGATCACCGAAGCCAGCGGCGAAGGCCGCGGGACCATCCTCAGAGGGCAGGAAGGGCTCAGCTAAAGCCAAATCTCCAAAGAAAGAGGCCGCAGACATCAAGAAGCCACTCGCGGGAGTTCATCCTAAGTTGAGGGAGAAGCTGAAAGGCCGGGTTGACGCATCGGCGGGCCCCAAGACATCTCCCACATCGTCGCCGGAAGACCTGATGAAGGAGTTTGACGAGGTGAAGCAGGACAACCTGCAGGCGATGATGGCGGTACACAAGGCCCTGGTGTCAGAGAGTCCCAGCGACATCTTCGTGTCAGAGGAGCAGTACGTGGAGAAGATCATCCCGAGCCCCGTGCACGAGGACTACAGCAAGACGCCCGACAGCACCGACGTGGCCGAGTCGATGCTGTCCCCCGACGAGGGGATCACTACCACGGACGTAGAGGCCGACCTGGACTCGTCTCCCCAAGAAGACCAGGCCCTAAACTCCGACAGACAGAAGAATGAACGCTGTGCGCCAGATAAGAACCAGCGGAATGCGTCTGGAGCCGAAGAGCGCACGGAAGCGGGCGGCGAGAAGCGTTCTGCCGACGGAGATGGTGCAGTCACGAGCGGCATGCAGCAAGAGTCCAACGAATTCCTCGACAAAGCGGAGACGGAAGCGGTGGAGAAGCATGCGCCGAAGGCAATAACAAGCGACGCGGAAACAAGGCAGGGCCGCACATTTGACGCCGCAAACACCAACCCGGAAACTATCTCCGTTCACGGTGCCGCCGCAGCACCGCTCCATCCGCATGCAGACACAGGTCCGAAAGGTTCCGCTAGTGATGCGGCTGCTATGGAGCCGACTCCAAAACTCCATGGTGGTGCATCTGCCATGGAGAAGGACGTCGCTAATGTCACGTCGTCGCAGACATCTGAAACGTCTGACTTTCCACCGAAGACTTCCTCGTCGCCCTCCCGGGAATCCCTGGCGCTCCCCAGCCTGGAAAAGGGCCCTCCCAGCGACGGGGTCCACAACGTGAAGGACGGCGCCGTGACAGAGGGTGGCACCTTGCGCGCTCCCACGTCCATTTTGCACCGCACGAAGACCCCGTCGTGCGAGCGGTCCGTGCTCTTCGACCTCACTCCACTGGAGATCAAGCTGACTCCGGACGAAAGCCCTGCCGACAAGGGACCCCAAGGCTTGGACAAAAGTGGAGAAGGCGACGCTTTGGCCGACACCGATTCCCCCACGCGCTCCCCTCCGTCCAGCGCCGGGCACACGCCCTACAACCTCTCGCCCGTCGACGAACCCTCCTTCCTGTTTGAGGAGGCGGCAGCGGCCCGGGAGCAGGAGGAGGAGGACGCAGGTTTGGAAGAACCCACGCTGCGCTCGGTTGAGGAATCGCCTGGGAGCTGCAGCGTCAATCAGACCGACGATCACGAGTCCGCACGCACCATAGGCCTAGGGGCCACAGAAACAATCATGAATGAAATTAAGGACATTGCGAATAAGGAGGTGATCCACTTGGCCGATACCAAAACGTTCAGCTGCGTGCCTTTTCCGGACGATGAGAAGAAGGAGACAGCCAGGCACTTGGCTAATGAGGTGCTGCTTTCCCTAGGCATGCCAGGGAATGCGAGCGAAGGGCCACCCAAGGCTGCCAGAGAGGAACACGATCTGCAACATCAGAGTTACAACAGGGCGGCGGGGACATCAGAGCTAACTGCCAAGGACAAGCTGAAAACCTCCGCAGTGGACTTGCCCTCCCCAAAGTCCACGACGCCAACGGAGGACAGCTTCCTGCAGGCGGGCGTCACGGTCTCCACCACGTCGATCGCCACCAGCTCCTTCCTCAACGAACCCAACACCCGCACCATGGACGACGTGTCTCCCTCGCTGCCCGTCGATGTGGGCTCGCCGCAGTCCACCGAGGTGGATGAGTCCCTGTCCACCTCCGTGGAGAACCCATCGGTGGGCCGCGGTGAGGCCTCCAGGCCAATGTCGGCCTCGCCCGACCAGATCGTGTCCCCTGGGCGGGCGGACGAGGTGAGCGGGACAATGGCGAGTGATCAGATGATGCAGAAGCAGCACGGACCTCTGGCCTCGTCCGCAGCATTCCAATTGGACAAATGCGACAACAGTAGCAGCAGCAGCAGCTCTCCAGCCAGAGTAGGTGGCCACCACACAGCTCAAGACAAGAACCAGAGTGCAACTCAGGCTGCTCAGCCAATAGATATCCCCCTTTGCAAAGAAGACCGACAGAAGTGTTTGGAGGCTTCGGCATCCACGGGTGGCGGTGACCCTTCTGTGATGACCTCGGGTCAACTCCAGCAAGGGATGTGCGAGGCTGCGGCGGCACTGACGACCCCGGGACAGCTGTTCCCCTCTTCCGCCCGGTTAGACGACCCCACCACCGCCGCGTCATCGTGGGCGACGCGGCCGCAAAGCAACGTGGACATCGAGACCCCGTCGACGTCGGTCAACAACTCTGTGGTTTCGTCGTCGGACTCAGAAGGGCCTCCGGAACTGGGCCACGGCTGGGCCGCGGCTGCGATAGAAGAGAGTCCCTTGGCCTGTGGCCCTGCAGCTGCTGCTGGCGCTGCTTCTGCTGTGGGTCCGGCAGCTCGGGAGCAGACAAGAATCACGGAGGCGACACCAGCGCCCATCAGCTCACCCACCTCACCGCCAGAGGGAGACCCGTGCCCGGCGCGGTCAGCCGCGCGCAAACTCGACCCCACGCCGCCCCCGCCCGACCCCGCCGTGCGCATGGTTGACCCCGAGCTCGCCAACTATGGACCGGCCATGGAGAAGATGCGAGGGGGAGCTGCGACAAAGAGAGATCCCCAGAGCGTGAAGACCCAGAAACAGCCACGGGTGAAGACGCCGTCACCCGGAGCGAACGCTAAGAGCCTCGGGAAGGCCACGACGCCTCCGGGGAGGCCCGGCGTGGCCAAGAAGTCCCCAGGAGATGTGAAAACGACCACGGGCGTCAAGAAGAAGGGTGAGATGGCACGCTAAGGATGCCGCGATGAACATTGTTCATGGGGGGAGGGGGGGGTTATTTGACCATACTTCACACCGCTGGTCAGTGTGGGTCAGCGAAGGTGGCAGGGAGCATAGCTGCTTGGAGGATAGTACAGTACAACAATGGATTGTTTTGCTGCGCTGCCCTCTGCTGACAATGCTGCCCCATTGCCTTGGTCCGTTTGGTGTGCGTACAAATGCTCTAGTCGATGACGACCTGCGGCCCTTTAGCCAGGTCTGTCTGTGGATTTTATGTAGTCACTCTCTTAGTCTCGTCGATTAAAGGAGTCACACATTTATGAATGGGTTCATTCATAAATGCGCTGCTACCACCCTGCCGAATGGTCCTTAAGACTTTACTGGCAGACAGTTGATTGAAGCTACATCATGGGGCCTCCTTTGCCAGTACCAAAATATGAGAATAGGTTTTCCGCTTTTTTTCTGGCAACAAAACAGCTGTGTTTTGATGTTAAAACACCAAAGTGAAACCTTTTACAAGGAATCATGTCTGCATTAAGTACAATACTTGTGGTGAGAATGCAAACAAAAAACATACTCTCATAATGTATGCATTGCTTTGAAACTGATTGGTTCACACCAGAGACAGCTTTCTTTTGAGCCTAGTCTCAAAACGGTGTGAGATATTTATTATCAGAGTATGTTTTTTGGTCTTGATTTTAAGCTTTCATGACTGCAGGAATCCATACTCTCTGGTTCTTTCGGCAAAGTCACATAGATAGAAAAAATAATAAAAGAAATACGACGTTTCGGTCGCAACACAAGCGTCCATCATCAGGTGAGAAAATGATTTGTTGTTGTGGCTTTATATAGGCACGGGAAGGGGGAAGGGGGGGAGGATTTTGTTCGAGTCGTGGCCACAAGTATTCTGGTTAATGCAGACGTTATTCCTTGTAAAAGGTTTCAGTTTGGTGTTATAACATCTTAACACACCTGTTTTGTTGCCAGAAAAAAAGGGGAAAACCAATTATCATATTTTGGTACTGGCAAAGGAGGTCCCATGATGTATCTGCTCACCCCGAGCTCTCATTACTCTGACGGTGGCATTGTCTTTTGGCTGTACGCCTTTTGGCGTCCTCTGGTCTAACACCGTTTTGAGACGAGGCTCAAAAGAAAGCTGTCTCTGGTGTGGACCAATCAGTTTCAAAGCCAATGCATACATTATCAGAGTATGTTTTTTGTTTGCATTCTGACCACAAGTATTGTGGTTAATGCAGACATGATTCCTTGTAAAAGGTTTCAGTTTGGTGTTTTTCCATCTTAACACCTGTTTTGTTACCAGAAAAAAGGGGAAAACCTATTATTTTAGTTTTTCTTCCGGTTCCGTTCCGATGACGTCCGTTTCAATGCCGTATGTGTACGTCATTGGAACGGAACCGGAAGAAAAATTGATGACTTACACGAACGTCATCGAAACAGGTCAGGTATATATCGCCCACCCTGTAAATGTAAATCAGCTCAAGCCTCCCGTAAATCACGTGATTTCTGTTTGGCTATCCCCCATTCTGAACCACTCATCCCCTCTCCCAATCGCTCCCCTGTGGAAACGCGAGCTGCTCCTCCGAGCAGAAGCGTCGATGCCCCGATATAGCCTGGGACTACACTACTATATACTACACTACTATACACTACACTATACACTACACTACTATACACTATGCTACTATACACTACACCATACACTACAAAACACTACACTACTGTACACTGCTACTATACACTACACTATACACTACACTACTATACACTATGCTACTATACACTACACTATACACTACGATACACGACACTACTAAACACTATACATTAGGCTCTATGGAGACCCGTCGTTAAGCGATTAATTGTTCACAGGGGTGGTCGTTAAGAGGGGTTCTCTTCTACACTACGAAACACTACACTACTATACATTACTATACACTACACTACTATACATTACTATACACTACACTATTATACACTACTATACATTACTATACACTACACTACGATACACTACACTACTATACATTACTATACACTACACTACTATACACTACACTATTATACACTACTATAAACTACACTACTATACACTACGCTACTATACATTACTATACACTACACTACTATACATTACTATACACTACACTATTATACACTACTATAAACTACACTACTATACACTACGCTACTATACATTACTATACACTACGCTACTATACATTACTATACACTACACTACTATACATTACTATAAACTACACTACTATACACTACATATTGGGCTCTATGGAAGCCCGTAATCAAGTGATGAGTCAATAACAGAGGTGGTCGTGAAGAGGGATTCTACTATACACTACACTACTATACATTACACTACTATACACTACACTACTATACATTACACTACTATACACTACACTATACACTACACTACTATACACTACACTACTGTACACTACACTACTATACACTACACTACTATACACTGCACTACTGTACACTACACTACTATACACTACACTACTATACACTACACTATACACTACTGTACACTACACTATTATACACTATGCTACTATACACTACTCTACTATACACTACACTATACACTACAATACTATACACTACACTATACTTTACACTATGCTACTATACACTACACTATACACTACTCTACACTATGCTGCTATACACTACACTATACACTACTATACACTACACTATACACTACTTTATACTATGCTACTATGCACTACACTATACACTACTATACACTACACTACTATACACTACTCTACTAAACACTACACGACTATACATTATGTTACTATACACAACACTACTATACACTACACTACTTAACACTACACTACTATACACTACACTACTATACACTACTCTACTAAACACTACACGACTATACACTAATCTACTAAACACTACGCGACTATATTATGTTACTATACACAACACTACTATACACTACTCTACACTACTATACACTACAATTTACACTACTATACACTATGCTACTATACACTACTCTACTATACACTACACTATACACTACTACTATACACTACACTATACACTACTATAGACTACACTACTATACACTATGCTACTATACACTACACTATACACTACTCTACTATACACTACACACTACTTTACACTATGCTACTATACACTACACTATACACTACTATACACTATGCTATTATACACTACACTATACACTACTATACACTACACTACTACACACTATGCTACTATACACTACTATACACTACACTATACACTACACGACTCTACACTAGTATACACTACACTATACACTACACTACTATACACTACATTATACACTATGCTACTGTACACTACACTATACACTACTATACACTACACTATACACTACCATATACACTACACTATACACTACTCTACACTACTATACACTACACTATACACTACTATACACTACACATTGGGCTCTATGGAGGGGTTCTGCTGTATTACGCTGACCCTCGCCATCCGTTGACGTCTGACCCCCTAACCCCGACCCAGGAGGTGGGGGTAGCGCGGGTGGCACGGCACCCCCCACAGTGTACGTGGACCTGGCCTACATCCCCGCTCACGGGGCACAGGGGCAAGTGGACGCCGAGTTCTTCCGGCGCGTGCGGGCGACGCACTACGTGCTGAGCGGGAACGACGCCGGCGGTGCCGCGGGTGGTGCTTCGAGGGCGCCGGGCCGCGCCACGCTCGACGCGCTGCTGGCCGGCCGGGCCGAGTGGGGAGTCGACCACACGGTGAGAGAGGTGGACCCCCCCCCCTCCGCCACCGTAATGTGGTGGGTGGGGGGCGGTGGAACGATGACAGACAATGATAAACAAACGATAACGAACGATTCTAATGGGACCTTTTTTTGCCAGGATCAAAATGATGATACTATAATAAAAGGCTTTACCACTTTCGGGCATTGCATTCTCATGCATTTGGATTGTACTATCATGCTCACATGTCCTTTGGATTGCACTCTCATGCTCACATGTCCTTTGGATGGCACTCTCATGCTCACATGTCCTTTGGATGGCACTCTCATACTCACATGTCCTTTGGATTACACTCTCATACTCACATGTCCTTTGGATTGCACTCAGATGCTCACATGTCCTTTGGATTGCACTCTCATGCTCACATGTCCTTTGGATTGCACTCTCATGCTCACATGTCCTTTGGATTACACTCTCATGCTCACATGTCCTTTGGATTGCACTCTCATGCTCACATGTCCTTTGGATTGCACCCTTTGGGTTGCACTCTCATGCCTTTGGATTGCACCACTCTTCGATTTTACATTAACATGCTAATCTCTCACATTGACATAGCCACTTCCTTGCCCTCGTCGAGGAGGCCGCTCTCCGATGTTACAGCTACTTGCTAATTTCTCACATTAACATCATGCTAATTTCTCACATTAACATCATGCTAATTTCTCACATGAACATCACTAGCCCCGGGCAATTATTTATGACCCTTGAACTACACCCATTTAAAACCTTTTAAAACAGTCTGCCTCAGCAGCTGATCACGCTTTCCCACCTGATGACGGACGCTTGTGTTGCACCCGAAACGTCGTGATTTACTTTATTTTATACCTACGTGACTTTACCGAAAGAACCAAGGAGTACCTATTCTTATTTTTTCATCATGACGAATCCGAAAGGATAAGAGCGGCCTCCGTTTCCGCTCCTCCCACTCCACTCTCGCGCCAGCGTTCGTTCGTTGCCAGCCGACTCCGACGCCGGCCGCGTTTTGTTTCGGGCGCGCAGGTGACGCTGATTCCGACGTACGACACGGCGGCCGTGCGCGGCTGGTACCAGGAGACGCACGAGCGTCAGCGGGAGCTGGGCATCATGGTGCTCGCCAGCAGCAGCACCGTGGTCATGCAGAGCGAGTCCTTCCCCGCCTGCAAGATCGAGTTCTGATCCCGGCCCCGGCCGCGCGCGTCGCCGCCGCGTCCGCGGGAGGGAGGCGGTGGAGAGTTGGCGCTGGCGTCGGCGGCGCCCGGCACCCCCGGCGGGTTTTCCCGGATCCCGGCTCGGCGAGCCCAGCGACTCCCGGAATCCACGGCCGCCGGTTGCAACGCAGCGGCGGGCCCGCGTGCGTTCCGGCCTCCGTCCCAGATTAACCGGCGCCGGCCGCGAAGCGCCGCGGGCAGGGCGCGTCGCACTATTGCCACGAGACGGCCGGGTTCGGTCGCCACGTCCTCCAAACTTTGCACAATCTGCTGTCGGGCTCGCGGGCTCGCTCGCCCCCGCCAGACCTCCTTTGCAACCCCCCACACCGTGATCCCAATCGCCGGGGCGTAGCCACCGGGCGAGCGTAGGGCCTCGAAAGCACAAACGGAGCCATCGCAGGCGTTCAGGCTGAGTGGGCACGCACACCGGCTCCGCTGGCTCACCAGCATGTGTCTCTGCGTTGCTGCGGTAGCATGATCGGGTTTCATCGTGACTAGCCGTCATCGTCGTGTCGTCGTCTAAATTATATTAAAGGAAGCCACCAAGTGGTTCAGAGGTCAGAAACGTTGAGCCGGTACTTCTGAGTCCTTGGGTTTAACTGCAGGTTTCAGCCTCTGAACTACGGTGATTAAACCAGGTTCCTAAGTGAAGCAGTCTCAGCATGGTCGCCAGTGACTCACATACAGACCCATAGACTTGCATAGTGTGACTCATAGACTCACGTAGAGACCCATAGACTCGCATAGTGCGACCCATAGACTCACGTAGAGACCCATAGACTCCCATAGTGTGACCCATAGACTCGCATAGTGTGACCCACAGACTCACGTAGAGACCCATAGACTCACATAATGTGACCCATAGACTCACGTAGAGACCCATAGACTCACATAGTGTGACCCATAGACTCACAAAGGGTGACCCATAGACTCACGTAGAGACCCATAGACTCGCATAGTGTGACCCATAGACTCACGTAGAGACCCATAGACTCACATAGTGTGACCCATAGACTCACGTAGAGACCCATAGACTCCCATAGTGTGACCCATAGACTCGCATAGTGTGACCCACAGACTCACGTAGAGACCCATAGACTCGCATAATGGTCCACATACGTGGACCGAGTTGTGCAATGAGCTAATGGTCTCAGCCAGGTCACCAATGACTGCCCAAAATAAATAACAACCCATGACTTCAAACTTGTATTCTGCGCTCAATTTGGCAAAGTCCCAACTCTTAAGATTAAAAATATCGACTTGACCGTCATGCCACGAGCATATATACGGCTTCAAAGCGGGCGGGAAGGTGCTTCCATCGACTGTGGGGTTCAGAGGTCACCCTGCAAGGGATTTCACAGGTAGCTCTGCGAGACCGCACAGCGATCCCCAACAGATTCTCCGCCGCACGACGGCGATGGCGATAGCTCGGTTAAAAAAAATTGAAACGGACGAACAAAATGCGCGTCACTCGGAGCCGGCGCGAGAGCCGCCCGTCGCGGGCACGGCCACACCAAACGGCGGGCGAATTCCCCATCCCGCTGGCTCCCCCGACGAGGCCACCGTGCGATACGTGTCAATCGTCCGCCCCCCCCCCCACCCTCCACCTCCCCGCCCAATAGATTTGGCGCTGGCGAACCCGCGCAGATCGGGGCCCCCGGCTGAGAGCCCCCCGTGAGCACGGCGAGCGTCGGCGATTTAATTTGCGCGCCCACGGCAAGGCCCCGCCGACCTCGCGGACAAAAATTCCGACATCGCCCTCGGTTTAACCCGCCCGCGCATCGCGTCCACCGCGGTGGACCGCTGTGGTGTCGCGTGACGAGAGACAGACACAGGGGTGGGAAAAGTCAACGCGATGGAAGTGACTTGCCACTCGGAGTGAGCGTTGAGTCATTGGTGCTCGTTTGCCATTCACAGCTCTGTGAAAAGGGGTTGGTGGAAGTTCCACATTCCAATGGCAGCGGGGCGAGTCTGTCCATAACAAAATCACCCGTTGATTTCCCCACAATAAAGTGGTTGTCATTTTGTTGACCCCAGAGGGAGGAATGATGGCACCGCCACTCCACTTCCCCCCCCCCCACTGCCCCAAATCACGATTTAAACTAACAACCTTCCGATTGAGAGCCGCTCACTCTAACCGAGGAAACATGTCTCAGAGGGGTTTTTTTTCATGAAATTCATGACAGGGTTAACCAAATCATCTCGTCCGATCTCGGAAGACAATGATGCTTGGATGGGTGGGGCGATCGCCCGTGCATAACAGGTGTTATAGGTTACTGCGGTGGCTACGCGGGGGGGGCAGCACGGGGAACTATTCACTGTCGTACCGAAACTTCTGCGCTCCTGATTCCTGCCCCTTCCCTCCCCAACCACGCTTCTCTTTCGCTCGCAAACGCTTTGCGCCGGGTCCACGCTCGCGGCGTAGCTAGCCGAGTGCTGTGCAGGCACCGCGTGGGCCGGAGGGGGCTCAAGCGCCGCGCTACGAATAGTTGAGAGGGATGGGGTGGGGGGGGGTGAAATTGAACAGGGGGGACCGTACCCGAACCACGCATGTGTCCCACCTTAAGTGGACCATTGAGCAAATGCTTCCTGCAACCGCTTGCAGATATGATCGTCCGCATACAGGCGATCCAGGTGCATGCGACCAAGTTGCATGAGACTGACTGCTTCAGCTGTGGACCCGCCTTAAGCGGCCGGTTGCGCAACTGCTCCCAACTGCTTGCGGAGACGTTTGTTGACACGCGCACATTATCGACTCGGTTCCGTGTAACTGATCGCCCGGCGGGGTCGCGGACTGGCCCTCGGCAATCCCCCGTAGCCGGTAATGACGAGCGTTCTGGCTAGTGTGCTGAATGTACCGCAGCGGCAGTTATATGGAGCATTAACATTCCACGTGGGAGCCCGGAGGAAGGGAGGGAGATAATCAGGGCATTGATGTACCCTGTACAGTCGTGCTAAAAGGCTGAAGCTGAAAAAAAACCGTGCAGTAATCTGCACTCGGGTGTACAATCGTCGTAGGTGTGTTTGACAGATGCTACTATATTTGTGTACCGCGTGAAACTTAAACTTATTTAGTAAAGGAGCCTGACGAAAGGGGACCAAGAATTGTGATACAAAGACGTATTTCTGTACACCGCACGGCCGCCCGCGGGGCGTTGGTGGTTTTTGCAACGGGCCCTCGAGCACGCGTTGTGGGAAGACAGGAGTCCGTACGAGGGAATGCGGACTCAGTGCAGTGTTCATCGGAGGCATCTGCGTTTACATTGAATGTGCGAGCGAGCATGTGCTGGCATCGGCAATAGCTGAAGCTTGCGGTCGCTCCATACAGTCTGTCCTTCTATCACGCGGTCGTTGCGTATCCCGAAGAACGCCGCGTTACGGAACAATTGCGTGTTCACAAATGGTATATAATATAGAGGGGTAAAGCACAGTCCGCGATCATACGCGATGATATGCGCACGCAGGCCGAACAAAGACTTGAGGCGCGCGGGAAGCATCTGGAGGCATCCAGCAGCATCCCGCCTTGTGCGACGCGACACCGAGGCAGCCGTACGACCCGCTTATTCCCGCTCGCGCGACGTAGTTCCGTTCACTCGATCGCGTTATATCCAATTCGCGTCCGCGTTATAGAAATATATAAAAAACGTGTTCCCTAATACATTCATCGCGTTATGAAAACCACTCGCGGCGTTACAAGAGAACAGACCGCGCTCATGTTTTTTCTCCTAGCACATCCGAGTCGGGGCCCAGCACCCGGCCGCCGGGCGGCGTTTCGACTGCCGATTTACCGAGCCGAGCCGCAAAACCGAAGCCGCGCAACGCCCGGCTCACACGAGACTCCGAGGCCCAAGAAGGGCTTGCCGGGCTCTGGGCTGATCGCGTGTCCATTGCGCGCGCCGTCGGTCAGCTCGAATCTCAATGACGGTGTCGCCGCGCGCGTGTCCACGTCGCCCGTGTGACGTCGGCGGCACGGCTCGGCTTGCGCGGTGGGAAAAGCAAACCGCCGTGTCTTCCTGAACCCGTGCCGCTGCGCTGACTCGGCACTGCCCCCACCGGATGCGCCAGTGGAATAGAGGTAAATGTCCCCCTTTTTGCCACCGGGGAATCTCGTGGCAATTGGTGGGGGGGGGGGGGGGGGGGTCGCAATGCCACTCGAGAATCGAAGAATCCATCTCTCTGTGTTCACATCACGGTGCACGTAGCACCTCTTCCAATCGGCTGCAGGAGGGGGCTGACGGACGGTGGCGGTGACTCCAAAACCAATTGCACGCAACGCAGAACGAGCCGAGACCCGTGGATTCTTACGCGCGAATGCGAGTGTTATTCCTTGAGCTCAAGGAATAACACTGATGTACCGGTGCATCGTTACACCACTTCGAGATACAGGCGCTGTTACTTCGTTTTGGTGAACCACTCGCGGATCTGAGAGAAAGTTCGCGACTCTATCAGGGTGTCCACTATAACAGGGGTATTCACTGTATCAAGGTGTTCACTAAAACGGGAGCATTCACTATATCAGGGTATTCACTGTAACGAGTTTAATCACAATTTGAACGGGCGCATTTAAAGAAATCATTTGGAACATTGACACATCGCGTGTAAATGTTCATTTGTTTGGATCTCCTGTTCAAATGCAAAATGAAAACATGACACAGACGGGTCCACTGATAGCCCCACATTATCTGTAGAACTACACCCTAGGTAGCTCACTATCTTATATATATAGTTCACAATTTATAGCGATAAACTAACTCGCTTGCGCGCTCACTCACTAGACGACACCGCGGTGGACTCACCAAGCGAGTCCTGGGTGAACGATCGCTGGGAGCAGAACGATCGCTCGGAGCACAGCGATCGAGGAGGAATTGACGTTTCGCAGCGTGCACGATCGCTGTACACGGGGTCTCTGCGATCGTAGTGCGATCACTGCATGGAATCATAAGTCCACACGGGAAGTTGGTGCTCCTGCAGCTATGTTCTTTATGAATGGTGGTGGGTGGGTGGGGGTCGTTATAATAAGCAGGGTTCGATGTAACGGGGTTACGTAATAATTTAAAAACTACGTGTTTATGCCGAGTTGCACATTATATATCGTGACGTTCTACAGCTGGGCAATTACAAGCAGGCGCTTAACAAGAGAGATTATATTAATTCATATATACGGTATATGTGTGTGTGTGTGCAAGTTGCATGGCACTTACCATGCAGTTACTTATGAGCTACCCTTATAGATAGAAATTAATATGAATGCAACGAGAGCATACTATTATACGACACAGATATTTATATTGCTAAGCAAGTCAATTATTCATCACGTTGGTAGGGCGCCCCCCAAACCGCAGGTGTCGAACGGGTCACGTTGGGTCCACTGTGCATGTGTTTGGGTTGCTAATCCTGGGGCTTAATATCTGACGGAATATTTTTCCGGGTCGCTGGAAGACTATAAAAGGCTTGTCTGGAAACAGGATCGAGGGGGCGAGTGGGAGGAGGGTGGCGGGCTCCTGGCCAAAATAATGAAGTTAAGAAAACATTTTTTTAACGGGTAGTGGCCTGGCGGCTCAG